TTGTAGTGTTTGTATACTCTGTATTTGTTGGTTTTATCGAGCTAGGAGGGCATTTGGGTAAGGTGTCTTCTGAGTTCCAAGTCCCAGAGTTGACTGAAATCCTGGACCCTGAATTCGTGATATTCTGGGTTTCAGGGGATCTGATTCTCTGGGTTTACCTTTTGGTGTGGAGGTGCGTTCTGAAGTAGACGTGCGCTCCCGCACTTCTTCGAGGCTACATTTTCAACCGGTGGAGTGCCGTTCCGTCGAAGACAAACGAGCCGACAGGGATTACACAAGGTACCCACGGTGTGATTCTCAGGGTTTAAAGCTTTGCGGCTGCGAATCTCTGGGTCTATCTTCTTGCTGTTGACTCTCAAGTCGATTCTCTGGGTCTACCCCTGGGGAACAGTCTTGGGCTGCGCTATACGAACCTCCCCCTGGGCGACAAAGGTTTCATCGGCCTCGCCTCAGCTGGTGCGCGTGCCCGGATTCGATTGTCGAGGATTTCACCGGAATCAAGTGTTGAAGAAGTGTTGAGTGCCCGTCAACTTCAAGCTACCAAGATGCCAGGAGGACGAGGGGCGAAGAAGAGTGGACGCGGTGACGGAGGACGCGATAAGACGTCACGTCAGTCACGTCGTGTTCAAGGTATGGAGCCTGAGGAGCACAAGGACCTGGAAACAGTCGTCCGCGACGCTCGGAAGGTGAAGAAGGCTGCTCGCGAGAGCGAGGCAGTGCAAGGTGGGGACGTCGAGGCGTCTGCTGTCCAAGGTCAGCTTGCTGCTGGATCGCAAACTCAGGAGGAAGAAGTTTCCCCTGGGTTCCAAGGTTCGACGGAGGTGAATTCTGGGTCGCGGATTCCTGAAGTCCCAGAAGAGCACACCCGCGAGGGTGGTGCTCTGGCGTCTGAGGGAGGCACCAATGCGGTTGAGCCCCCGGAGATGATTGACTTGGTCTCATCTTCGGACGAGTCTGTTGTGGAAGTGAAGTCGGAGCCCGTGCGAGCGAAGGAGGAGGCGAAGACTTAGAGTTCCAAGGTGGATTCTGGGTTCGCACCACCTGAACCCAGAGTTTCAGCGCCAAGTTCGCAAGCGGCACCCAGGAAGACGCCTGAAAGCGACATCTGCTGCGCCTGCTCCGGAATCGGGAGCAGCGGCGTTGGACGCCGGGAGCATGGTGCTGTACGTTCGACGTGAAGTTCGACGCTGGGAAGAGGTGAATCCTGGGAAGGTGACGCCGCCAAGTGTCGTTTATGAGTGGCCGACTCCGAAACCGGATGCCAACTCGTACTTCGCGGCCGCGTACGCAACGGGAGACTACCTCAAGTGGCGTTTGTCTCTAGAGAATCAAGATGAAGCCTGGATCTCTGAGTTTCACCTCGCCCGGTGGGGCGTCGGAACTGCTCAGGATCTCATGGCGACTACGATTCCCCAGAGTATCATGACCGCCCGTGAGTGCGTCGCCAATCTGCAGACTCTGTTCTGCGAAGCCGGATTTGAGTTTGTCAATTTGATCCCTGGCTGGTCTTCGACGCGTGCTTCCAGGATTCCAGAAAGTCTGGTGCGCTCTGTCATGGAGGAACCCCAGAATTTCATCGCTGTGGAACTGGTCGAGTGGAGATTGGTGGTAGCTGGTGTGCCTTTCAAGGTAAACTCTGAAGATCACGCCGCACCAAGCGCCCAAGAGCAAGCACCAAGACTGGACTATCACAAGGAAGATGGAGACGGTGATCTATTGATGACGGACTACGATGCGGATCTACTGGGCCGACAGTTTGTCCTGAGATTCAGTGTCACTGGACTCAGGATTTCACGGAGCCCACGAGGGTTGAGTGATGGTGAGCCACGATCCAAGCGTACTCAGCATGGACCGCCTCGGCCACAAGTCCCGTCAACGCCATCCGCGCTGTCTACACCGTCGCTGTCCTCTCTTCCAGCGTACAAGTCTTCGACTGGTGCCTCGCTTCAGAATTCCACTCCCCTGAATTCCATGTCCAATGGACGTGATTCTCTGGAGGCGGAAGCCAAGGACGCTACCCCAGGCGCGGTGCCAAGTGTCGTCGGTACCTCGCGCGCTTCGGATGAGAGTACTGCCTCGGGCGTTCAAACGTCTTATGGTAGCTCTTCGTCTTCGTCGATGATGTCGCTTGGACAACGAGTTGGAGCTCTAGCGCTTGTGGCCCAGAGTGCCGGTGGCTTTGCAGCTGCCGGTGATCTTGGATTTCAGGTCACCCGGACAGTCATCCCGTCGCGTATTGTGTCAGTCGACCAAGATGACGTTGAGATGGCATCGTCGGTGCACTCTGACCCAGAGATCGCACCCAGGAAGGCCGGTCTCCCCAGTATTTCAGCCACGACTTCCGAGCCGAAACTCAGGGTTTCTGCCCCGATTGCTGGATTTGGTGGTCGCCGATGAGCGGAGTCAACACCAGAGCTCTAAGATCGAGGTGCGCTCTCGACGCCCGACGAAATCCAGAAAATCATCTGCGTCGAGCCGCTGGAGTGGATCCAGGAATCTTGGGTCAGTTTCGTCCGTGTCCGCGAGGTCTGGGCCCGCCCAAATCGAGCTGAACGTCTTGCGACAACAGCAGGAGTGGCAGGCCCGCATGGAACAGGAGCAACGCGAGTTTCTCGTCAGAGAACGCCTGGATGCCTTGGGCCGCGAGCGCCTCAGGGAACAATGTGACCTGGACGCGCGTCGCCAGATCCAGGAACTTACGGGTCACTTGGTCCACGCTGAGATCGCCCGAGGAGAAGCGGAACGGCGTGCGCAGGACGTGGAGGCTCGCCAGACCCAGAGTTCCACTGAAACTCAGGGGATGACCCAGAGTATCACGGAAGCTGTACGTCTTGAGCGTGAGCGCCTGGATGCCGCCTACGCCGAGCGCTGGCGACGGCACGAAGCCGAAGCCGACTCGGAGCGCGCGCGCTGGGTTTCCGAGACCTACGCCGGTTGGAAGGAACAAATGTCAACTATGGAGCAGAAGGTCCAAGAACTTGAGGCGGAGAAAGAGCGAGAGCGGGAGTCTTCCGAGAATATCCAGCGCTTCCACGCCGGCCAAGTGCGCGACCTTCGTGTAACATTGGCCCAAGTTCAAGCGCGTCGCGCAATCGTCGCCCCTGATTTGGCAACAAATGTGAGGTCGTCAGTGGCTCAGAACCCTGACGTTGCAACCCGACCCCAAGAATCCAGTGGCGTAATCAACGGAAACGCAAGTGTCACAGGCCAGAGACGGGAGACAGCTGATCCGAAGAACACGTCCGAAGTCGCCGCCTCCCAGCTAAGAGCGACCCTCGCGCAGACTCCCGCCGACACTTCCGGCAGAATCGCGCGCGTCAAGCGGGGACATGGCGCTACGGAGACCAAGGTGACGCAGGATGTCAAGCTCGAGCCTGTGTCTCTGGGGAAGACGTCGGATCCCAGGAGAACAGCGACCTCTAAGGCCACGCAGGACTCTAAAACAGACTCCAAGCGCTCTGCACCCAAGAAACACCAGCAGAAGAAGAAGAAGCGTCAGGATGTCAATCCACCCTCGGACTCAGACCCAAGCTCCGATTCCAGCAATGATGACTCGTCCTCTGAGAGTTCGGATGACAGTTCGGACGGGAACCCTGGGGTTAACCTGACGACGGCCTCTACGGCTCAAGCTGGTACTACGCTCCTGACGTTCAAACCGTACATCAACTCGAATACTCTGGGTGAGTTCGATACTAAGGCGTCACTCAGGGAACGCGTGCATTGGTGGGAGCGTTTTGCGAACATGGCGGCTCAGGGAGGTTGATCTACGAAGATGCGAATTCAGGAACTCAAGTTGAAACTCTCGGGAGCTGCGCGTGACTGGTTCAACCAGTTGCCCAAACACACTCAGCGTGACTGGAAGGAGCTGGCGTCTACATTCAGGAAGAAGTACTGTAAAGCGCGCTCGTCGTACTCTGAACGTTACTTCACGATGGAGATGAAGAACTCAGAGAGCGCCCTGGATTTCTTTTATCGTCTGAATTCCGCCGCTGGGAAGGCTGAAATTGACTTTCGCAAGTCTTCGAAGCGCCTGGAGAAACATACCCGGAGGTTCATCACGAAACTCAGGGACACGCGCCTCAAGACGTCGCTGCGGGGCCAGAGATTCAGGAGTATCGCTGATCTAGAGAACGCTCTGGAACAGGACGAAGATGTCTGGAGCCGCAGCGACCATGATGCTCCGCCACCCAGAGTCCGTGACTTTCGTGCCGACAACATTCCTCAGAGACGTTTCAAGCCGAAGCGACAAGGACGTGCGTATGTGACTAGGGGCGATGTCTCTGACTCTGAGTCAGACGAAGACCCTGAAATTCACGCGCGTTTCCAGGAAATCACGGACGAACCCAGAGTTTCAGCCCGAAGTGTGAGCGCGAATTCAGGGTCAACTCGTGAGATCTCTCGAGAAGAAGCTTCTACGCCTAGCGCTGGGAGTCGGGCGAGTATGAAGGGTGCCGAGTGGACTCAGGCGCTGACGAACGAGGTCTATCGCGTGATGGATAACATGGGATGGCGTCCACCGAACGCCCAACCAGGACCGAACGCGAACTCTTGATTCCGTTCCCCTCGCCGCGAAAACCCGAATTGGGACAAGTTCTGCGAGAAGTGCGGCAAGTGGGGGCACCCAGAGGAAAACTGCTGGAAAGACGTGAAGTGTGATCGCTGCCTGGAAGTGGGTCATCCGACTCACTTGTGTCGCGCGCAACCGTGCGAGAACTGTGGCAAACTGCATCTCGGGAAACCGTGTGAAGACTGGAAGACACTGGAAGCTGTGAAGAAACTCGCCCGCCAAGGTGCACTGAAGGACATGCCGAGCCAAATCCTGGATAAACTTCTGGATGGCGAAGCAAACTCTGGGAGGCCGTCCAACCAATAAGCCCGCTGTGTGGGGCGCCGGGCTGAAGAAGGCCCCAGAGTTATGTGTTCTAGTGTATGTAGGCCCGGAGCTGAGAACAAGAACCCAAGATAACCAACAATGCATGACTACGTTGACTCAGGATTTCATGACTTCCCCTGAAAATCAGCATCCTGAACAAGCGAACTCTGGGTCGGTGAACTCTGAAGAAATTGTGGAGTACAAGCTGAACCCTGGAGAGCGCTACGGATGGTGGGAAAACAATGATCCTGACCCAAAGAAACGTGATGTGGCGATGGTGCATGGCGCTGTGAACGACTGCCGGACGAGAGTTCTCCTGGATACCGGTGCGACTGTGAATATTGTGAGCTTCGACTTAGCGCGTAAGTTCGGACTCACACTCAAGTCGCACAAGCAAACCAAGGTGTCTGGCATGGGAGGCGTTCCGACGTACATCGGTGCCAGTGCTCAGGTGAAGATTACTCCCGGTTCGAGGGCGATATATCTCCTGGATGTCTGGATTGCTAACATCGGCGAAGGAATAGAAGTTCTTCTGGGTATGAGTTTCATGTTTGCAGCTGGAGTGAGGATCAGTGTTCGCGAAGGTCTCGTGACACTTCCGGATGAAGAGGCGATCATGATGTGTGGATGGACTCCAGAGGATCGCCTGGGGTCGACATGCCCGTGGAAACCACAGGTAGTTGGTACCTGACCCCTGGGGAATCCAAGGTGGTGAAGATCTCGTATGGATCGACGAACCCACAGCGTGAGGTTGTGTGGGCAGGACGAGGTGACCGCTGGGTAACGCACCTGATTTACGCTGCGAGATCCTGGCCGGTCGCCGTGAAGGTGGTCAACATTTCGGACAACGACGTCTGGATTCACTACAGAACGCCAGTCGCCCGAATTGTGGAGTACGGCTTCTTCCCACGTGCCGGACGCTTTGTGCGCCCTGGTTCGCTTGCGTATCGGGAGTGGCAGACGCTTATTCTGGAGAGTGTTCAGTCGCGTGAGGGCAGACTTCGGGCGGAACGCCTGGCTGCGCTTGAGCCATCCTGTGTCGAGACCCCAGAGTATCAGTGGCCTACGAAGATTCTGCCGCGACCTGCAAAGGGCCCCGACATGGCACTGCTTGCCTCGATTCTCAGGAAACCGAAGCCTCGTCGCGTGCGCTTCGCTGAAGACGCTGCAACTCAGACTGAAGGAGTGCCTCCTGAAGACCCTCCTGAACTCCGAGACGTTGCTGTTGATACGAGTGACTTGGGTGACGTTCTGGAGGAGGCGGTGACCGATGTTGCCTCGCAGACTGTCGGAACCCCAGAGGGCATGAGTCCTGAAGGTGATACGGCCGCTGAAACCCTGAGTTTACAGGTTGAAGTTGGCAGTGATTCTCAGGGTCAGTGGTGCGACGAAGGTGATTCTCTGGGATTCGATGTGGGTGACGACGATTCTCAGGGTGCTGGGATATCTCGATCTCAGGGATGCCGGGAACTCCGTTGGAGAAGCTGAAGCAGGAATATGAGCGCTGTATGCAGCTTTCGACAGTGGACCTCGACTACGAGCCTGCGGTCTACATACGTGAAGGAAGTGAGTTGCTCTCTCAGTTGCGTGACCAGTTGGTTATGCTTCCTGAGATGCGTGACTTGACCCCTGAGGGCAAGCTCGAGGAGGCAGATGTTGGAGTCCCTGGGAAAACGATGTCCGAGATGGAAGACCAAGTGAGGCGAATTCTGGAATATCATCGGAAGATCTTCTTGGGAGACGGCAATGCAGCTCCCCCACCTGCCCGTGGAGTGGTTTGTGACCTGGATGTAGGCGACGCTAAACCTGTTGCCCAGCGTCCAAGGTCCATTGCATCACACCTGTGGACTAAGGTGTATGAACTTCTGAAGAAGCTTCTGGAGAACGGGCTGATCGAGACTTCTACGTCCCCCTGGGCATCTCCAATCGTGATCGTCCTCAAGAAGAATGGCGTCGACATCCGGATGTGCATCGACTATCGCGTGGTGAATGGCTTTATCAAGCTCTCACACTATCCGCTGCCGCTTATTGATGATCTTTTGATTGGCTTTGAGTCGGCGATGTGGTTTATGAGGTTGGACATGGCGAGTGGTTTCTGGGCTATCAAGATGACCGAGAGAGCCAAGTTGATCTCTGCGTTCGTCTGTCCCTATGGGCACTACCAGTGGGTCAGGATGCCGTTTGGCCTCAAGAACGCGCCGCTGATCTACCAGGCAGTTCTCAATAACTGTCTGTGGGGATTTCTGCTGCTTTCCCCTGAGGAAGAAGCTGAGGTCGACCAAGATGTCTTAGACTTTTTGGGGTTGAACTCTGGGGAACCCAGAGTTTCAGGTGAAAATGCACCGCGACTTTCAGTGTTGACGGATGAGATGACTGTTTTTCAGCGTAACATCCCGGCTCCCTCTCAGATGGGCCCTGTCCTGGGTCGAAGCTCGTCTATCGACGACATCGCCCACGGTGCGCCTACTTGGGAGCAGCTGTGCCAGGATCTGAACGCGCTGCTCTTCTGACTACGTTACCGGAATATCTCTGTGAGTCTTCCCAAGAGCGAATTCGGGAAGTTGTCCATTCCGTACCTCTCTCACGAGATTAGTGCTGAGGGAATCCGAGCGACCCCTAAAATCGCGAAGGGGGTCCAAAACTTGCCGTTCCCGACGACACTGAAAGGCGTCCAGAGTTTCATGGGGAGTCTAAATTACTACAACAAGTTCATTGAAGATCTACCCGTGATCGCGGCCGTCCTGTACGAGCTGACTGAGGAACAAGTGAAATCCAGGAGAGACCTGTCGAGAGCCCAGGAAGCCTTTGAAATCCTGAAGCACAAGATTGTTTCGACTCCGTTACTCAGACATCCTGATCGTTCAAGGCCCTTCGTGATTATTCCCCACGCGAACCCGTGGGCAGCATCCGCTGTGTTGGGTCAGGAGTACGACAGGATTGTGCACCCGGTTCGATTCACAGGTCGCGTCCTGAATGACGCTGAGCTGCGGTATCACATTGCGGAAAAGGAGGTGATTGCTATCCTGAGAGTCCTGGAGGTGTTTCGCACTTTGGTTGAAGGCAGCCCTAAGATCGTCGACTACACGCGATATTCTGTGTTGAAGTGGTTGCTGACCTCGCAGTCGGCAGACGGTCGAACGGTGAAGTGGGGTCTGAAGTTGTCCCACTGGAACCTGGAGATACGCAGAGTTGAACGGGATGAAGACGGCTTGGCTGCAATTCTAGGTGCGGGTATTACCCCGAGAGAACACTTGGATGAGATCGCTGAAAACCTGATCCCAGCCAAGGGGCGCGTTAAACCTCCAGTACCTATCAGTATGGAAATGCTGGAAGCGGACTATGAGGGGTGTATTCTGAGTTTCGATGGCGCCGCTAAGACTTCCACGCGACAAGGGAGCTGTGGCTGCATTCGGTGGCATGTCCCTGGTTGGGAAATCCTGGATGCCTAGGGATTCATCCTGGAGGACGTGACTGTGAATGACGCTGAGTATCATGGACTTCTGAAGGGCCTCACTCTGGCGATTGAGCGTGGAATTCAGGACATCATTGTGGTTGGGGACTCCAGGATTGCCATCCAGCAAGCCCAGGGTCTCATCAACTGCAATCAGCCAAATCTCCAGAGGAAGCTGGCCGAGTATGAAGTGCTGAAGACGAAGTTCAAGTCTGTGCGGCTGGTGCATGTCAAGCGAGAGTTTATCCAGGCCGCAGACTACCTGACGTCTAAGACCCTCGCGTTTGGTGAATCCTGGAAGGTGGAGGATGCTGACGAACGAACACATCTGTAGTTGGTGTCCAAGATTCACGAGAAGTTGGTAAGACCGGAGGTGTTATTGAACGTTGGAATTCAGGGGAGTGATTCTCAGGGTGTCGAAACTCTGGGTATCCCTGGACCTGAGTGCGCTCCGTTGCCTGTGGCGGCCAAAGTGTTTGCAGTAATGACTCGGGCGCGAACTCAGGAGATCGAAGCCCAAAGCGAACCCATGGGATCTCTGGAGTACCAGGCGGAACGCTGGCGACGCATCAAAGTGCACCAGGACAAAGATGATCACCTGCTGCAACTCAAGGATTTCCTGAAAGGAGACACGACGAAGTTGTCGCACGCTCAAGCCAGGAAACTCGCGAAGGTCGCTGATGATTTCGTGTTGGATTCCAGAGAAGTTCTGTACCGCTTGAGTCGGTCTACCAGAGATCGACCCCGAGACATGGTTGACGAACTCAGACTCGTGGTGCCGATAGCTCAGCGACCGGATATCCTGCATCACGCTCACGAAGATTTTCAGGGTGGGCACCAGGGGATCACGAGGACGTACGAGAAGCTGCGCTCTGAGTTCTACTGGCACGGCATGTACGCTGATGTGGAAGTTTTCGTCAAAGAGTGTGTGGATTGCGCCAGCGGCAAGGGGCGCCCTCAAATCCAGGGCCTTCCCCTGGGAACATCAAACCGAGGCGCCCTTTTGAAGTTGTGTCTATGGATTTCGCGACACACTTGCCTAAGTCGGACCGTGGGAACACGTTCCTGCTGCTTTTTCAGGATGCGTTCTCAGGATTCGTCATGTGTAAACCCATGAGTTCCACCACGGCGCAAGATGTCGCTGAAGTGTACGAAGAGCAGGTCTTCAGGAGATTCGGCGCGAGCTCGATGCTGAGGCACGACCAAGACCCAAGGTTCATGAGTGAGGTGTTCACGCGCTTCCGTGAACTTTTGGGTAGCAAGCAGCGAGCCACTCTGGCGTATCGCCCCCAGGCGAACGGACAGCAGGAGCGGTCGGTGCAGACTGTCGTGCGCAGTATTCGAGCGTACATTGCTGAGGCGGACCAGAGTGACTGGGACGACCATGCTGAGCGCCTGATGTTTGCCCTGAACACATCGTTCGATGCCACTCACCTGGACACTCCGTTTTTTCTGGTGCACGGCTGGGACGCACACGGCACGGTGTCTGCAATGTTAGGACCCAGGCCCTCGAGTATCCAGGAGCGCACTGCGTACGAGTGGCGCAGGAAGCTACAGCGTGACTATAGTTATGCACAAGCTTGCGCTGAGGATCTTCAGAAGAAGGCCAAGCGCGCGCGCTCTGCCGAACAAACCAGGAAGTGGAGAGCTGTCCGAACGACTGATGGCAGGATTCGCAGCCGTTGATGCTGTGTGACTGTATATACCCAAAGTGCAGCCCGGGCTGAGCTGCAAACTGGCTCACATGTGGCATGGCCCCTTCAGAATTCAGGAAATCCATGATAACTTCCGCGTGAAACTCAGGGTCGAGAACACAGGATATCGCGTGAATCCCTGGGTACACGTGAGCCGTTTGAAACCCAGAGCACTATTCCCGAAGCGGCCCACTGTGGAGATCGACGTGGACGAGGATGATGACTTTGATGCGGCGCTGTTGCCTGAAGACAGTTGGGAGCCCGACGCTGCGAACGATGAGTACGAAGTTGAGCGAATCCTGGATTTGCGATGGACTAAGCGGACTCGGACAGCGAGACGAATTCGTGAGTACCTTGTGAAGTGGAAGGGGTATGATGAGACCGAGTGGCTGCCTGTGTCGAAGCTCAACTGTGGTGCCCTGCTCTACGAATTCAATCAAGGCGCAAGAGCGCGGGCCGTTTCCAGGCCATGCAGGCTGGAGATGATCACCCAGGAGTCTAGCACTCTGGGGTGACAATGACCCAGAGTTACACGTGATATTCAGGGGAAACTCTGGGTGACACTGTGAAACTGTGGGGAAAATCGACGGAATGTGTGAATATTGGAGACGGAAAACGTGAATGTGATTTGACTTGATTTGATTATGGAGAAGGTGATACTGCTGAGGCTTTGGCAGTGTGTGAGAAGGAAGATGAAGGCGAACGACGTGGACATAGGACACCGATCCCAGCGTCGGCGCCACAGACTTCCTTCAACCCCTGAAGATCCTCGTCGGAGAGCTCCTCGAAGCCGACCATCGTGGTCGCGCCGCCATAGCCTTCCATGGCGAACGCGCCCGCGCGAATGTCGTTCATGATCCCTGGGATCCCCACGAGATACGCGTTGGTCTTGAGATTCGGCGGAGCCGGCAGTTTCCAGTGCGGGGGGCGTTCAGGGACCAGGAAGTCAGGGGGACCGACCTCCTCCTGCCGAAGCATGCCTGCGAAGATGAGTCCCCTGACGTCCTCTAGCGTCGCGTGTCGTGGTAACTTGAACTCAGGGACGCCCTCCATGTCCACGTCCGGAGCCACGCCGCCTGCGTCTGGAGCCTTGGACTCTGAGTTCGCGTCACCAGTTTCCTGGGTTGCAGCGTCAGTCGAGGCGTTGCCATCGGCCTCGCGCATGTCCGCGTCGGAGGTCTTGCCGGTGGCGCTGGAGAAGGAGACGCGCTTGGTCACGCCCGTCTTGGTGCTGCCCGTCGAAGTGTCGCCGGACGCTGAGTTACCCGCCTGGCCGCTGCCGCCGCCTGCTGGTGCGGTGCTCGCAGGGGCGTGGCCGGTGCGCTGCTGTGTCGGAGGTGGCGCGCTGCCGGGGGGCGCCGTGCCTTGAGCTGGCGCCGTCGCTTGCTTGCCATCCGAAGTCGTGCTCTCCGCCATGTTGACGATCTGCGAAATGGCGATGTGACCGCGCATTGCCCGTTGGAGTTTTTGCGTTTGAGAGGAGAACCTTGAAGATAGGTCCTGACCAACCGTTGGGGAGACAGGGTGCCGCCAAAGTGAGTGAAACCCTGGGAGTCGACAGAGTGCAACGGCCGTATCGAAGTCGACGGTGGATGGACCTGTGTGTTTTTGTGGCCTGGCCATGGTTCACCAGTTCGGAGCGATTTCCTCTTTGATGGACCGTGAAAGTGAATTTATTTCGTTAAGGCCCTGTGGCCGGCCGTCTGGGCAGTGCCCAAGGCGGTGCAAGAGTAAATCAATCTGATTGGCCAATCCACTTCAAGTTGAAGTGAATTGACGTGCGTCATACAAACGTCGATGTAGTTGATAGAGATAATGCACCATGTGCATGTTTTTTCCTTGTCATGAGTGAAGGTGCCTAAGCTAGACTAATGCTTACGCCCTAGCCTTGCACTTGAACGGGGCGGGCCGACGACGTGCTCGTCACGTCTCGATCATTACAGTATCAGCAGTAACCTTCGACCAGGCGTCCTCACACCACATCAAAGCGGTAAGAACGTCAACCTTATAAGGCTCATCTACTCCTTCTCCTATTTGGTCGAGCGCATACAACATTTTCTCTGATAATACATACCTCTCGATACAGTGGATAATACCTTGGTTGGTAGTTTGAGGCTTTGTTCGCAAATGAGGAAGTGAACGCTTTTAAAGGAAATCAAAGTGGCGAAAGCGCGCCAATATTCAAATTACTGCTGAATACGATGTCACGAGATTAATTGATTTTTAGCTCAGTACCTTTGCTCATCACCATCTCGTCACCTCGTAAGCCCAGAATTATAAATTATACAAGGGTATTAGCTGTAGACCCGTCGGGTATTTACGCACATTACTGTATAGGTTTGTGTGATACACATGAGATGCTGTGCCATACTAAAATCGATTTACATGGGTTTGTGTACATATCCCTAGATCATGTGGCATACACCAGTCTCGAATTTGACACGCAATCATTTCGGCGATTTCTCCAAGAGCATAGATGAGCGTGAGGTCCGCAACCCACCTACCCATGTCGGTAACCACAGAAATCCCAAGCGCTCCGACCACCGCCTTGGCCGTGACGCTCTGCGTGCTGGCATTCACGCCCAAGATCATGTCGGTACTTGCCAGTGCGCACTTCAAGCTCACCGCGGAGCGACCAAAGCTCGTGTTCAAGTCTACGCCCAAGAACGAGCGGTTGCTGGCCAACTGCGTGCACCTCGTCAAGAAGAAGTTCTACCCGCTGTGGTATCTGTTCAACGGCCACTTGCAGACGCTGCAGTTGTCCTGGGCAAATGAGATGGAGCCCACGCCCGCCATCGCCTACGAGCGCCAGTTGCTGGATATGCCCGACGGCGGAGTAGTGTCCTTGGATTGGGCGCTATTGCCGTCGACTACCACGAAGGATACCAAGGAATCGCTGGAGGAGCGCGTTGACAGCAACAAGAAGACCGTGCTGATTCTACCAGGTCTGACGGGTGGCAGCGGCGAACATTACATTCGCAGCGCCGTCGAGCGACTGAACGCCTTGGGCTGGCAGTGCGTGGTGTTAAACTCGCGAGGATGCCAGAACACTCCGCTCCGGACCCCGCGTTTGTTCTGCATCGCGTATACGGACGACTTGCGCTACGTGGCTCGATACCTCGCGGACAAGTACAACTTCGCCGACGAGGCTTTCGTCGGACTGGGGTTCTCCATGGGCTCGAACGTGCTGGTGAAGTATCTGGGCGAAGACGGGGATCAGGCGCGACTGACTGCAGCGATCTCAGTCGGGAACCCGTTCAACATGCCCAAGTGCTCGGAGAACATTGAGGGGCCGCTCTTCAACCGCCTGACGTACAGCCGCGTGCTGAGCGCAGGGCTGCGCGACCTCTTCTTTAACCGCAGCAACGCCCATGAGGTGTTCCGCGACTATCCGGGCATCGATGTGGAGGCGCTCAAGAAGGTCACGAAGGTGTCGGAGTTTGACGAGCTGTTCACGATCAAGCACTTCAACTATAAGAGCGTGGACGAGTTCTACCAGGACGGGTCGTGCGTCACGCGGCTGCCCAAGGTCACGGTGCCTCTGCTGTGCCTTAATGCCGAGGATGACCCCATCAGCGTGGCCACCTCGCTGCCAACGAAGGAGGAGGTCGAGGCTAACGAGAACATTATCCTTTGCACGACCAAGAGCGGCGGTCACCTCGCATTCTACGAGGGAAACTACGACGAAGGCGAAGAGGAGAACGCCAAGGCCCAGGAAACCAAGCCCAAGCTGCGCCCATGGTCCGTCAAAGTCATCGGTGAGTTTGCGGAGAGCGTTCTCCAGTGCAAGCAGGTGGAGAAAGCCCTATCGTAAGTATTTGGAGCTTATAGAGTGCTTCGAGGCGCACCGTTTCAAATCTAGTTTAAATTGACCTATTACACGGTCGAGATGATGGAGGGCAAGGTACACGGTCACTATAGCATTGATTGATGAGGCTTCCAGTGGGGGACTCACGTGAAGTTTTACGTGTGCAATGCATAGATCCAGTGGCTCCGTGACTTGGGTCTCATTAAGCGCCACTCCAATAGGTAAAACATTGACAGCTCGTTCGAATTGGTTACATCGATTGCGTTCAGTTTAAATGCAAGTTTTCTTCACGCGGTTACTGTATCACGCCAGTGACTTTCGTCGACAAACTCAGGGCATCTCCCCGCTACGATACCATAAACTCTCGATCAAAAGCCGACGTACCGATCTGAATAAATATGCTTTGACACAATAGCCTCAGAATAACTAGCTATAAAGACTCATGATATCTAGATACGCAAAAAGGGCAGTTCGTGTGTAAACGGCATGAAGTTGGAGCAAACCTGCTTCGATCGGGGAAATTAGTGTTTTGACGGTATGGTCTAGGTTGGAAACAAGTCTGCTTCGATCGGGGAGGTTCGTGCGCAGGTTTGGCAAAGTCGCCGAATCGGCAGACGCGTCGACAATGAAGTCAAGTGGTAGTGATTGATGCGCTTCTTGTCGGCGCGCGTCAATCGCTGCCGAGCCTGAACCACATCCGATGCGGTATCGCCTTCAGGCAGAACACAGTTGCGCGAGTTTGGGCGGCGATTCTGGACAAGCAAATCGGAAAGCCATACCAACTGCGTTAGACTCGAAACGCACGTATTGGGAAGTAGTAGTTCCAACCATTTCGTGGGATTTTTGTCGGATTCATTGGGTTCACGATATCTACCTATTGTAGATGGATAATTTCAAGATATCTAGAACTAATTCGATCTAGAATTTCAATAATAATAAAAAATAAAATAAACAGACTCCAACACAAATTGAATTCTTTCAACCAAACGAGTATCTATACTACAACTACCGAACCAAGCTTCGGAAACAGATTCACAATCCGGCGCAAGACGAAGAAAAAAAAGCACGAAAAACCAGCTTCAAAAAGGAGAAAGCATTGCATTCCGAGTGTAAATTCTACGCCACTGCGCCAAGGTACAGCTGATGAACCTTACTTCGTTACTCGGTGCAAGTCGCCAGAGGCGTAGGTGGCTCATCATGATCACGTACGTAGTCGAAGCTAGCAGTAGTAGAGGCCGCCGAAAGGCATGCCCAGGCCGCAGCTGCCGCCGTAGAGACCCGCGCCGAACATGTTCCAGTAGCCCAGCGGGTAGGCCCAGCCAGGGGAGCCGCCGCACATGAATCCGAAGCGGTAGGGGCCGTAGCCGCCCCAGCCACCCCAGTTGCCCCAGCCGCCGCCGAGACCCCAGCCAGCGCCAAGGCCCAGACCCCAGCCGCCGTACTGCTCCTTCTTGTCGTCGTCACCATCGTGCTTAGTATTGCCACCTTCCTTGGCGGCGATCGCGGCGGCGGCACCGGCAGGCGGGTCGATCTTCTCACTGGCGCCCGTGAGCGTGACACCATCGGGCAATTCGGACGCTTCAAGCTTCTCGAGCGCTTCGGCGGCGGATTTGACGGCCGGCAGCGTACCGGCAGCAGGTTGGTCGGCAGCGGCGGTGACAACACCGACGACGGCAAGTGCGGCAACGAGGAACGTGCTAAACTTCATGGTTGCGGTGGAGGTTGGCCGGGTGGGACTTGACTTGCTCAAGTGGGGGCAGATCGTGTTGTGAACGGCATGAAAGCGGGCCAGGTTGGAAACAAGTCTGCTTCGATCGGGGAGGTTCGTGCGCAGGTTTGGCAAAGTCGCCGAATCGGCAGACGCGTCGACAATGAAGTCAAGTGGTAGTGATTGATGCGCTTCTTGTCGGCGCGCGTCAATCGCTGCCGAGCCTGAACCACATCCGATGCGGTATCGCCTTCAGGCAGAACACAGTTGCGCGAGTTTGGGCGGCGATTCTGGACAAGCAAATCGGAAAGCCATACCAACTGCGTTAGACTCGAAACGCACGTATTGGGAAGTAGTAGTTCCAACCATTTCGTGGGATTTTTGTCGGATTCATTGGGTTCACGATATCTACCTATTGTAGATGGATAATTTCAAGATATCTAGAACTAATTCGATCTAGAATTTCAATAATAATAAAAAATAAAATAAACAGACTCCAACACAAATTGAATTCTTTCAACCAAACGAGTATCTATACTACAACTACCGAACCAAGCTTCGGAAACAGATTCACAATCCGGCGCAAGACGAAGAAAAAAAAGCACGAAAAACCAGCTTCAAAAAGGAGAAAGCATTGCATTCCGAGTGTAAATTCTACGCCACTGCGCCAAGGTACAGCTGATGAACCTTACTTCGTTACTCGGTGCAAGTCGCCAGAGGCGTAGGTGGCTCATCATGATCACGTACGTAGTCGAAGCTAGCAGTAGTAGAGGCCGCCGAAAGGCATGCCCAGGCCGCAGCTGCCGCCGTAGAGACCCGCGCCGAACATGTTCCAGTAGCCCAGCGGGTAGGCCCAGCCAGGGGAGCCGCCGCACATGAATCCGAAGCGGTAGGGGCCGTAGCCGCCCCAGCCACCCCAGTTGCCCCAGCCGCCGCCGAGACCCCAGCCAGCGCCAAGGCCCAGACCCCAGCCGCCGTACTGCTCCTTCTTGTCGTCGTCACCATCGTGCTTAGTATTGCCACCTTCCTTGGCGGCGATCGCGGCGGCGGCACCGGCAGGCGGGTCGATCTTCTCACTGGCGCCCGTGAGCGTGACACCATCGGGCAATTCGGACGCTTCAAGCTTCTCGAGCGCTTCGGCGGCGGATTTGACGGCCGGCAGCGTACCGGCAGCAGGTTGGTCGGCAGCGGCGGTGACAACACCGACGACGGCAAGTGCGGCAACGAGGAACGTGCTAAACTTCATGGTTGCGGTGGAGGTTGGCCGGGTGGGACTTGACTTGCTCAAGTGGGGGCAGATCGTGTTGTGAACGGCATGAAAGCGGGCCAGGTTGGAAACAAGTCTGCTTCGATCGGGGAGGTTCGTGCGCAGGTTTGGCAAAGTCGCCGAATCGGCAGACGCGTCGACAATGAAGTCAAGTGGTAGTGATTGATGCGCTTCTTGTCGGCGCGCGTCAATCGCTGCCGAGCCTGAACCACATCCGATGCGGTATCGCCTTCAGGCAGAACACAGTTGCGCGAGTTTGGGCGGCGATTCTGGACAAGCAAATCGGAAAGCCATACCAACTGCGTTAGACTCGAAACGCACGTATTGGGAAGTAGTAGTTCCAACCATTTCGTGGGATTTTTGTCGGATTCATTGGGTTCACGATATCTACCTATTGTAGATGGATAATTTCAAGATATCTAGAACTAATTCGATCTAGAATTTCAATAATAATAAAAAATAAAATAAACAGACTCCAACACAAATTGAATTCTTTCAACCAAACGAGTATCTATACTACAACTACCGAACCAAGCTTCGGAAACAGATTCACAATCCGGCGCAAGACGAAGAAAAAAAAGCACGAAAAACCAGCTTCAAAAAGGAGAAAGCATTGCATTCCGAGTGTAAATTCTACGCCACTGCGCCAAGGTACAGCTGATGAACCTTACTTCGTTACTCGGTGCAAGTCGCCAGAGGCGTAGGTGGCTCATCATGATCACGTACGTAGTCGAAGCTAGCAGTAGTAGAGGCCGCCGAAAGGCATGCCCAGGCCGCAGCTGCCGCCGTAGAGACCCGCGCCGAACATGTTCCAGTAGCCCAGCGGGTAGGCCCAGCCAGGGGAGCCGCCGCACATGAATCCGAAGCGGTAGGGGCCGTAGCCGCCCCAGCCACCCCAGTTGCCCCAGCCGCCGCCGAGACCCCAGCCAGCGCCAAGGCCCAGACCCCAGCCGCCGTACTGCTCCTTCTTGTCGTCGTCACCATCGTGCTTAGTATTGCCACCTTCCTTGGCGGCGATCGCGGCGGCGGCACCGGCAGGCGGGTCGATCTTCTCACTGGCGCCCGTGAGCGTGACACCATCGGGCAATTCGGACGCTTCAAGCTTCTCGAGCGCTTCGGCGGCGGATTTGACGGCCGGCAGCGTACCGGCAGCAGGTTGGTCGGCAGCGGCGGTGACAACACCGACGACGGCAAGTGCGGCAACGAGGAACGTGCTAAACTTCATGGTTGCGGTGGAGGTTGGCCGGGTGGGACTTGACTTGCTCAAGTGGGGGCAGATCGTGTTGTGAACGGCATGAAAGCGGGCCAGGTTGGAAACAAGTCTGCTTCGATCGGGGAGGTTCGTGCGCAGGTTTGGCAAAGTCGCCGAATCGGCAGACGCGTCGACAATGAAGTCAAGTGGTAGTGATTGATGCGCTTCTTGTCGGCGCGCGTCAATCGCTGCCGAGCCTGAACCACATCCGATGCGGTATCGCCTTCAGGCAGAACACAGTTGCGCGAGTTTGGGCGGCGATTCTGGACAAGCAAATCGGAAAGCCATACCAACTGCGTTAGACTCGAAACGCACGTATTGGGAAGTAGTAGTTCCAACCATTTCGTGGGATTTTTGTCGGATTCATTGGGTTCACGATATCTACCTATTGTAGATGGATAATTTCAAGATATCTAGAACTAATTCGATCTAGAATTTCAATAATAATAAAAAATAAAATAAACAGACTCCAACACAAATTGAATTCTTTCAACCAAACGAGTATCTATACTACAACTACCGAACCAAGCTTCGGAAACAGATTCACAATCCGGCGCAAGACGAAGAAAAAAAAGCACGAAAAACCAGCTTCAAAAAGGAGAAAGCATTGCATTCCGAGTGTAAATTCTACGCCACTGCGCCAAGGTACAGCTGATGAACCTTACTTCGTTACTCGGTGCAAGTCGCCAGAGGCGTAGGTGGCTCATCATGATCACGTACGTAGTCGAAGCTAGCAGTAGTAGAGGCCGCCGAAAGGCATGCCCAGGCCGCAGCTGCCGCCGTAGAGACCCGCGCCGAACATGTTCCAGTAGCCCAGCGGGTAGGCCCAGCCAGGGGAGCCGCCGCACATGAATCCGAAGCGGTAGGGGCCGTAGCCGCCCCAGCCACCCCAGTTGCCCCAGCCGCCGCCGAGACCCCAGCCAGCGCCAAGGCCCAGACCCCAGCCGCCGTACTGCTCCTTCTTGTCGTCGTCACCATCGTGCTTAGTATTGCCACCTTCCTTGGCGGCGATCGCGGCGGCGGCACCGGCAGGCGGGTCGATCTTCTCACTGGCGCCCGTGAGCGTGACACCATCGGGCAATTCGGACGCTTCAAGCTTCTCGAGCGCTTCGGCGGCGGATTTGACGGCCGGCAGCGTACCGGCAGCAGGTTGGTCGGCAGCGGCGGTGACAACACCGACGACGGCAAGTGCGGCAACGAGGAACGTGCTAAACTTCATGGTTGCGGTGGAGATTGGCCGGGTGGGACTTGACTTGCTCAAGTGGGGGCAGATCGTGTTGTGAACGGCATGAAAGCGGGCCAGGTTGGAAACAAGTCTGCTTCGATCGGGGAGGTTCGTGCGCAGGTTTGGCAAAGTCGCCGAATCGGCAGACGCGTCGACAATGAAGTCAAGTGGTAGTGATTGATGCGCTTCTTGTCGGCGCGCGTCAATCGCTGCCGAGCCTGAACCACATCCGATGCGGTATCGCCTTCAGGCAGAACACAGTTGCGCGAGTTTGGGCGGCGATTCTGGACAAGCAAATCGGAAAGCCATACCAACTGCGTTAGACTCGAAACGCACGTATTGGGAAGTAGTAGTTCCAACCATTTCGTGGGATTTTTGTCGGATTCATTGGGTTCACGATATCTACCTATTGTAGATGGATAATTTCAAGATATCTAGAACTAATTCGATCTAGAATTTCAATAATAATAAAAAATAAAATAAACAGACTCCAACACAAATTGAATTCTTTCAACCAAACGAGTATCTATACTACAACTACCGAACCAAGCTTCGGAAACAGATTCACAATCCGGCGCAAGACGAAGAAAAAAAAGCACGAAAAACCAGCTTCAAAAAGGAGAAAGCATTGCATACCGAGTGTAAATTCTACGCCACTGCGTCAAAGCAGAAACTTTGTTGATCCAAAACACCAGGTGGCGCATGTTGTCGCGAGTTGGTGCAGTTCCCCTACCGAAGATATCTCAATGAAATCCTCGGCTGCATGCAGAACCTCCACCATGTACTAGTCAGCTCGAGGTTTGTCGGGTTCTTTGCTGCCGGTTGATTCCCATTCTTGCGAGAGATGTCCGCCATGTTCATTCCGCTCCGTCGAGCAAGAAATGCGACTTACTTGCAAGTTAAAAAAAGAAATATAAAAGTAGCAATATAGCTATGCAATAAATGTAGCTGTATTATTGTTTATTTGAAAATTATGGATATATCATCCACATCTTCTTTGTGCGACGCGCGGCCTTGCATCAAGGCAAAGCGCCAATTTAGGAGAGAGTGCTCAGTTTAAGAGAGACCTTTTCAGCCAGTAATAGTGCAGTATTCTTTCATCAAAGCGCTATGATTGGTCAATAACCTTTTATGAACAGAGACGCCAGCATTTGCATACAAACTTCAAGCTTAAATCTCTCTTAAACTGGCGCACCTGCTATCCGAGACGTCTTCATAACTTGCTTGGTTTTGTGTTGCCTTCACAACGTTTTTGATCAGTTGTAGATCCATAAATAGTCGAAACCGTCCTCTTTCTGCTGGTGCCAAAACCATCGTTATGCGCCAAAAAATGACGCCGGGGCGACAAAACAAAATTGACACTCCGAAATCGCTCTTAAGCTGGCGCTTTGCCTTACGAGCAGGTAAAAAAAAAGTAGGCAGTTTAAGCGGTTTTCATTTAACGTATAATACCGAATAGTATGTCCTAAGGTATTAGAGTCCCCTGCGAATAGAGCGCCCTATGGTGAGGGCATACTATAACAATAGAGTGCCATCAAATAGAGTGCCATTTATTAGAGTGCCGTTCCGAATAGGCTGCGGTCGAACTGACAGACTGTACATACACGTTGATATTATACATGTTGAATGCGTTGGGTAACTACTTGCCGCGCTCAACTGCGATGCCATTCCGGCATGGATCGCGCTGCAAGACGACATCGTGCCAGTTTTGCTTTTTCAGGAGCACAGACAATCAACCATACGACTCGACATCAAAATGCAATCTTTTGAGTGGATTACCAGCGCAAAACTGGTTAATAATCGGAAGTGTAGAGTAGTAGGAGAACCTGCACCCCGATTGCATGACCGTATTCGATGGGTTTGCGTTTCGGCTCTCCTCAAGAATAGTATGCCGCATACTAATGGTATTATATGTTATACATTTTTAAATGCCTGGTCCTTTTCGCTATGTGCTCCACACAACAGTAGTGTGCGCCACAAGAACAACTCCAAGTTGAAGTTTGGGTCATCAGATCTTCGCATAATCCACCACCAAGAAGCCGTCAAAGCCTACACCCCTACACCCCCACACGCCCGATGTCCGCGTCCCCCACCAAGAAGCAGAAGGTGGCCGGCCCCTTGACGGCGCACAACCTGATCGACGGCGCGTTCGTGCCGCCCTCGGGGGGCGACTACCTCAACGTCATCAGCCCCAGCAGCAGCCAAGTGATCGGCAAGTGCGCGCTGTCCACGGCCGCGGACGTGCAGCTGGCGGTGGCCAAGGGCCAAGAGGCCTTCAAGCAGTGGCGCCAGACGACCGTCAAGGCGCGCGCGGCCATCATGCTCAAGTTCCACGCGCTCATGGTGCAGCACCAAGGTGGGAGATAGTTAGAGGGCCCTGAGAACAAATTAGAGGGGTGTTTCATTAACATTGGGGTGTATTTGGGGGGTGGCAGACGAGCTGGCGGACATTGTGGTGCAGGAGAACGGCAAGAACCGCACGGAGGCGCTCGCCAGCGTGCTCAAGGGCAACGAGACGGTGGAGTACGCCTGCAGTCTGCCGCAGCTGGTGCAGGGCCGCACGCTGCAGGTGTCGCGCGGCATCTCGTGCCAAGAGGTGCGCGATCCGCTGGGCGTCGTGGCCTGCGTCGTGCCCTTCAACTTCCCCATTATGGTGCCGATGTGGACGGTCCCCATCGCGTTGACCATGGGCAACTGCGTCATCCTGAAGCCGTCGGAGAAGGTGGGCGCTGAGATCTTTGTGTTGTTATTTTAATATGAGACGGTTGAGCTGATTCTTGCGTTAATCGTAGGTTCCTCTGACTATGGCGCGCGTGGCGGAGCTGCTGCTGGAAGCTGGGGTCCCCAAGGGCGTCTTCCAGGTGAGTTTAGTTGTGTGTGTCCAATGCTGGAACTATTGCTGATGGTTTGGATGGTTGTGACTATGGTTTTAGATCATCAACGGAACGGTGGACCCTGTCAACAGCTTGTGCGACCACCCTGGCGTTGCCGCTGTCACGTTCGTTGGCTCGAGTCGCGTGGCGCAGCTCGTTGCTCGTCGATGCCGCGCTCTGGACAAGCGTGTGCTCGCTCTGGGTGGCGCAAAGAACCACTTGGTGGCTCTTCCGGACGCAGATATTGATGTCGCCTCCAAGGATATTGTTGCGTCGTACGCTGGTTGTGCGGGACAGCGCTGCATGGCTGCTTCTGTGCTTTTGCTCGTGGGGGATTGCAATGCGCTGCTCGACATGATCGTTGAGAAGTCGAAGGAGCTGGCTCGCGGAACTGAGGCTGGGCAGGTTGGTGCGCTTATTGATGAAGGCTCGAAGACGCGCGTGCTCAAGTACATCAACGAGGCCGAGGCTGCTGGTGCCAAAGTTCTGGTGGATGGTCGGTCGTGGGCCGAGGAGACGAACGGATTCTGGGTGGGACCTACGGTGCTGCTCCACGCAAGCCCGAACGACGCTGCCATGAAGGACGAGATCTTCGGTCCTGTGCTTTCGGTGTATCGTGTGAGCTCTTTCGACGAGGCTCTTCAGATCGAAAACGGAAACGACTACGGCAATGCAGCCGCGATCTACACGTCGAACGGGGCCTATGCTGAATATTTCCAGTCGCGCTTCCGCGCCGGCATGATTGGGGTCAACATCGGCATTCCCGTGCCACGTGAGCCGTTCAGCTTCGGCGGTATGTACGGCACCAAGAGCAAATACGGCGACATGGACATCACGGGCGATGGCTGCGTTGAGTTTTTCTCCACGCGCCGCAAGATCACGACCAAATGGAGCACGGTGATCCACTCGGGCGACGCGGCCAACTTCAGTGGCCAGATGTGAGCAATTGAGAGCTCTTTCGACGAACGATTTTTCTTGTGCAAGATGAGTTTGGCCAAGTGTACAACCCCGCTTGATCGAGCCACAGAAAGAAAAAGCTTACAGATTCCAGTTCTTCGTCGGTATGAGTGTTTTGTTAAGCACAACACCTATTCGTAAAGTTATTGGACTTGGAACAAGCCGACAACTTGGTACTCAACTCATGCACGGCTTTCAAATTCTGAGCAACACCTCCGTCGTCACAATGAACAACTTAAGTCCTTGCTGTCAGTTTAGTCGCGTACAGGACGAGGAGGGGCTGTGCGGTTGGAATGGGGGTCGGAAAGCGTGTGTAGTACAACTTGCGCGCGTTATGAGCGTCCTGCTGCGCGTCAACGCTGTCGGCCGCGTTGGTGGGGGCAAAGCACAGCGTGACAGCGATCGCGGCGATGAGAAGTGTCTTGGCGAACTGCATCTTGAAGCGTGGTCTCTCTTGCGTAGCGAATTGGAAAGTGACGGTGAGAACACCGTCTAAAGTTTGCGTCAAACGATAATCGTAGCAGCTTCTGGCTCGCTTACACGTACTTGCCGTAGGGTGCGATTTGACAGACGGCAGACATCAAAGTTTGCGTTAGATCTGAGGTGTTCGACAACCGAAAAACTCAAACACTACAGTAGAAAAGAAAGTCAACCGGAACATTGGTAGTTGCAAGCAAGTTAAGCTGGGTGTCTTTAAGCTACGAAGAGGCTGTGGTTGTAGAACTGCGAGGAATCAACTCCAGGATGCTGTCGTTCGGGATGACTGCGCCAACTGAGATGGTCGGGTAGGCAACGAGCGTCCACTCCTTGCATTCCGACGAAATGAAGACCGGCAATGACCCAGCCCAATGTCCGTAAGAGATCGTCCACGCGAATGTCGTCACACTGGTGCTTGAACTTGTGCTGTCGACTGCAACTTGAGCCACTTGAATGTCGTCGTACTGAATGAGTCCGCGAAGAGATACCGCCAAGGAGTCGGGGTCTGCAGCGCTCGATAGTGTGACTGTGGTGCCATCGCGCATGAGAGTCAACGGAATGGTGAGTGAGCCGAGAGTCGAGATTGAACCAGTGTAGATCAACCGCTGCAGCTTCTGAGCAGGAGAAATGCTCCACTTGCCGACCGTCAAGTAGTTGGACGCCAGCGATGACCACTTTGAAGACAGCACGGGCGCGAGAGCGAGTGGACAGGCACTGCGGCTGTAGCACGCACTAGCGTTCACGAGCTTGCACCAAGACGCGCCGTTCACGTCGCCCCTCGACACGCCATTGGTGATGGCCGCTGGGAGACACGCAGTGATGTCAGCTTCGAGCGAGCGCTTGGTTCCGCTCTGGTCCGCTCGCACGAGGTTTAAGATCGCATCTGCCAACGACGTCGTGGAAGTGGACGAGTCCGAGGCAACGGTGACGGTCGTGGTGCTACTGGGGCTTTGGTATTGCATCACGCAGTCGGCCATGGCCGCACACTTGGCGTCTCGGAGACACACGTCCAGTGTTAGCCGCTTGCATTCGGTGCACGTGTCAGTTGGCGATGGATCTGTTGTGGTTGCGAAGGGAATCGGACCACCAGCAGACACGTATCGCACTCGAATTGTTGGTGTCGCCACGGTCGTGATCGTCGCTCCAATCGCTTGAGTTTGTGCGTCACTCGCAACGGAGACCAACGTAGGCAACGGACCCACGAGACCGTCGTAGAATATGTCGACAGCAGTGGCCCCCGCAGTGTTCGAGGCCACGCTAGCTTGAACAGTGCCTAAGTACTTCGCGAAAGTACAGGAGCGAGCGATTCTCGTCTGCAGCCAGTCAGCAGTGACGTTGTTCCATAGAGGCACGTAGCAGACCACGCGCGTGCCGATGCTCACGGAAATGTTCAATGGTGAACTGGTGGGAGCAGGGAAGTTCAAGACTCCTGACGCTGGCTGCACTCGCTGCTGGCCCTTGCCACTTCCCCACGCTAGTTTAATCCCAGAAGGAACGACAATACTGGAACTTGGCGGCTGTATCGGACACAGTCGCTGCAGTTGGCATCGAATTGCGCTTGTGAACAACATAAGAGCATTCACATCCACGGGAACAGTAGCTGATCCAGCTAGACACCCATTGAATAATGAATAGAGGTCGTCCGTCTCGTAAGCCGTCGACGTTGCGCTCACCAACTGCGTGATAGGCGTCTGGATCGCCGACAGTACGCACGTTTTCAAAGCGGCACACGTCGCGTCGTTCGTACACCACTCCAGAAGCTGCAGACAGTGCGCACAGCCATCCGCGGCCTTCTCCGTGACATCCGCCACGCCAAACTCGAGGTAAAGCAGCAACTTGCTGACATTATCGGTCGCTCCGTTGCGTAGCAGGCGGCTCTGATGGCGAACCACGACATTCGATGGGCTCACGGCACTGCTTGAGCTTGAAGTGCTGCTGCTAGCAGGACGACTCGTCCTGGCAGGACGAGTTTGAGAGCCACGTTGAGGTGTTCAGGTGTGGATCCCTGCAAAGTCCACAGCGGCGTCGACGTGTTACCGACCCGAACTATCGGAGCTGCAGGCAACGAAGACGAGGACGTCGAGTCGTCGAGGAAAAACGCCGTCGAAGGGAAGAGATTCCACGCCACAGAATCCGTCGACTCGGCGCTTTCCAGCCAAAAGTCTTGCGTTAATGTGTTGCTCCAGAAGACGGTCGTGGTGAACACACCGCTGAGGTCCATGCTACTGAGCGTGGCGCTGGACGGGTATGTCACGTCCGTCGGGATCGACGCAGCGTAGCGCTCAGGATCGTACTGGAATTGCTGCCTCTTGCGTCGAAGTGCATTCATCGCGTCGTTGGAGACCGCAGCGAGCAGCGTGGCAGTATCCGCTACAGCTCCTGGTAGTGCCGGGTTTCCAGCTGGGAAGGTGTCGACGTTCATATACCGGAACACGTACGGGATCAGCGTCGCAGCGAACAATTGCGAGCCTGCGAGGGCCTGAGAGCCCAGTGCAGTCGCCAACTCCGTCGAAGCGAAGACATAGTCGAGAAATGTGGCGGGTCTTGTAGTGCCGGCGGTGTCACCAGCTACAAGACGTGAGAGATCCCCGAACAACACGAGATTCGCCGCCACTTTGAAACGCAGTGACAACCTGCCACATCGGCTCGGAGGCATTTGCACGCCTGCAACACTGAGCACCATCGACTCTAGGCGCTTCCCCAAGGCAGCAGCTAGCCCCGTTGTGTTGAGGGCTGCAGGTGCCACCGTCGTGTTGAACGCCAGGAGTGGGTCTCCGATCAGGAACAACACCTCGTACGTCGCTTTGCTGTGTTGCGGACGCTCAACACCGTGACGGCATCAGTCGAGTAGAAGGACTTGGTCCCTGCAACCAGAGCTGGCTCCGTCATCGAGACCTGCAAGAGGCTCGCACTGGGCCAACGGAGCCGCATGAAGGCCGGAGACGCGTGCAGCCACGGGTCCGTAGCTGTTTGAGCTTCGATAGCATGGAGGAGGAGAGATGCCACGCAGGACAAGAACCACAGCATTTGCGTCAACCTGCTCGCCATCTTGATACACTTGAGGATCTGATGGGGATATTCCAGCTTGGAAGCGCCTCTTGAGTCGATCGGGATCCTGTGAAGCGGTGCAGCATGGAAAAGGGCTGAGGACACCTGGAGGACGTACCGGGACGCCTGGACAACAAAACCTACATTAGATTATCGTAACTTAAGCCGCTTCTTACGTCGGAAGCTCAATACATAGAGCAAACAATTGTAAATGCTGACTCCACGCTTCCCGTCGGCGGAGGAGCTCAGCTGGTCGTTTGCTTCGAGTCGCCGCTGCTGGCGGACGAGAGGTTGCTGGGCTCGCGGTGTTCGTGCTCCGAGTAGTTGTCGCCGCCCAGCACCGGCGTGGAAACGTACGTGAACGTGTCGAACATGTCGAGGTCGATGGTGTAACGCCCCGCGGCGCTGGGGCGAGCGTCGGACGCGGCGATGGCGGACTCCACGTCCGTGGCACTGAGCTCCGTCTTGCTGGCCTTACTGGCCTTGCTGCTACTGCTGAGGTCTCGCACTGAGCCCGACAATGAGCTCGAGATGGATCGACGCCATTCCAGCTGCACAGGCTCCAGCATCTCCAGTACGGATTGACGTCGCGGTTGGCTCTGCTTGGAGTCGTCCACACTCAGGCGATGCTGGCGGTACTCGTGCTCAGTGATGATGGTGTCCAGTTGATCGAGGTCATCGATGACAGTGTCGCATCGCTCGTCGACGCTGCGGGTTTGCTTGGCGCTACTGGTACTTCGAGCGCGCAGTTTGTCCTCGGAGGGGAGATACACCACGTGCTTCTCATCTGACGCGTGCGTGATAGCTTGTTTCATCTTGCGGCCTAGATGGCGCACCGAATGGGTCTGCCAGAAGCCTTGTGACGACGAGGAGGAGCGAGCGGGCGATTCGTAGTCTCCAGGCGAGTGCGTTGTGGCAAACGCTGCTGAGTTTGGCGAGTGAAGCACTGGAGTAGCCAGCGTCATGCCGTTCACCGAGCCCCTAGCAAACCTCGGAGGCTCTCGGTCATCTCCGTCGGACGACTTGGATGCTTTATCCAGCTTCTTCTTGTGTCCTCGACCACTGCTTGCCTTGCTTACACCGCGGAATCTCGTTTCTGGCTGCTCCGGACGACCACCGGGGGCTGCCGACAACACGCCACCTGCAAGAGCGTGAAGCGCCTTGTTGTCTTCAAACCAGGATGCATCGATGTCCCGCCTGCGCGTCTCCGGTCCCATGAGCAGAATCAACGGGATCAGAACAATGGCCACCCCGCCGCACACTGCCAGCATCACACGCTCATCGTGCCAAGACCACGCTTCGTCGCCCATGACTCGTCGAAGCACGAGATAAGCCCCGGCGAACATACCGAGGTGGCCCCAAGCTGCAGCACACGAGATACCCAGAGCTCGAGTGAGCAGCGGGAACTGCTCGCCAGTAAAGGGGATGATCGAGCCGATGGTGCCACCTGTCGCCAATACCAGCGTCCCCAGCGACAGCAACAAGCCCAGCCACTCCCCGTTCTCTTCCAGTAGCCAAGCCGATGTTACCATAACAATTCCAGCGAGAAACACAAACAAGGCCAACGTTCCGCGTCGGCCCACGGTCTCCACCATCATGGCGGCGAGGATCAAGCCAGGAAACGTCATGGCCGACCAGAAGAGCTGATCCCCGACTCCAAAGCCTGCCCCCAGTTGGTTCACCTTGATGAACGTCCCAGCCATCATCAGCGTCGTCACAATTGCTGCGCTCAAGCACGTACACTCTGCGAACCAGAAGAACCAAATGAGCGCTGTCCGCCGAGCCAGAGACCCCGAGAACAGCGCCACCACTCGACGCGCAAGGGCCCTCATAAAAGAGATATCTGCTGTAGGGGCCAGTGAATCACTGGGAGTCCCCAGATCCCCCGAGCTTGGCGTGCAGACTTCAACCTGGTTCTGATGCCGGCTCTGCAGTCTCCTCGCGGATGCTCGTTGGCTCTGACTGCGTGCCTTGGCTGCCCCTGGCCCTGCATAGCTGTACCTGTTGCTCCTGCTTCTCGACGCCGACCTTGCGCGCATTTCCCTCTGAATCTCCTCGTCCTGGCCGCTGTGCTGTCCTGGCCGCAGATCCAAGCCCAAGTCCGAGTCCGAGTCGGAGCTGCTCTCCAAATACCGCTCGTAGCTCACCTTGGGGCACTGCGACGGCGGCTCATATAAACTCGTCGGCACCGTCACTCTGGCCTGGCGGGTGATGCCGTGGGCCGTCTCGATCTTCTCCAGCACGTAGAGCGCTTCCTCCGTCCGGCCGACGCTGGCCAAGTACTTGGGCGACTCCTCCAGCGCCAGGTAGAGCACCGCGGCGTACAGCAGCGCGATGGCGCTCAGCAAGCCATAGGCGGCTCTCCACCCGAGTCCTCCATCCCCCAGCGCATAGGTGGCCAATTGGCCGTAGCCCACCCCTCCCAGCACTCCCAAGCCCGCAATGGACACCGTGAGCACCGTGATCCTCCCCCTCGTCCTTGTGGGCGTGTACTCGAGCGCGAGCGTCGACAGCAGCGCCAACTGGCCGCCGATGCCCATCCCGGCCAGCAGCCGCAGCGTCACGAAGGACGCGTAGTTCCACGCGCCCGCCGTGAGCGCGTTGACCACGAGCCAGAAGCTCAGCGCGCTGAGCAGCACCGGGCGGCGGCCGAAGTGGTCGGCGCACACCCCGAAGGCGAGGCAGCCCACGGCCCCGCCCAGGAAGTAGACCCCCAGCAATAGAATCACCTGCGCCGTGCTCGTGAGCACGATGTCCTCCTGCGCCGCCGGCAGCGCGTACAGGAACGTGAAGATGCCGACCATGGCCAGCAGCCAGCCCGTGCCCAGCAGCAGCACGAGGCGCACGTAGAAGCCCGTGAGCCCCACGCAGCGCAGCCACGAGCCCAGCAGCGTCGGGCGCCGCCGACTCGTGCTCGTGGTCGGCGCCACGGAGAGCGACTGCACGAAGGGCGAGGCCTGCAGCGAGCTCAGCAGGTACTGCGAGTGGTCTTCGTAGGTGATCGCGTCCAGGCGCTGGCGCACGTGCACCAGGAGCTCCCCGGGCTCGGCCATGGCGATGGCGATGGACGGACGCTTGCTACAGTGTGTACGGTATGTGGGGAGCTCTTTTTGAGGACTGGTGCCGTTACACGATGATGGAGCCAGAGCTTGTCAGTCAATGACATGCGACGTGGACAGGCGCGCGCCCAAATTATGGGTTCAGAGCCTATTCTCTGTATGGGAATGTTGATTACATTGACTTATCCTATTCTCTGTATGGGGCGGTATGGCAGCGAAATGGGGCCACCGAAAAAAGAATGGCAAGAAAGTGACTACCAAGTAGTCCGCGACGCACTACCTGTAGCGTTCATGGAGCGATTCGTTGCGTTGATGCATGCACACTCAAGCTTGCTAGCGCTAAGTACGACGCTAACAAGCTTCCAGCCCCCTCCAGCAAGCTCCTGTTTTCACAGACCTCTTAACATGTAAGTGCCGTGCGTTCGATGGTTTACATCGTAAATTCTATCCGGTAGTCATTGCTATCCGAAAAAAGGCACAGAAATGGGACGGCGCGAACGGATCTATTTATTCGTACCAATAAATCGGTACCTGGGTGGAAGCTTGGGGTCAACACAATGACCAGCAGCCACAGGGGGCACCATGGGGCGGCGACCTGGGCTGGTAAAGGTCTGGGAGCTCGTCTACATGTGTTGAGTGCGTCTGATCCTCGACAGAGTCCACCACGGACGGCGACCTAGCTTTTAGGGCAGCGTTGCTGAGCGTTCAACGCTCCTGGCCGACATCGCGGCTGAGTCGCAATGAAAAGTGGGCGCTCGTGACTCACGATTCGTGAGTCACGATCCTTTGTTCAATAAGGTTGGAGCGCGCTCTTGCGTCCAAGCGGCAACCGCAGCACACTACTGTACATGTACATACTCTCCGACAGTGTTAGCGTGCCACCTCAAGGTTAGTGTAGCTCGACTCGAGTCAAGTCTTCCTGGGAGCGAGTCGCTGTACCGCCCCGACCAGACGTAGGCGTTGCACTGATGCGTCAGTGGTCACCAGTTGATGCCTTCGCTGGAGAGCGTGTACAGTACTCCAGAACTGCAACACAAATACTGTACCATCACTCTGACAACTTCAACTTACATGGATACATAGATTTCGGCAGCTTCACACTCGGTCTACTTGGTGCCTTGTGTCCAGGACCGCGTCGACAGCAGCCTCGACAGTCTACCTCCAGGTGTCGACGACCGCCGCTGAGGGGGGGACGGGGACTTCGACAGACAAATGTTAGCGGGATTCCCGGCGTCGTCCTCGGCGTCGCCGAAGAGGTCGAGGCCCGGCTCGCTGGATCGGTGGTAGGGAGCTGGCATGGAATTCGATCTCGCCAGCGAACGCTCCGGTTGGGTCGAAGATATCTTCACCATGGAGTTGCGTAGTTGGCTGCCTCGACGAGACGCGTCTCGCGCGCAGAGGTTCTTGGCGCGCGTTGTCACGGCGAATCGGACACTGTGGAGGCCAGTCGACAGGGAGGAGAAGCACGAGCTCAGCGTGGCCTCCACACTCGAGCTTCGCCGGCGCGGCTTCACGCGCGCTTCTTCCCAGTCTTCGTCGTCGAGGTAGCCCTCCACCCCTGCAAGAATGGACGGATTGTTGTGCTGCTCGTGCTGCTCAAGGGCCTGCGAGACCTTGAGCGTCATGATCGATGCGAGGCAAATGCTGGAGTGACCTCAAGCTGACAGCCTGGCACGAACTCATCTCAGTTTTAACGGGGCGGGGCCAATCGAAAGCGCTGAACAAGTTGAACGAGTTCGGTGGGGCCGCTTTCGGTTTCTGGCGCCAGCCTTCTGGACAATGACCAACGCGAAAAGAAATCATCTGCGCAAGAAACGCTCGGGTTTGTTTGCTGTCAATTCAAACAAACCCGCGCGTAGTTCTTCGGACCGGTAGCATACTGGTAGATGCTTACGGCCTTGGTCACCACGCATTGAATAAGTGGTGTCTCGATTTCCCCGAATGCCTGGTGTTTGTGCGTAAGGATCATCAACAACGGTTGTTTTCTTTGCGCCGCAATAAACAAATTGTCTGAGTGTTGTTGTTATGAGCGGGTAAGAGATTTCCGCTGGGCTATTCCTCTGTTTTTGTTGTATTGGCGGGCAGTCTCGAATTCTTGCAAAGAGTTTTGTGGAGCTCTAGTTCATGCGCTCGATACCTTCCCGATCACTGTTTTCTCGTTGTTGTGGAGATCGTGAAGCGCGTCGTAGCCTCGTGGCTTGTCGATCGGACTCAAATGCACGTGCTGGTGCTCCAGCTTTTTATGTTGATGACAAGTTGTTGGATTTAGGCAAGTTCATACCGACAAGCTGGGACCAACGAATCATGCCCCTACGCAGAGAGTCCGCCATCCAGTTCGCTCTGGCAGCAACTCACTCCAAGTGCACGTTCTGTTTGCAGAATGACTAACAGAAGGCTTCGCAGTACTGTACCTGTTCACTGACGATGACGATGTATGACTGCGTGGCCTCATTTAGTACGATGATATCCAAGTGGCTCAAGTTGCAGTCGACAGCACGACTACAAGCACTGGCGCGACGAAATTCGCGTGGACGATTTCCTACGGACATTGGGCTGGGTCGTTGCCGGTCTTCGTATCGTCCGAGAGTAAGGAGTGGACGCTCGTCACGTACCCGACTATTTTAACTGGCGCAGCCGTCCCGAACGACAGTATTTTGGAGTTGACCCCTCGCAGTTCAACAAGTACTACGGCTACGACCAGCGCCACGGCCACCTCGTTGCACAAAGACACCCAACTTAACTTGCATGCACCTACCGATGTTTAGTTGAGCTTCTCTAGTTATTTTTTTAAGTTTTCTGTTGGCGAGTGGCAAGAGCGTTCTATCATGTGTAGCTGTGCAAGTCCTCAGTTTAAGTTTTTGCGTATTGTTGTGCGATCTCTTGTTGTTGCGTAAGGTTTCGCAGTGATGTTTGAAGTTCCTGCTCGCACGCTTACTACTTTCGCGATCACTGTTTTCCTTGAGTGAATTGCTTGTGATAACATGTAATAAGTTCACGTTGATGGCGCTTGCCGACTTCCTCTGTACATAATCGAACACTGAAGTCAGAATGGCAAAGTGTTTTGGCACGTTCATCAATCCCTACGGTTGGCCACCGTGCAGCACAGGGCCTGTCTGTATACATGCATTGCCGCCGGCAATTTGCCAGTCCGTAAAAATCTTATCAAAAGGCACCAGCAACTTTTTCAACCAAGCCTCAATGCCAAACAATTGTGTAAAATAAAATAAGTCAGCACTGATTGCGCGATTTTACCATCACATGCTACCGTATTTGTCATAACCACATACTTAAGTACTACTAAAAAATAAATGGTTATAGTCAGATTGGCCATCATTGATCGCCTATTATAGTAAGTAAAATCTTTGGTCAACATGGATCGCGCGATTTGTAAATATAAATAAGTATCGTGTCTTTCACTTCTGAAAAAGTAACAAGTCGTAGCTTATTAGTGTGATACCCAATGAGCTTATACCTCCAACATACTCAAGTGCATTTTTCTAGTAAGTTAAGTATTTTATTAGTAAGATACAGCAAATGTTTGGATCTGTTTTCCAGCCTGTTTCGTTCTACGGAGTAATCAATCATTCAGGCCTGCCCTCTCCAGACCCACCAGCTCCTGGGCACAACTGTCGACGCAGCAGTAAAGCTCCCTTACCTGTGGGCCATCTTGTGGGGAAGCTTTTTGTCCCCTTATTTGCATGCCTACGCCCTAAAGAAGAAAGTGTACCCGACCATTCACTATCGATACGTTGGAATAATGTGTGCCGCTCGATGTTCTACTTTCCCATGCTAGCTAGCCACCGGGAATATAAACGGAAGACAAGTAAAACCATAGGCGATTACACATTTTCCACCTTGTTCAGCCGAACAGCCTCCGCGAACTCGGCGATGGGGTTCACAGTCCACATGTTCGACTGCTTTTTGCTCTGCGACTTGTTATTTTCTTGCTCGGCGTGGTCCCTGAGAGAGCTCTCATAGAACGCCAAGTGACCGCCCGACTTGGTTGTGCACAGGATCACGTTCGGGTTGGACCTCACCTCGTCGTCCTTCGGCAAAGCTGAGCTGATGCTGATGGGGTCGTCCTCCGCATTGATGCACAGCAACGGCACGCGCACGTCGCCTAGCTTCTTGACGGAACCAGCATCGTTGTAATAATCGTCCACAGTGTTGTAGTGGAACACGTACTTGGTCAACGTATCGTCAAAGTCTCGGACAGTGCGACTGGCCTTGATAGCCTCTAGGTCCACGCCAGGGAAATCGACAAAGTGCTCTGCTGCATTACACTGTCAACGCAACGATAATTATAAGTTAGCAAACAATAACCACACATTCATCCCGTGTTAATGTCCGTACCTTGTTGAAGAAGAGCTCGCGGAGGTTCGAGTTGAGGGCCTTATCGTACGTCATGCGGTTAAACAGCGAGCCACCGAAGTTCGCCGAGCAGATCGCCAAGTCGAACGGGTTTCCGACCGAGACCGCGCCAGTTAGAGGAGCTTTGTCTCCCTCTTCTCCCAAATACTTAACCAATACATTGGATCCCATCGAAAAGCCCACTCCAACGAACGCCTCCTTCGCAAACTCGTACTTCTCGCTCAGTTGCTGCAGCACAAAGCGCAGGTCGCCGGTGTACGCGCTACAGAACAGCTGCGCAGTTTTCACGGGGGTGTTGGCGCACCCTCGAGCATTCAATACCACACACTGCCAACCAAGCTCATGAAGGCGAGCAATCGTACTGCGGATGTAGTTCTCTGGGCTGCCGCCCGTAAGTCCAGGCAACAATATCACCGTGCGTCGCGCGGGCTCCACATCGGGCAGCCACGTCGACGACGCCGAGACCGACTTGTTGAGGTCTCCAACCTGCGCCGGTGCGTCCTGGGCGTGCAGAAGCGCCCAATCCAACGACACGACGCCACCGTCAGGCAACCTCAGCAACTGGCGCTTGTAGTTGATCTCGGGGCCGCGCTCGTCGTAGGCGAAGCGCACGGTCTGCAGGTGGCCATTGAACAGACGCCACGGCGGGTAGTACTTGTGTTTCGCTGGCAAAACGCAACAGAGACAATAGATTAGCCACTCCTGTATAATTGCAATTGGAAGTGCAATTGCAATTGCTGCGCGCTTACTGATGGTGGGGCAGTGCGCCAGCAGCTTCTTGTTGCCGTCCGTGGAGCGGTACACGAGTCGCGGCGTCTCGGCGGCGCGCAGCAGGTGCCAGCGCATGAAGATCGATGCAATGGAGCGGCCGAGCAGCTTGCGGCCAATGTACAGCAGCAGCAACGCTAGGGCGAGTCGCGAGTGGCGCTGCAGCAGGCGCGTGTTGGCGTTCCCCATGGATATCGGGAAGTGTGCGGCTCTGATTCCTTCCTTTTTTGAGGGGGTTGACGTCGACTGTACTGACGTGGCGCGTCATTCTCCCACGTGATTACGCCTCATATATTAGTGGTGTGGACCACTCCATTTTATGTGGTCACACGTTTGTCGTGTACTACACACTAAGTTGTAAGTTTGTGTGGGTCAACGCTGACGAGCTTTCCAGCTTGAACGAGCCAGCCTGCAGGTGGTGCATCAGCCGATAACTGTGGAGCGTAGGGCCTTTGTGGTGCTAGCCATCTTTGTGGACGGTGACTGTTGTATAACAGCGTGCGGGATGCATACGGCATGACTCACGAACTATTAACTGCCTGCTCGAAACGGCACAACTTGAAGCTGTCAGGCGGTGCCTTCGAGCTTCCGAGCGGCTGGCGGTTGCCGCTTGATGCTTACGCACAATCTGTTTGCCGAGTTGTTGAGCGCGGGTGGTCAACTCTTCGGCCACTTCGGTCTGGGGGACGCCAGTTTTGCTGCAGCGTCGGCCCCGTCCACCTGGTTTCGCGCGTTACGCTCGGCGTGCAACTCGCTTAGCATCGTCGAGGGCGCCGTCGTCGACTACAGGAAGCTACATGTACGCCGCGCCGAGATAGGCGGACAGCGCATTAATGCGCCGAATATTTTGAATGTTTGACACGACGATCAGCCACCACAGGAGCCGGCCGCGCGACGCCGCGAAGAAGAGGAAGAGCCCCCATCGTGCAGAGTGCGGGGCCGCCCCGCGCTGACAGCCCAGGGGCCTTTCGGGCGGTGAGGCAAAGTTATTATGGGGCAGCGCGCTGCCAAGTGGCCGGTATTACTCACCGACAGCACGGCAAAATGGGCAGCTGGGATCAGAGCAGCATGGGGGCCGTGGGCCAGCAGCGGCAAACATTGCTGCAGTGTGTACATGTTGTTAGCCGCCCCGTCAAAGGTGGATATTCCCCCCTGGGTTCCGGTTCGGGGTGTCTTATAACTCGTTGCCTGACAAGTGCCGCGTATCTTTGGCGATCGATTCGACAATCCGCCCCTGTCACGCCACGCGCGTCGCATCGCGGCCATTAGACTGGCGCCCAGTATGCGCGGGGCGAAGACACCTCCGGCCACGGGTCACGGGGCTGTCCAAGTCGAGCGACTCCATGGCATTGGGCACGGTCTGTCCGTGTTGAAGTGGCCTGCTGCTGAACTCGAACTGAATGCATTTCGGCGCCGCCCATTGGCTGGCGTCTCGGCGCACTCATCCCCCTAAATGCGAATTTCCGGACCAGTCGTCGCGTCGTCTTCCCTTCCCTCCGCGGGGTTGTGGCAGGGCCGTCCCGACGCTGTCTGCTGCGGCGTCCTCGACCGCATAGCGCTGCGCCTTCACATTCCAAAGTCCCGCAGTGCACTCGCTCGCTGCCAGTTGCCAGTGCCTTAGTGCCCAGAGCCTAGTGCGCGCGTGTTCTGCAGCCAAAGCAATACTACTGTACGTAGTATACAGCAAGCAAGAATGACCTCCACCACACACAGCAGCTCCTCCAAGTACGGCTACGCGCTCAACTTCGACTGGAAGCACCCGTGGCCGCGCGCGCCGACGCCCAAGAACGAGGACGCGCGCCTGGCCGAGCTCGCGCGCTACCGCATCCTGGACTCGGAGCCCGACGAGAAGTTCGACAAGCTCTGCCGCATCGCGTGCAAGGAGATGAAGTGCCCCATCGCGGCCGTGAGCTTCATCGACAAGCAGAAGCAGTGGTTCAAGGCCAACAGCGGCCTCACGCAGCGCCAGATCCCGCGCGACGTCGCGCTCTGCGCGCACACCATCATGCACGCCAAGCGCGCGCTCGTGGTGGAGGACACGTCGCTGGACGAGCGCTTCCAGCACAACCCGCTCGTCACGCGCGCCTCGGCCGTGCGCTTCTACGCGGGCGTGCCCATCACGACACCCAACGGCTTCTGCATCGGCTCTGTCTTCGTCTTCGACGTCAAGAGCCACCACAACGTGGACGCCAAGATCCTGCACAAGATCGCCGCCAAGGTGCTCAAGTACATGGACGAGCGGCTCAAGAACATGGCGGCGGCCAACGGCGGCTCGCTGCCGGAGCCCGCCCCGCTCTCCTCCTCCACCTCGTCCACCAGCTCGCGGTCCAGCGCCGCGCCGCCCGCGCGGAAAACCGTGTCGCCGCCCACATCACAGGGGAGCACCGAGCAGCCCGCGGGCGAGACGGCCATGCGGGAACAGCAGCCGCCCCCGGCGCCCGTCAAGCCTGAGCCCGTTGCCGCTGCTACTGCCGACAGTGGAGCCATCGTGCAGGCCGCGCAGGCTGCGACTAGCACCGCCATCGAGGCGCAGGGACAGGGACAGGGAGGACTGGGCAACATGGGCTCCATGCTCATGAACCTGCTGGCGCGCACGACCGAGACCCAGCAGCAGCTCGCGGCGCAGCAGGGCGTCATGTTCGAGACGCTGGGCGAGCACTCGAACCAGCTCGAGTCGCTGGGCCAGTCCATGACCAACCTCGAGAAGCGCTTTGAGCAGGTGCGGCTCAAGAAGGAGCAGCAGCAGCGGAATGCGGCGAACGGAAGCCGCCGGCCCAAGCGCGTGTAATAGCCGACGCGACAGATTTGATTTGATCAAGAAGAAGAAGAGAGAAGTGGAAGAAGCTGCTCGTTTTAAGTGGTGGCTCGGGGCCGCGCGGGGCGGGAGTGAGGGGGGCAACATGCAGCTCGCCATGGACCGTAAAAGTATCTATACGCCTCCCCACCCACTCGCCGCCCGAGCCAAGAACGCCAGGCCCAGTCAACGTGTTGCATTACGAAATATATGTGCTGTGGCATTTTAGTAGACCCCCGTCAATTCGTCTCAACAGTTATTACATGGGTGCAGTCATTGCGATCCTCGAGCATTGTTGACTGGACACGTCAGTGGCGACTTGCAGTGTGGTCGTTCACGCGCTGACTGACTCGAATTTCGGTAGTGCATGTTGAAGTTGACGGCAACTTCAGCCCAGCGAGATGCTGTCGACATGGATTGAAGCTTCCAGCGTTTGCAGCGCTATCAGGCGTTGGTTACGCGTCCCTAAGTCTGTCTACAGAGAGAGAGTGACGAGTGAAGCTGAACTGGACGATGGCGTCTCCGCTGCTGCTGGACGCAGCGATTCGGAGCGATGGAGACGTGCGAGAGGCTCCCTACACGCTGCTGTGCATGGTCGCAGCCGTGGAGAAGGCGGCCGAGGACGTCGATAGTGTGTGGACGATCTACCAGGTCGAGAGAGACGTCCACCCCTACGAGCGCGTGCTTCAGGCGGCTGATGAATTCAGTCTGCACAGAGCTGCGTCCAAGCACAAGTCTCAACAGAAGGCTAAACACGAAGGTAATGAGGAGGAAGAGGAGACGTTGGTGGCGCCCCAACGAAGCCCACTACGCGTCCAGGCTGACCTGAAGAGACTGCTACGCTCAACATCACGAGTAGAGACTCAAGAACGACTGGAAAGACAGCTGGAGACTCTGAGACTCTCACAGGTCCGAGAGCTCACGGGCGTCTCGCTGCCCAAGCATCTTCAGATCACTGCGCTCGAAGAGGATCCGTTGGAGTTCCGTCGTGACATCCACGGCGTCGCTCAAGTTTTGGGTGCGTCCCTGTCAGCTCTGTTACTTTTCAAGTATCTCTCTCTCATTGACAGTGCGCTGCCTTTTGTGTATTTTTTTCTTTAGGACGCAACGTGTTGGGCGAGCACTACGCTCCCAAGTCAGACCCGCTGCGCTACCTCCACGCGTATTCAGTGCCCGAGCTGTTCAAGCGCATGAAACGAGCCGTACGAGAGGATCTGAACACTCGCAACCAGCGACGCATCGCAGCGTTGAACGCCAAGGAACGCGAGCGCAAGAAGGAGCTGGAACGACAAGGCATCCTCTCTCCAGAGCAGCAGCTCGAGGCCAAGTTCGATCGACTGCTCAATGCAAGCGCCTAAGCGCTAAATAATAGATTCCGCATGCAAAACGGACGGTGTGCAACCGTTGCTGTTGCAGCATGAAGCGACGCGATCCGAGATACACTTGCACTTTTGCCAGTCACGACGTTCACATTCCTTCAGTACCATGGCAAGCGGCGCAAAACGGCACTCCACCAGCGTCTGCAAGCGTCCAAGGTACCTTTCGGTTAGCTGCGGGCCCGGTACAACCAGTGTTCTGGTTGATGGCAACGTAGAACACGATCAATGTGAGCGGAGAGCTCGACATCTATCAAAGCTCGGCGTAAAGGTTTTGGTATTGCTGCTGGTTCTGTTCACGTCTCCAATTCTGGTAGCTGCAAGCCCATCGATTGACTACAGGACGTTAACGTGGAGCGAGTGGGAGGAAGTCTACACATCCACTCAGACCGATGCGGCGGCATTTTCGAGGATGTATCGCACAGGACCCCGTGTGAGAGCAAAGGTTCTGGTTGGGACCAAGATCTCGATGAACGACTTCCTGGCTGGAGAAGCCATTTTCCGCCAACGGATCCAGGAGATCGCGGGGGTGGAGCCAATCGAACGAGTGCAGCTCGAGTATCTGCAGACCGAAGCGTGCTCGGAGGAGGAACAGCAGACGTACTACGTGGCGTTGGGGATATCTGCGTTGCCTCCTCCTCTCGGTAGCAGTGGGAATGGCTACACCTCGGACGCTTCAGCCTCGATGCTGCCGTCTGTCAACGCTGAACGCGAGCGCATTGCCAAGAATTTGAAGTATGGGAACATCGTGAACTCCGTTAACGCTACCGTAGACAGCATTACGCTGTTTGGTATTGCGATGACCCTGGTTGATATGGCGCTCGAGGGTGAGTCCTTTGCTCAGTTGTACCTGAAGCCGTGGGTGGGCGTTCAACTCGCCATTGCATCTACAGTTTCAGTCACAATGGGGATAAACACCAGCGCGATTGAACACTACACGAAGGACCGAGATGCATTCCAGGATCTACGTCTGCGATTTCTACTCACGCAACGACTGGAGTCTCTACAAGTCCGCGCATCGGACATTATTGTGCACTCACCGACAGAGCTGCTGCCTTATGAGACGTACTACGCTGACGCAGGCGTCCTGAACGTTGAGATTCATGTCCACGACATCCTTTACGCCGATTCGGTGGAAACCTATCTGCTCGGTGAAGAGAACTCAACCTTGAGCAGCGTTGTTGCGAATGCTTTCAATGTGCTGGAGCCGGATTGGCGACTAGTAGCCATGGATGTGGACAAAGAGGCAGGAGAACTTTTCTCCTTACCGGCCGGAGCGAGCACGTGGGTGGACACTGGGAATAGCGGAGACTCTGAACCCCCAATTGAGTTATCTTTCGAGCTGTACAACATCACCTTCGCGCAGTTGGAACGAGTGAAGTGGTCTGTTCTTGGGTTTGTACGGACTACAGTATCGCAGATAGCTCCGAGTTCGGTACGATTCGGAGGGATCACTTATCCCTCAGATTCATTCACGCTGTCGGCCCTTGGCACTCACAACGATGGCGACAATAGCGCGCTTGCATCCGACTCGGTGTTTGATCCCATTAACACCATCAAATGGACGCTGAGCTTCAAGGTGGAGCCTAAAACTTCAGGCGCTTTCGACAGCGTGACACTCTCCGATCATGTTGTTGCGACACAGAGCGACGTTGAAACTGGTCTGCTGGCTGCGCTAGGATTTACAGCGACGACAGATAGGAGCGTGACGTTCCAAAGTGCGAGTGACTGGGTCGATTCAGGTGCAGATGTGGTGGAGCCCTACGTTTCGTTCACGCTTACGATCAAAGTCGAGCCGCTGGATGCGTCCGGTACAGTCCTGGAGTCGCCGAATTTCTTCCAGCTCCATCAAGTTCGTTGTACCCTGGCACTCTTGCTGCAACAAGTTGCGATTTTGGACGATAGTTTATTTCTCGTTTCGTCGAGTGTTGAGGACCTCCTGGACAAAACTTCAGATGGGGTTGGGATCGTGTGGTCTCGCTTACTTTACGTCAAATATCTGGCGTTCATCTCCGACGAGAGCCAACGCTACGGCATTCGTTCCGTCATTTCCTCGCAGCAACTCGCTTCCACGATTTCTTTGTATTCACTCGGCAGCCTCGAGCTGATTGAGCGAGAGATGGACGTCCACGCCGATGGATCACCCGTTTGGCCGCAATATTTGCCTGGACTGTTAGATCCCGTACCAGAGATAGACATGGTCAGCGACGGCTTCATTACCTCGTCGGAATCATTGCTGGAACATCAAACAAGTTTTATCTACGGCTTCGATAACCCTGAGTCGACGGCATCATCTGGAGCATTGGTAGATGCTGATGACGTGTGCTCTTCCACCACTTCTGGACTGTGTATCAAGCTCCGGTTCACAGGCGCCGATCAGTTGGCTCCAATATTTCTTCGTAAACTGCAGAGCATTCACGCTGCACTATCTTCGTCAATTGGTCTTCCTCCCGGATCAAGTGTTGCTGGTTCAACTTCTACTTATCCGGCTCCGTGGGTGCTGGTTGGTGCTCAGAGTCTCGGTGGGGATACTTCGTGGTCCTTCTTCGTGGGCGGGTCGTCATCAAGCGGCAATGCCCAGAGCTTCCGTCTCACGTTCGAAGCTGTAAACTCGATGCAAGATATGACCACTACCACACCCTTCACCATAGACCTGGAGTTTGTTCCTGACGACCCAACTGTCATCCCCATTGTGCGACGTCGGCAGTTTGGCGACCTCGCGGTGGTAGACACCACTGGCCAGCCTGAACCAGCATTTATCACCTCTGAGATTCCTGATCTGATCGACGATGGAGACGAAGTCACTGGTATCACCATAACATTGGATTTGGAGCAGCCTCGACTTGGTGGACTGTATTCAGGTTCACAACTGGATGATGTAGCCCCAACTTGCAGCGAGTGCACGACGTTATTGGAGGATTGCAGCAGCTCGCCCGAGTGCCGAGCGTTCTCAGCGTGTATGGGTGTTCTGCTTGAGGCAGACTTGACACTGATAGCTACGATGCTGGAGAAGGACGATATCGACAGCAGCGTTGATGCAACTTGGCTGCTGCAGGACTGCTTGAGTCCATCGGACGGCACGGAATGGTCGAGTACAGTGCGTGAGCTGCTCGAGTCCAGCTACGCTTGTCTGTGGGCGAAGAGCTGTCCACTGGCATACAGCACCACAATAGGGAGGCAGATCGTGCTGGACTACAGTCCTGGAGAGCAGATCTTGACCTTCGACCTGGCGAGCGGATTCGCCAGCGTCAGCTTCGAGCTCGGCAACTGGGCGTACAGTTTTGTCGAGGACTTCACGGCGAACGCGACGGAAGTGACAGCCCAACTGGACACGATGCTGATGGAGATGTACCGCACTGCGCTGTCGAATGTGGCGACGGTGAAGTCGGCCCTCGTCACGACGGAAGACTCGAACACGGGAGTGGTGACGGCGCAGTTGACCATTCTCTACGAGTTCCTGGGCGCACTGCCACAGCCTTATGTCGCAGAGAATGGAGGTTCGTTGGCGTGCAATACCACCGAGGAGGCTCTGCATCTGCGCGTACTAGCCATAACGTAAGAACGAGTGCAATAACAAGAACAACTTCACTTGCAGTGCAAGTTGAAGACACTATAGTGGGGAAAGTGTCACTCAAGTGGGGTCACATTTTGGTTGGCCAGTAGTCCGCGCCCGCTGTCCAGCCAATCAAAGTGTTTGAAGATTCCATCTCCTCTTTTTTGCACCATACAACGCCCTTCATGCGGGACTTGTTGCCTACAATAACCAAGTCTCTCCACGCTGGCAAGCTCGCAGCCAACTATCCTCTCGCATGTTGATCCCAAGGCTGCGCTCGCCGACAGCAACAAGCCTCACTTTCTGCTGACTGCTCTGCTTGGAACATCGTTCGGGGTAAGTGGCGACCCCCTTGTCTCTCTCTGAGCCTCGCAGCTATTGGCCCCACATGGCTACATCGACAGTCTTTACTTACTATAGTTTTAATTCGTTCGGTGACGCTAGCATCTGAGCATCCAGGAGGGAAGAATGCAGCTCTTCGTGGAGACCCTGTCGGGCTCCCCGCTCACGCTTAGCGTGGCGGCGGACGCCTCGGTGGCGTCGGTCAAGCAGGCCGTGGAGGACGTGGAGTACATCCAGAACTTCCGTCTGGTCTGCGCCGGCAAGCAGCTGACGAGCGGCTCGCTCGCTGACTACGCCGTCGGCGAGTGCGACACGCTCAAGATGCTGCTGGACGTGAACGGTGGCATGCGTGCCAAGTGGCGCAAGAAACGTATGCGCCGCCTTCGCCGCAAGCGCCGAAAAATGCGCCAGCGCGCCAGATAAGCGTCGTGCCACAGACTGTCGGTGACAGCTAGTGTGCCATCAGCACTCGAGGTGCCATCATTCCAAGACAGACTGTAAGCAACGTGCTTTGACGGGTGGCCCGTGCCCCAAGATCAACCGCAGCAACCAGCAGTTTTCTCTTCGTCTCCGCTGTAAGCAGGACGACCATCATCAGCTTCAAGCGTTGGCTTCGGTTCTCGTAGCAGGGTTAACGATTGTGGATAATGGAAGAAGAGCGCATCCGTGGATTTCGGATGAAGAGGAAAACAGCACCTGTCTTGTGGTTCATGTTGCGTGTTAGAGGGGTGCACGTTGATATGATGTCTGCAGGTGATGTAATATCAGGCGTCTCGGTTGATCAACGATTGGAGGTGCAGATTGGACGAAAGTGGCGGAACAGAGATCTTTGTACCACTACGGTTGGAGTTCACATTAACTTGGTGATAGCGGTTTGGCAAGAGCCTGCATGGAATGATGGATAACTTCGTCTATTCACACTGTTGGCAGAGCAAGGATCTCGGTCTGCATAAATTAGTGCCACGACCTTAGTACTTGACGTTGGGGTCGTAGTTGAGAGCCCACGCTGCGAAAGCTGATGCGGACGCGGACACTTTTCGGAAGAGCGTCTGCGGCCGCTCCGTGACGGAGTAGACGCGCGAGGTGCTGGTAGGAGGTTGGTCTGGAGCACCGGAAAGGGGAGCGCGGGTTCCACGCTCCAAGTCGCTCGGGTATTCGTCGTCGTTATCGTCGTCATAGTCGTCTGCAACGCATCCAGACGCCATCTCGTCCAGATTGACCTTCTCCTTGGCTTTGGCCTTGGGTTCATCCGACATGAGGATCACCAGGTCCTCGCTTCGAGGTGACGGTTGTTTGTTGCGCGTCGATAGCAGCGGCCTCTTCTTGGAGTCTTGTTGACTCACTCGGCTTGTGGACAGCGGCGCTCCAGTTGAGATTGCCGACATTGAGCCTTGTCGCGACATAATTGGAGACAGCATCGGAGCCGTGGGCGTGCTTGGCTCGGGGTTGGCCACCGACTCGATCTTATAGTCGTTCAAGACGCGGAAGGCGCGTTTGCGCTGCAATTTCTCCTCTTCACGGCGCTCGAGACGCTGTGCCGGAGTGTCGAAGACCCACATGGTCTCACCGTCGCTGCTACGAGAGCCCAACTGCGTCCTGGACCTTGAAATTTCGTGCTCACTGTCGCTGTCCGCACCTTCTTCTGGAATTTTCTCGAGATTGGCGCTCTTCGACTTGGACTTGGACTTGTGTTTGCGCTTGCCGTGGCGACGCAGCTTCTGCACCGAGAGCGTGAGCGAGTGGAAGACCTCCGAGATGTTGGAGTCGTAGTGCTTCTCGAACGTGTCCAGCTTGATCTTGTTGTTCAGCTCCAGAATCTTCTTCTCGCGGAGACTGCACACGTGGATGTCTACGTCCGACTCGCGGTTGCGGGTCTCTTCGGTGCTGCTGCTCGTGCTGTCGGCCTCTGACGACTTGCGCTCCGTTGCTTCGTCCTCGTCTCCGTTCACCTGTTTCCCTGATCCTGGCTGGCCTGAGTGCGTCGTGCCTCGGAACGACAAGAAGCTCGTCAGGCTACGGCGCACACGCTCGTGACGCAGAGCATCAAGCCGCTTCTTCTCCTGATACGCTCGAAGCTTCTCGATCTTCTCCATGTGCTTTTCAGCTCGCTCGACGAGGACGTCCCAGCGCTCGCGGAGCTGCTCCGACGTGTAGAGTGCGAACTGTGGATCGTAGTGGTGCTGCTTGGCCATGAGGTCGTCGAGAACTCGAATGAGCTCCCACTTGGGACCCACGCGCTCAACAGCAAGCACCAACAACTCGTCGTTGAAGCAGTCGCAGTGCTTGATACGCTCCGTGCAGTACGGACACAAGTCCTTCCACCCCCACGTCTTGATGATCAGGTACCACGCGAAGTCCTGCACCAAACCCATGAGCGACATCCGCATGATCGCAGCTAGCACACCGAACCACATGAACTTCTTCAGAAACAAACAACTGCGAAACGCCCAGATGTAGAAGATCGGAGCTTGGGCTAGCGTGAGCAGTACTACTACAAGGAACTGGAGTAGGAAGGCCAACCGAAAGGAAAACCCCTTGAGATCACCACCACCAGCCTTGGCACGGAAGTACTTGCGTCGCTGACGGAATATCAACTTGAACAGCTCCTTGAATACAGCTTTACCCGCGGACGGGAGGATAGAGATCAGGATGGCGTATAGCACCACAGACGTAAAGATCGTGATGTCTGCACCCCACGAGTCTCGCAGCATCACGATGATGAACAGCACGTAAAACGTAATGTACAGCGAGCACACCACGATCAGAGCCCGCTCTCCCCTTGACAGTCGTTCATTTCGATACGGGCAAAAGATCCACGTGAAGTAGTTCTCGTGCCGCCACCACGTGTAGAACGGCTCAAAAGGCCGACGGAACTTCTTCCAGCAGCACGGACCACACAGCTTTGTCTTCGGCACCTTGCGATCCCATGGCATTGGCTGCCAGTAGTCCACTTCATTCTCTGGCACATTCAGCTCACGAGAGTAGATGCGCTCGAGGTTCTTCTGCCAGCTCTCACAGTGCACCACCATTTGGAAGATGCGCAGTCCGAAGAGAGTAATGATCAGATACGGGAGAAACAGCAGTAAGTAGCTGCCACCGAGCCAACCGGACGAACTGCAGGCCACTGGCATGGGGTTCACAGACAAGTAGGTCACGTTGAAGTGCTCCCACACAGCCTTCTTCTGCATCTTCTTCTTCTGATCGAGATTGTAGACCTTCTCGCTGGATTCGACACTGGTAGGCAACTGCTCGGTGTTACAATAGTCGGCTGTCGGGTTGCGCTCCAGGTAGCATGGCTGCATGACGAAGTACATTGTCTCCTTGATGGTGTTGTCAATGTACGTATGCGGCAAGTACGCGTACGTGGTACGGAACGTTGACCCCGCAGCAATGTACTTGAACGGCTCACCATCGACGTAGTGCTCGAACTCATACTCGTTGAGTAGGAGCGCATTGAAGTAGGTTGCGTTGGGGTTTTCACTGGAGCTCGGACTGGGCGTCTCGATGGTGTAGGTCAGGTGGAAGTCCACCTCCTCCAAGAAGTGCAAGTACGTAAAGTCCTCCGTGATCTGAACGTCTTGAACCGTGAAGGCGTCCAAGTGCAGGACCTCGTTCAGCTGTAAAGAGGACAGCGAGATGCCCAGCCACAGCAGCACGCCCACTCCAATCAGTAGCCACGTCCAGAACTGCACGCAACCGCGGCGCTTGCTGTACCTCGTTCCTAGAAACCCCGTCCAGAAGTGCTGGTGCTCTTTCAGCGTCGGCCGTTCCTGGATAAAGGACGCGCGCTGAGTAATGTTCTCGCCGTCTTCGTCCCAGCCATTGTCGTCCTTATCCACGTGACTGTCTCGAGACTTCCGGTCTGCTCCGAGAGGGATCATGGCCGGGTTCAGCTGGATGTTGGGCTCGTGGCCGATGGACTTGGAGTAGGCAATGTACGCCTCCAAGAGCTCCGTGTTGATGGTCTCGTCGTCCACACCTGTGTCGCTATCACTGCCCTGTTCCTCTTCCTCCTCATCCGAGCTAAAGTCCGCAATGTCGTGCGCCTCAGCCGAGCCCGACCGCCTCAATTGAGCACTCAGCGACATGCCTCTGCTGCTTCTCGCCCTGCTACTATTCCTCCTCAGCTTGAACGCGTCGAATTGCACTGGTTGCCGTGTGTTGGCTAGATGCACCAGCTCCTCAAACAACGTCCTGTTCTCTCTGCGTCTCGCGCGCTCCTCGGGCGTCTCGTTCTCTCTATTGGGCGAGTCCAGCGGCAGCGACAACTGCTGCCTCAACGTCCGCTTCTGCGTCTGCGCTTCCCTCTCCTCCTCCTCCTCCTCTTCTCCTCCGTCTGCTGTGGTTGTCAGCGCCGACTCGGACGCCGTTCTGTGCCGAAATACCCGTCGGAGCAGCCCCTCCCCGCTGCCCATACGTCGTCTCCGTCTGCTGCCTCTGTCGCTACTGACGCTGCGCTGGCAGACCGGCGGCTCGGAGCTTTCGTCCGTCTCCTCGATCACCTCGGTGGTACCCGACACTGGACCGAAGAAGGCGCTGGCCACGGCGCGCCGGTGCATCTCGCGCGTGCTGCTGTTGAAGCTGTTGAAGCTGCTGACGCTCGGGTTGCTGCGCGCGCTGCACCAGTCGAGTTCCGAGCATTGCGAGGCTTCCGGAGCGCGTCGGAAGGCGCTCGGAGGCTCGTTCGACTCGGAACTTGCAGGCGCAGGACGCGCCGATGCCGCCGCCGCTGCGTTCGCTGCGGCAATCGCGTCCGGGGACGGCGGAGCCGACGACGGCATTGAGTCTGTGGCCCTGGAGCGAGCGTGTTGCGCACGTCCCGGCTACTGTTGGGAAGTGACGCGCGTAATCGAGGCAACATTTCGGTTAGGTGTCTGAAGAGTGGCTCGATTCCGAAGGATGAGGTGATTGTGGGCCTCTATACCAGAACCTCAGAACCTCGCACATCTGAGGCATTACCGACGAATAAGGAGGCACCAGGCGACGCACATGTTCGTGAATACTCTATTGAAAGGCGTCGCTCTGGCTGCGGTCTTACCGTAGCGTGCCCTTGAGTGGTGCAATGGATCTCCAGTTTGCTGTGTGTAGTAACTCAGACCTCCCTTATACTGGCACCTGCCGGGATGTGTCGGATTAGCTATATTTCGGCACTCTTGTTTTGTTTATTTCGGCACAGTGCCAGTTTAAGGAAATAAAGTATGCAATTTACTACAATTTCTCTAGCATATCGAACTGTTTAGCCTGGAAGATGCCTTCAAGGGCTAGAGAAGTCAACGAAGTCGGTCGTTCAGTTCACACTTCAATACGGAAAATCGGATTCGACGGACGCCGTATTTGCGAATACGGTTGCCAATCCGCACGGAGATGTGAAAATGTATTTGGAGCAGCAGCGTTTTGCACTGAATCCCAGGCGTCGTTGAAGCTGGTCTCATACGATTCTTCCTCCAGGGCTGTGCGAACCATCTCATCAAGCAGATTGGCTTGACACAGCTCTCGATGCTCCCGTTCAACCGCTTCAATTTTTGCCTCACTCCAAAACAAAGCCAATTGATCGCGGCGAGGATTCAAAATATCTCCTGCAAACTGGCGAGGAGGTACTGTGACAAGCTCAGCTGGCATTACTGGCGGAGCCGGAGATGCGGCAGCGTCATTGTTGCTGTCTCGCTCAGCTTGTACATGCTCCATACCTTCAATTAGATGCAGTACAAACTTGCCAAGCTGCCTCAGAATCGAATTTTTGTCGGCATCTGCAACACTATTCATGTGATTCTTGACGAACGTCCCCTGGTCTTGAATAAACTCGAGCAAGTGTTGCTCTTTGAGCCAGTACTTCGTAGAAATCGTGTCATTAGCGCTAGATTGGAATTCAGAGCTAGGTACGCGTTCAACTCGTAGCAGTTTGCGAAGGCGATCTACAAGGAGCTCAATCTCTGCCATTTGCTGCGAGAGCAGGACATCCTTCCCCTGTATCTTGACAAACGTGACGTTCACCACCACCGTTATCCCACAAACAACAGCTGCATTGACCCACCATGATGGCGTTGGTGCCGCAGACACGTTTTCATCAAGGTGTTCTTCGAGGCGAAAATGGTTTTTTAATATCCACTGCAATGCGTTTCCCATGTACAGCCACCGATTAGTTAGTTTTTTGGCGGCACCTCCCATTTCAGTAATCAGCGTTTTTTGGCGGCGAAGGTGAACAATTAAATCCTTTGTATTCTTCACAAAGTCTCCATTCCCAACAATGGCAAAACCGGCTTTCATGACCAGGTCCATCTGATGAGCAGCACACCACACTCTCAGCACCGAGTGGGTGGCCTCTTTCTCTAAAAGAGTGACCACCCCACCATGACGGCCTGTCATAGTGTTCTCTCCATCCGATGAAATACCAACCAACTTCTGTCTCCAGTTAGCGAACAAAATATCGAGTACTCAAACAATCAGGTGAACTTGGACCACAGCAGTGTGGCGGTCAAACATAGGGACCGCGAGCAAGTGTAGACGCCGTTGACGGCAACACGAACACGCTGATCCATGAAAGAGCGATCGGTGTGGGTTGTGATGTCGCAAGCAAATGCAATCCCCCACATATTGGGGTCTGCGATGAGGTTGCTGATGCGTTGAAACGAATAGGCAACTAGAATACGAGCATAAGTGCCTGCCATAGCGTCGGTCATACCGTAAAGCTTCGAGTTCCCTGTGGCGTTGTAGTGCTGCTGAATTACTGCTGCCGTCTGCCGAAACGACAACCCAACCGAGAGATGTTTGACCGAAAGAGTAAACCGCAGAGGCGTCTTAATTTCCACTGTGTAGACCCCATCCACTACCGAGCCGAAAGCACGAAGAGCCCTCGCAACAGTCATATCATCATCTTCATCTTCAGCATTGAAAAATACCTTTCCAATCAGCTCAGTCACAATCAACTCTGGAAAAGAAAACCGCAACACAGCACTCTCTGTGTCAAAATGAGCTACCAATTGGTTGCTTCGAGAAGTGAGATCAGCAAAAAATACAGCCTTCTCTGCGTCCCTGAGACGTGTGTATTCTCCCCACTTAGCTGAGTGCGCGGAAGTATTGTGCTCGATGTAGTTCTGGGGTCGGAAAGGAGCCTTGAAAGGAGCCTTGTAGTACTTGATATTTTGAGTACGCTTTCGTCTGCCCTTGGGTGCTTCCTCTCTACCAAAATATCGGCAAAACAGGCAGCGGACCGAGCAAGCCGCTCCCCCAGCGTCACACGCTACGACCTCGAGTCCGTACTGCAGCTTGTGAGCGTCTTGGAACGGGGTTTTACGCGAGGGGGGCTTCTTATAGACGCTTGGCTTTAGCTTCTCCATCGTTCACTGCTTGAATTCTGCGATTTTGAACGGTCGCTTATTTCGGCACTCGAAAAAACTTCAAATAGGCACATTGCCATATATAAACTTCAAGTGCCGGAATAAAGGAGTTACTAAGTAACTGCATCTACCGGTGTGTGGTATGTAGGCGACAACTCGAGTGACATTGTTTGGGCCCGAGAAGCATTAGCCACAAAACGGTTGGGCTAGACTGTAGCTGCCAATCGAGCCTTAAACCGACAAACGTGTCCTACTACGGAAATGATGCATGCACAGACATAATATATTGCGTTCTTGCTTTGGTAGACGCACTGCTGTTTGGACATCTTACCAGTAGCGTTCGTACCCGCAGCTCTTCCTCGGAGAAAGCTCGGTAACGCGCTTCAACGCGTCTTGCTTGCGGCTCATGCTACTGCTAGCGCCATTGTAGTATACGCTGACTAGCTAGCTGGCAGAAGTCAGCGTTTGCCGTACAGCTTACGCTTGCTTGAGCACTACATCGTTCCCAACACTCAAACCTTCCAACCCCCTCATTGAGGCGCTACAACCTAATTCTGTACGACGTTGGCCTCCTCTGCCATCGTCGCTGAATGTTGACTTGAATTTCGTATGTACATACCGAATCCAAGTGATGCGCGGTGCAGAGACGGGTGTGCGTATCGAAATTTTACAGTACGCTCCCCATCCAGCCAATCAAAATCTGTTCGGAACCGTGATGAAAAGTCGCGATTACGTCCGAAATGACTTGAAGTTTGTATTGACGGTAGATTACGCCAGAACTTTCTTTCTGGGACGGGCCATTTGAGACTCACATCCCGACGATCGTCTAGCTAGGTCTGCCCCGCATCGATGCATCGACTCGATCGCCGAGCTCTGCAGCCACAGCCACCCTCCTATTAGTTCTCTCCTTGCTGCCGGGGCCTGCAGCGTGCGTTGATTTTCCAGAACAATCGATTGCGGGACGATTGCGAGACGATTTTGTGTTGACGTGCCAAGTGTAGGTCGGACGCGTCCCCTGCGACAAAAGGGCAATCGAATGCATGTAGGTTGGATCGCCTTGCTCAGACGAATGAGCTCGTGCTACAAGATCCCAGGGCAGGCTGCGTCGCCCTAGAGCGCTGCGCCTTGCAGCGGTAGCATCGCAAGAGCGCTGGTGTGCATCACGTCTGACAACCTGATCTCGAAATGGCTACCGGAATTGCAGCTCTTTTCGCCAATCGACAAATCCGCACTTGCCACTGTACAGCTCGGAAGTTTGGACTGCAGGTTTTGCCAACAATTGCAACTGCAGTCGTGGACTGGCAGAGGTGATCGCCCGCAGCTGGGCCGCGGATACATGATCTGATCTGTTCGGTGGCGAGATCGGATTCTCTGGTGCCTGAGATCCCGGATACAGCGGATGCTCGCAGCGTGCAGCGACGTGCTGGACCAAAATGCTGGCTACGGAGGCGCCCACCGTGTCTGAGGACGTTGAGTGTCATTCTGGTTAATCGCACGTTGCAGTGATATGACCACTGTTGCAAAGGTGCCGAGCTATTTCATATATGTACGCACCTCGAGCGACATACACTTTCGACGCATGTTGATGCCGCGTCGCGTCATTCTTGACTCAAGAATCTTGAGTGCCACAACATCAGCTAGGCTGATCAAGAGTCCACTCAATGCGTTGGAAACTACGTAGTATTTGCTTGGGATAACATGTGTCCAGGCAGCGAAAGAGAATACAGTCCTCTATGATCCGTAGCTCCTCATGCAGCCTTCGGGTCGTAGTCCAGCGCCCACGCAGCGAACGCCGATGCTGAAGTGGACATCCGCCGGAACAGCGTCTTGGGCCGCTCCGTCACGGCGTAGACCCGGTTGCCTGCAGCTGCAGCTTGCGACGACGACGCAGAGCGCGACTGCCCGCGCTCCAAGTCGCTCGGGAAGTCGCTGTCTTCTTCGTCATCGTAGTCGTCCTCCACGCGGGCGTTGGCCATTGCGTCCAGGTTGTTCTTGTTCTTGCTGTGCGCGTCCGGCACGAGGATCACCAGGTCTTCTTCGCGGGGCGTGGTGTCTTTGTGGCGGGTCGACAATAGCGGCACGTGTCTTGTGTCTTGTCGTGCCAATCGGCCGGTTGCAGCGTGCACCGGACCGGAAGGGGACAACGCTGAAGGTGCTGGGGCCGAATGCTCTGAAGACGGAGCCACGCTGTGAATGTTGTAGTCCTTTAACACGCGGAACGCCCGTTTGCGTTGCAGCTTCTCCTCCTCACGGCGCTCGAGACGCTGCGCCGGTGTGTCGAATACCCACATGGTCTCGCCGTCGCTGCTACTCGAGTCGCTGCTGCTCTGGCGCGTTGTAAGCGTGGTCCGTTTGTCTTCGTCCGCTTTGTCCTCATCTCCTTCGTTGTCGTGTCTGGAATGCTCGTGCTTCTCGTGACGACGACGCTTGGTAACGGAGCGTGCGAGTGCGTGGAAGACGTCCGAGATGTTGGAGTCGTAGTGCTTCTCGAACTCGTCCAGCTGAATCTTGCTGTTCAGTGACAAAATCTTCTTCTCACGCATGTTGCACATGTGCTCCAACTGATCATGATCTGGGTCTTCTTCATGATCGCTGGCATCGGAGATCTTACGGCCTTTGGTGGCGCCATCGTCGACTTGGTCGGTGTCGGGGTGAACCGCCTGCGCTGTGCCTTGGAACGACATAAAGCTCGCAAAGCTGCGTCGAATACGGTCATGACGCAATGCGTCTTGACGCTTCTTCTCTCGGTACGCGCGCAGTTTCTCGACCTTCTCCATGTGGGCCTCGGCTCGCTCCACGATTACATCCCAGCGCTCGCGCAGTTGCTCGGACGTGTAGAGCTCAAACTGCGGTTCATAATTATTCTGTCTCGCGAGAAGTCCATCGAGGAGGTGAATGAGCTCCCACTTGGGCCCAACGTGTTGAACTGCGAGCACCAGCACTTCATCATTGAAGCAGTCGCAGTGCTTGATACGCTCCGTGCAGTACGGACACAGGTCCTTCCACCCCCAGGTCTTGATGATCAGGTACCACACAAAGTCCTGAACTAACCCCATGAGCGACATGCGCGCGATCGCTGCTAGCACGCCGTAGTAGATAAACTGCTTAAGGAAGAGGCAACTGCGGAATGCCCAGATGTAGAAGATCGGAGCCTGCGCCAACGTAAGCAGCACAACCACCAGAATCTGCAAGATGAACGCGAGCCGGAACGAAAACCCGCTTAGATCTCCACCAGCAGCCTTGGCTCGGAAGTACTTGCGCCGCTGGCGGAAGATCAACTTGAACAGCTCCTTGAAAATGGCTTTGCCAGCAGAAGGCATCACCGACACCATGATGGCGTACAGCACCACAGACGTGAAGATCGTGATGTCTGCACCCCACGAGTCTCGCAGCATCACGATGATGAACAGCACGTAGAACGTAATGTACAGTGAGCACACAACGATCAGGGCCCGCTCGCCCCGCGACAATTGCTCGTTCCGGTATGGGCAAAAGACCCACGTGAAGTAGTTCTCGTGCCGCCACCAAGTGTAAAAGGGCTCAAATGGCCGACGGAACTTCTTCCAGCAGCACGGCCCGCACAGCCTGGTTTTAGGCACCTTCCGATCCCAAGGCATCGGCTGCCAATAGTCCACCTCATTCTCAGGCACGTTTAGTTCGCGGGCGTAGATGCGCTCGATGTTCTTCTGGAAGCTCTCGCAATGCGTGATCATCTGGAAAACTCGCAGTCCAAACAGCGTGATGATCACGTATGGTAAGAACAGCAATAAATACGCACCACCGACAATTCCAGACGAACTGCACGCCACGGGCATCGGGTTAACCGAGATGTACGTGGCGTTGAAGTGCTCCCACGCAGCTTCCTTGCTCATTTTCTTGTCCTTGTCCAGGTTGTAGATCTTCTCATCGGAGCTCACACTTGATGGCAGTTGCCCCGTTTGGCAGTAGTCACCCGTGGGGTCACGCTCGAGGTAGCATGGCTGGATGACGAAGTACATGGTCTCCTTGATCGTGTTGTCGATGTATGTGCGCGGCAAATGCGCGTACGTCGTCCGCAACTTGGAGCCTTCTTCAACGTACTCGAACGGCTCGCCTTCCACGTAGTGCTCGTACTCGTCCTCGTTGAGCAGCAGCGCGTTAAAATACGACGAGTTGGGGTTCGCACTGGAGCTCGGACTCGGCGTCTCGATGGTGTACGTGAGATGAAAGTCGACCTCTTCGAGGAAATGCAGGTACGTGTAGTCTTGCGTGACCTGCACGTTCTGGACCGTGAACGCGTCCAGATGCAGCACCTCATTCAGATGCAGCGATGAGAGCGAGAATCCGAGCCAAATGACAATGCCCACACCAATACCCAGCCACGTCCAGAACTGCACGCAACCTCGTCGCTTGCTGTATCTGGTGCCTATAAAGTCCGTCCAAAAGTGCTTCCGCTCCGGTACACACGGCCGTTCAGATATATACGCCGCTGCCACATTGGGACCTTCATCGTCCTTATCCCCCGTTACACCCCCTGTCAGTTGGATGTTCGGCTCGTGGCCGATGGACTTGCAGTAGGCAAGATACGCCTCCAGCAGCTCCGTGTTTAGCTTTCCGGGCTCGTCGTCGTCGCTAATGTCGACAGCCGACACCTTTTCCTCGTCTAAAGCTTCACCGCCCTCATTAAGGGCCTCACTCACTCGACTGTTGCGTCGTATTGAGCTCTCTCGGAACGTGTCGAAGTGCACGGGCTCGTTCTTGTCGGCCAGCCGCGTCAGGTCCTCGAACAGCGGGCAGTTCTCCTTAGTCACCGACTGCCGCTGCTGTCTGGAGGGCTCTGCGTCTGGTATGACCGACTCGGAGGCCGCTCGGCGTCGGAACTCGTGGCTGGAGAGCGTCTCCAGCTCGGTGCTCGTGTCTCGGCGTCGTCGCCGTCGTCGGTCGCTGCTGACGCTGCTGCTGCCGCTGGGGAGGGCGTCCAGGCTGCGCTGGCTCACGGGCAGCTCGTCGAACTCGTCGGCCCCGAGGAACTGCGCGCCTCGCCGCCGCGCGGACGACGGGGGCGACGGCATCGAGGGGGAACTTGGCAAATGCTACAGCGGTGCTGCTTCGATCGGGCGCTTGACTTGCTGACTCCCAGCGGTCACGTAAGTAATCGCGGCGGGGTAATCAATTTTCATTTACAGCCAATCAGCGATCGTGGAAACTGATTTTGACCAATGAAATGGACGGATTTTGTTGATTATGCGGCCGGCTTGATTGGTTCAGTTTGGGTTCAAGTGTACCGAGCAAAATGTGTCAAAATGGCTTGAGCGCACTTGGAAGATGGCTACAGCATGCTAGTGTGGTGTCGACGGGCGATGATGTCCGCAGGAGCTGTTTGCGGCGGTGCGCTGCTGTATAACGGGACGGTGTTGTGACACTTTCGCGGTGGCGTGAACAGCTTCACTGATCAAAGATGCCGGCTGCGAGTGCCATGCAATATCCACTGGACATCTCGAAATGCACGCATGATACACTTGCAGTTTCTTCGGGTGTGGACCCCCAGGTATTTACGAGTGCGTGTGTATCCAGTGTTTTATATCGTCAGGTTTGAGGGGATTTCACTAATCTTTCCTGCGCAATGCGGTGAGCACGTGACGACCAGCGGAAGATTCAAGTGCATGCTGTACGTTTGGACTTGACCCCCCCCCCCCCCCGACTATCAGTTGATACAGCACAGCAGTAGAGCACTGAAACGTTTACTGTACAGACGATCCTCTTCGTAGTGATAGCCTCGGGAGACCACTTTTAATCACGATCCAGAGGCATCACTATCAGGGTTTGGTAGTAGTGAGAATTTTGGCTAGTAGTGATACTACTACTACTATCCGACTCAGACTCGATAGCACTAATACTACTATTAGTAGTTAGAGAACGTCACTAGTAGATATCACTACTATATCACTACTATAGTACTACTATCTACACTGTACCCATTTCTGCCGCTGTTTTCCTCCACGCGCGCGACCTACGACGCCAAAGCCGCAGTGTAAAAGGTCAATCCTTGTTCGTAGTGGCCAATCACGAAGTAACCTAGGAATACTGTTGAACAACCATGCCCCAGCTAAACTCGAGCAAGTTAAGCAGCTGACCAGTAACGCCGACGAGGACATCACCGCAAACGATACAGTGAGATTCAGCAGCTTTGAGCAAAACAGAAATTCAGACACGCACCAGGATCAGCCACCGCACGATGCCACCCGAAAATGATCCCTAAAGTCAGGACGGTAGTGAGCACCGGATTCACACACAGCAAAACAACATGCATAGTGTACATGCCTTGGCCTTGTCGTTAGATGAGCTCCACACTGAGTCGATCGATCGTGAGTGCGTTATGAATGATGTAGTCAGGGATACTGTTAGTGACTCTGCTCCTAGCTTCTTTAACTCCTGCGTCGCTGTCAGTAAGTACTTGCTGAGGCGCGGGTGGCTGCAGAACCTGCTGGTAGAAGTATTAGCCAAGCAAGATGATGCGTGCTGGCAGCCCTACCGTTTTCAGAGGTCGGCGGACTACTCGACTGGTGAATACAAACTGCACGATGAAGTTTTTGCTTCCTTCCACCAATGGCAGCCCTCCTAGCGCGCTTTAACTGCTTGTTCATCCGCCCGAGTATCGAGAAATGAGCCAAAGAGCGCAAAGCGCGCGGAGGGGAGGGCTGAGAACCACCTATTTTCGCGCCTTTTGAAGATCTGACGTGGGTTGAAGTTCGGGATAGTAGTAGTGATATTAACACTACTAATATCACTACTAGTGGCATTTTTTCTCGCTACTATAGCTATATCACTACTATAAGGCGCAGACCCCAGTGCTATAGTAGTGATATAGTAGCTGGGGACGAAGTCCCCACTTATAATCATCTATCACTCCTCCTTACTCTATTTCTTACCTCTTACCTCTCTTAATCTGAGACATGAACGGTTAGGGTTTACATCTAGAATCACTTCCCCGGGGCCAAAAATTGCGCAAAAAACCTCGGTTGAACAACCCTCTCTTGATCCATAGACACGCTTAACTGCATGAAAACTGGAGTGACCCCTTCTGAGAAGGGGTCGATGCCATTAAAGTGGGGGTCACGATTTAGCCTCGACGATAAACGCTAATCAAACAGGCATCGGGAAGCGAATCGCGGGTTTAGATAAATTGCTACACTTTAGATCGCACCGAGCGCAAAAAAACGCCACCAAGTCCTCGGCTTCACTCTGATTTAGAGCGCCAAGTCAGCGCTTGCATTCATTACTACGAGTGAGTTAGTGCTGGGAAGGGTAGAATTGCTAAAAGAGAGTGCACTTCAACTTGCCTGCATGGATGGAGGAGGATCAGACTTATCTATTTAACCTTACTGTTTACAAGATGTCTGGAATTTCCTAAGCCAGGATATCAACGCCGGTGTCATCGTGCGATCTGGTGGTTGTACTTGACTCACACCTTGCGGTGGTGCCTCTTGAAGCGGTCGCGCCAACATTCCTAAACAGAGGAGCAGGCGCGTGCCTTGTATTTTGGTGTGTGGGTGCCGACGTTCGCGTCGCGTCAGTGCCCTCAATTGCTGCAGCCCAGTCTTCAAAAATTCTTGTTTACTTCCTTGCTGCGTAACTTGCTCCTGCTGATGGGTCACCCGGTTTCTTTGGATCCACAGGACCGTTATACAAATGGAACTGAGTATCCACCACACTCGGTTCCACTCGATCACGTACGCCTCCACTTCGTCTGTGAAGGTTGCTTGCAGCCTAGCCTGCATCACCGACGACAGTTTCGGCGGCGATCTTGACATACAATTCGCCTTGAACTTAGCCAGATCATGCTGTTGCCAGCGTTGCCCAGTCCAGCGCGTTACTAGCGCTTCCCAGTACGTATTCGCACAAGGACATTCCCAAAAGATGTGAGCTAAGGTTTCCTTGTGTTCTTTGCAGCTCGCCAGCTTCCTGCAGCTGTTGTCAGTTTGTCGTCCGTCAAAGTATAGATTTAGCTGTGAGACCGCCAATCTGTAGTTGATCCAGACTTGATACTCTGTGATCGCGTTTCGGTGCCTCCACAATTGGTTCGGGGTTTGCTGCAAGGCCTGCCACAGCCCGTCGTCGTGTTTTGCCCTTGCCTCGAGTCTGTTGACGACTTTGGTCAGCGCCGGAGCGAGCTCTCCTTTTGCTCGTGCAAAAGAAAGTTTCTTCAACGCTTGGTTTATATTGTGGTTCGACACTTTGGGTGGTATGGACCACGGAAACGCATGCAAGCTGGGGTGTGCTTTGAATACTATCTTGTTCTGCGCTTCCAATCTGCGGAACGTGGCCAGATCCTTTTCATAGTCCTTTGGAACCGCTGTGTCACCTGATATTTGCCAATGGAGCCCGTCCCTGGCTTGTTCCATCACGATGCGGCAGGGTTCTGCGTCAGCCTCCACCTGAGGTTTCCCAATTATTTGACCACGCTCTTGTTCCATCCAGTTGTACTGATGTTCTAGCCGTGGTGGCTGTCGTAGATGTGCTGCTTTGCTCACTTGAATTCGGCCCCCCGATTTCAAGTGGTGGAGACCCCAACAGTATAGCCAACGCCCACTTGCTTAGCTTCGGGTAGGTATGATGCTTGTTTTCCGCCTCTGGCGAGGGAATTAGCATCGAGTAGGAGGTCAGGCCAGTCCGCCGAATTTCCAGCTCGGCCAGAGGACACACGCGTATCCTAGGATATTTCTTACGTGTTAGCATGTTTCCGTTGCGTTCTCGGATCCATGGGGTTTCCGTCCACAGGTATGTTGGCCAGAACTCCACAGTTTCTTCCGGCCACACCCATGTCTGAGGCGGAAGAGGGCCATATAGTCGTAATTCCAAAGTATTTCCAACCCTCCATCCGATTGAACTTCGCACTAAAGTGTCCATCTCGGCCTGTAGACGTTCTTGGATTGCATTCTCTGTGTTCGAGTCGGGTTTGAGCCATGCACCGATTTGCGGTTGCATTCGCAACCCGGGGACTTTAAAGGCCCTGCATCTGGGGTTCGGCGGGTAACTTGCCTGCATGGATACGTGCTATTCAAAGTTCACCATGTCCATACTCTGTGAAGCTACAGCCTGTAGCCTACAGATAGCTCCTGGCAGTGACGCAGGTGGTCTCCTTATACCTTGGGGGCCCGCACCCCACACTACGGAACTAGCTCCAAGCCGCAACGACGGGTTCGTTCGCTGCCCTGCTGGTTGCTGGGCCCTCCTACGCGGACATGCTTCACGGGCACCCCGCGCGGGTTTGCTTTGGCTGTGCTCCTCGCAACCACTTGCTGTCGATAGAATAGATAATCTTGCGATAGTGTAACAATTTTTAAATTGTGTTATTAATACCGGTAAGTGATATGGTATAAGTGATATGGTATGTAGCACTAGAGAGGAAGTACGGCGGGCATCGGGAGCCGAGATGCTGTATTGAGTACGCTGGAAAATCGAAACTGAATATTATAGCTTTTAACAACAATTATCCCTTGCTACATGTATTTTGCTTTGGGCTGTCGGCTACCACTAATTGATCTTGAACCGCTGGTGCTACAGCTCACCCTTGCGGTTAACCGTGATCTAGGGTTTCGCGAGATATAGTCCAGCATCATTAGTGCTCTCTTGCTGCTGGTGTGTAATTGCCGTTGATTATCTTGACCTCGCGATAGATAGTAACGTTATTTGCTGATGATGAAGACTTCATCATGCAGCTCCACCAGTGTTGCTAATTGCTTATTGGTTTGATGACCTGCACGGGTTAAACTGAGACTCTAAATTGCAACGGTCGCGAACACGCCCTTAGCCCTAAGTTTGCTTCACTACACTACAAAAAATAGTAATGGTGATTGATAAGATCAATTAGAGGGTGGGGACGTCGGCCTGAAGTGGAGACTCCACTGCAGGGTGCCGACCCCCGAAGCAACTCAACGGAGCAACGCGACTGAGATGCTCTACTACTAGTAGTAGTGATATTATCACTACTATCGCTACTATTCTGCTGACTACTACCAAACCTGTTTGTATGCCATTGGTCATCGGGAGAGCCTTTATTAGTGCTAATCAGAGGGTATCCCTATTCGGGATATCACTCCAAAGAGGATTGTCTGTATGTACAACACGTGAATCAGCAAAAAAAAGTTTCCCCATCAACCAAGACGCGACTGGAAAGAAGCCCCAATCAGCCCCGCGTCACACTCGCGGTGCTGCATACCCCATAGCCAGCGAGCGCTTGACCAGTTCGTGATCCTTCTCGACCACAAGCCAAGCGCAAACATGGTACCTGTACAACTTATCGGCGCGATATGACGGTCAAAGGTTTGAGACGTGGAGTCTCCTGCCCATGATTGGTTCTTCCCGGGTCATGCTTACTATCCACCATGACCTGCTCCCAACCTGAGCATAGCTTTACTCGTTCACTTTTCTGATCGGATCCGTTGCTGGCGAGTCGTTGATGGTATCGAGTACGCCCAAACCGACAATGAGAACGATCTACCTTCGATTCACGAGAATGAAACGACAAGTGATAGAGGCAACCGAGGACGACGGAGACGCAGACTCACGACTACAGCGCTACAAGGCGTGACACAGGAGAACTTCCGACGGAGCTCACTTGGCAGAAACAGCGTTGCCAGGGCTGAAGATGAAGAAGAAGGAGATAATGAATTGGACATGGAGCTGCTTGACGCGTACATCGCCTACTGCAGGTCGGTCGGCCACGAACCAAATATCCAGGTCGACTCGAGCGCTCCGTTGTTCGACAAGGTTCTCGATTCGCAGGGCAGTGGATCCCTTTCAGACGCAGAGGGTATAACTGGAGCGACCATCGTCCAGGGGCGGCCAACGGTGCCGGAGCATCAACACTTCTGGACGTTGTTTATTGGGACCAGATACAGCAAACGGCGAGGCTGCACGCAGTTCTGGGTGTGGCTACTGATTGGAGTGGGGGTACTGCTTTGGCTGGGCATTTCGCTCTCGTCACTACAGTTAAATGAAGTGCTGCATCTGGACGCTTTCACAGTACAGCACGTTCAGGTTACAGAGGACTACACATATCTTCACTTCTTGGAGGAAGTGGACTTTCACCTTACCTACACCATCGAGACGCCCAATCCAAGCCCCAACGCGAATCCCAACACTTCCTACTTCAACGCCCTGCTCTTCAACGAGTACGAGTACGCGCATTATATCGACGGCGAGCCGTTCGCGTACATTGAAGCAGCTTCAAAGCTGAGAACGACCTACGCGTATCTGCCGCGTACGTACATTGACAACACCATCGAGGAGACAATGTACTTCGTCGTGCAGCCATGCTACCTGGAGCGGAATCCCACAGCCGACTACTGCAACACCACGCAGTTGCCGACCAGCGTTTCCTCAAGCGAGAAGATCTACAACTTCGACCAGAATAAAAAGATGAAGAAGAAGGCCGTTTTGGAACACTTCAACGTGACCTACTTGTCCGTGAACCCGATGCCCGTGGCTTGCAGCTCGTCTGGTTGCTTATCTACTGCTGTTTCTCCCGTATTTGGTCATTACGCTGTTCGGGCTGCGAGTGTTTCCGATGATCGTTCACTGCGAGAGCTTCCAGAAGAACATTGAGCGCATCTACGCCCGCGAACTAAACGTGCCTGAAGAGGAGGTCGACTACTGGCAGCCAATGCCTTGGGACCGGAAGGTGCCGAAGACCCGACTGTGTGGCCCTTGCTGCTGGAAGTAGTTTCGTCCGCCTTTTGAACCATTCTACACGTGGTGGAGGCACGAGAACTACTTTACGTGGGTCTTCTGCCCGTATCGGAATGAAAGACTGTCGCGGGGCGAGCGGGCACTGATCGTAGTGTGCTCGCTGTACGTGACGTTCTACGTGCTGTTCATTATCGTGATGATACGCGACTCGTACGGGTCCAACATGACGATCTTCTCGTCTGTGGTGCTGTACGCTGTGTTGACGTCGGTCCTGCCTTCAGCAGGCAAGGCCATATTCAAGGAACTCTTCAAGTTGATATTCCGTCAGCGACGCAAGTACTTCTGAATGAAGGCTGCAGGTGGGTTTTCGTCCCGTTTTACTTCAAGCTCGTGGTGCTGCTGCTTACGTTGGCTCAAGCGCTGATTTTCTACATCTGGGCTCGTCGTAGCTGCTTGTTCCTCAAGAAATTCATCTACTACGGCGTGCTCTCGGCAATTTTGCGCATGTCGCTCATGGGGGTTGCGCAGGATTTCGCTTAGTATCTCATCCTTCAAACTTGGGGGTGGAAGGATCTGTGTCCACACTGCACGGAACGTATCAAGCACTGCGACTGCTTCAATGACGAGCTCCTTATTCTCGCAGTGGAGCGTGTGGGTCCGAAGTGGGAACTTATCCATGTTCTTGATGGTCTCATGGCGAAGCAGAACAATGTTGAGGCTCAATTTGAGCCGTACACCTCGGAGCAACATCGCGAACGGTGGGACGTCATTGTGGAGCGAGCGGAGAAGCACATGGAGAAGGTGGAGAAGCTTCGCGCGTACCAGGAGAAGAAGCGCCTTGAAGCGCTACAAAGTGATCGACCTCATCGCAGCTTCACTGAACTACTATCACGTCGCCGTACTTCCAAGAGGGAAGTCGAGACTGACCAGAACCTACCGATAACCTCGACTGTGGACAACACGGATAGCAGCTCAGGTGGTGGTGACAACTCCTCACCAGAAACTACCAACATGAAGTTATGTAATCTTCGAGAGAAGAAGATCCTGGAGCTGAACGACAAGATTAAGGTGGATGCGTTCGAGAAACACTACGACTCCAACATCTCGGAAGTTTTCCACGCGCTCACTCGATCGGTCATGAAGCTACGCCGTCACAACAAACACGAACACCCAAGACATGACAGTGAGGCCGATGAAGGCCAACCTTCAGAGCCTGAAGACGACCAAAATCCAGAGGATACCCGTACGTTCACTAATCGGTACACCTCGGGCAGCAGCATGAACAGCGAGGGTGAGACCATGTGGGTGTTCGACTCACCAGAGCAGCGTCTACAACGTCGAGAAGAGGAAAAACTGCAGCGCAAACGGGCGTTCCGTGTACTGAAAGAAAGACTACAACATTCACAGCGTGGCTCCGTCTTCAGAGCATTCGGCCCCAGCACCTTCAGCGTTGTCCCCTTCCGGTCCGGTGCACGCTGCAACCGGCCGATTGGCACGACAAGACACAAGACACGTGCCGCTATTGTCGACCCGCCACAAAGACACCACGCCCCGCGAAGAAGACCTGGTGATCCTCGTGCCGGACGCGCACAGCAAGAACAAGGACAACCTGGACGCAATGGCCAACGCCCGCGTGGAGGACGACTACGATGACGAAGAAGACAGCGACTTCCCGAGCGACTTGGAGCGCGGGCAGTCGCGCTCTGCGTCGTCGTCGCAAGCTGCAGCTGCAGGCAACCGGGTCTACGCCGTGACGGAGCGGCCCAAGACGCTGTTCCGGCGGATGTCCACTTCAGCATCGGCGTTCGCCGCGTGGGCGCTGGACTACGACCCGAAGGCTGCATGAGGAGCTACACTATAATATAGGAATGCATTTGACCTCCATAGTTGATCGAGCTTTAGATAAAACACTGACAACCAGCAGTTCAGCCAAGTGCAAGTTGAAGCGGAATGCCCGAGTGTTACATGTATTATTGTGCTGTAGCCAGTTCCTCGATCTTAGAGGGTCGCCTAGCTCAGCCCTTGGCTTCGTCTCCCCGAAGTTAGTGCAGCCAACGCCTCACGTAGCTTTAGCGAGCATGCTTCGCGTGTACACGCCGCTGGCGCCGGAGCAGCCCCCAGGCGGCAGCTCCACGGAGGAAACCTTCCTGCAGGCCGAGCACTTCGTGGCCGTGGTGCTCTCGCGCCTCGAGAAGGACCCCATGTCGGTGTCGCCTCGCCTCTGGGTGTTCCAGCAGCAGCCCACGGCTAACCGCCTGTGGGCCTTCAAGCAGCAGGCGCTCGTGGGCTCGTGCGACGCCATGCGCGGCTCCAAGAAGTACGAGGAGTTCAACCCCAAGAAGAACGCCACGGGGGTGCTGGGCCTCCCCTGCTGCCAGTTTGTCGCTGGTGACGACACCAAGCTGTAGGGATAACACAGAGAGACTCTACATGTACCTTAATGCTGTGCTGAGGGGTGCTGGTGTTGCAGGAAGCTCTGGCAGAAGCTGGGCGACATGTCGCCGGAGGAAGCTCAGCGCGAGTACATCCGCATCGTGGAGGACGTGCTGCCGCAATGGCAGTCGCCTCCGAGTTGGGATGGAGCGCTGCTGGTGAGGAAGCTCGAGTAACGCGCCATGAGATGGAAGATATACCGGACTCATTCGTCTCATTGTGTGCGGTGCTTGTCCTGCAGCGCACGTGGACGCCCGACGACTGCAGCGATAGCTGCTCCGTGTGTCACGAGGCCTTCACCTTCCTCAACCGCCGTCACCATGTGAGTCACGGTTCAATGACATCCTCCGGCTTTGCCTGTTGCTAATGGAGCTCTCTCTCTCTCTCTACTCTATCCTATGGGATGCACATGTATTATAGTGTCGTCGCTGCTTAAACCTCGTATGCGCCGTGTGTTCGCCTCACACCGTGCCGCTGCGCGTGTTCTCGGAGCCTCCGACAGGCAAGCGCCAGCGCGTTTGCGCTACTTGCTTCGACGAGATCGGCGAGGCCGCGCGCCGCAGCTCGCTCACCAGCAGCGGAGACCAAGTGCGCGAGGCCACGGTGCCGATCCCGACCAAGGACGAGAGCTCCGCGTCCGAGGATGCCACGAACCAGGACAGCAGCACCGACAACGGCGAGACCTCTTCCGAGTCGGTGCTCGCGTCGTCCGCGGCCATCCACTTGGGCACGCTCGAGTTCCTGCAGGGCGCGTACGGCCAGGGCTCCAAGGTCTACCGCAAGACGTGGCACTCGTACTTCTTCGTGCTGCTGGTGCGCAAGGGCTCGCTCGGCATGTTCGCGTCGCAGGCCGAGCACCTGGCGGGCAGCGAGCCCCCCGCCGCCGTGTTCAAGCTCAGCGGGTACACGCTGCGCATCCGCTCGCAGCCCAAGCGGCCGCACCAGTTCCACCTCACGCACAGCAGCAAGGGCGGCGGCAGCCCCAAGAAGCCGCTGCACTTTGCGGCCTCGAGCCTGGACGAGATGAACGGCTGGATCGCGGCGCTCATCAAGGCCATCGCCGTGGCGGACGAGCTCGAGCGCGTCGCGGCCGAGGAGCGACTCAACGGCACCAACAACAAGCAGGCGGAGAGCGAGACCGCCACGCAGGAGTAAGTCAGGCAGACAGGCAGGAGAGGAACTGTGGAGTATTCGCCGTTGATGGGGGACAATATGACGTCTTCTTCTTCATATTCATCAGTGGCAATCATAGTACTATATACTTCGTAGTTCTACAACAAAAGCGGAGGCTTCGGCGAGCCTGGGAGGTTGCTAGATAGGTTCGTAGATACACGCGACAGTCACACGTAGGCACACACACGCACGCACACGGGAGTTGGGCGAGCACACCACTCACTCTGCAACTTGGTGCTGGGGCTGCGGCGCTTGGAGGGGAGTTGTTCTTCAAGGGAGGTTGGTTGTTGTTGGGGGGGCTTCGACTACTTGCACTCCTTCGGATCATCTTCATCTCTTGTACAGGTCGGAGGAGGGGCCACACTCGCCTTTATAATGGTACACGTAATGGCAGTGTTGGCCTTCCCACGTGAAGGAGGGTAGAGGTAATAAAATAAAAATCAGCATCTCTTTGGAACACCCGCGGCAGGCGACGCAGAGCACCAGGCAGCAGAGGAGTGAGGCTCGTCCTTGGCGTGTGCGAGGCGGAGGCCCAGCGGCACCAGACTCGACTCTTTCCTCTGCACTTGTCTTTACTCCTGCACCACCATACACCGCGAGAGCGGCGCGTTGACGGCGCACGAGAAGAACTCGATGGTCTGGTTGCCGGCCGTCACCATGACTCTTCCAGACGGAGTCTTGCCGTGCTCGTAGATGCTGAGCTTGATGGGCGTGGGGACGGTGGGGATCGTCGTCATGTCCGGGCTCGCGAGGCCCATGGTGTAGTCGTCCAGCTCGTCCAGCTCGTCGGCGTAGAACGGGCCCTCCTGCGACGACGAGGACGCGGTGGACGCGCCCGAGTTGTAGTACTCCTGCTGCTGGTGGTTGTAGTACGTGGGGCTGCTGGGGGACGAGTAGTACTGCTGCTGCTGCTGGTGGTAAGACGAGGCCTTGACCGGCGAGGAGTAGCCGTCGTAGCCGCTGTACTTGGAGGGGGACGCGTACTGCGCGTGGCTGCTGTACTTGGAGGGCGATGTGTACTGCTGCGTCTGGTAGCTGCTGCTGCCGCCGTGGTGTCGGGAATACCGGGGGCTGGCGTACATCTTGACTTAAGAGTGGTGGGGTTAAGTTTGGGCTTGGGCTGCGCGTGGCTTTTTTGGGAATGGGCTGGCAGACTGAAGGCTGTGCTTGCGGGCCCCGGGCTGTAAATTACGCTGCAGCCTATTTAAAATTCAAAGGGGGCGCGCCCCGTCTTTTGCAGGCACTATGGATTTTTGTATGGGAGATGGACATCAGCGCCAGAAAGCCAGTTTGCGCCCGGGAATTTATCGCCGCGGGAATAGATTTCCAACGGCCGAAGCTCACTTGCTTTTTGTATCGATTACTGCTACCTCTGCGAAAGGGAGCTGGGCGCCGGTAACGGCTGGCGCCATACTCAAGGCAAGTGAACCCGACGCGCATCTGATGCCGTTGTCGTGTTGCGGCTCGACGTCGGAAGAGGAGGCCGCGCGGATTCTCGCTGCAACCACATGCCCGCCGGCGGCGACTATTGTGCGCTGCCTGCTGCTGGCGGTCGATCTTCCCTCCGCTGCGTTTGGCTCTGGCGGCGGCGTCGCCGACGGCGCTTGCCTCTGCTTTCGAGCCGAGGTCTTGTCGCTGCAGGTTGTTGAAACGCGAACCCTGGAGGGTCGCCCTGAGTTTTCCCCACGAAACGAGGGCCTTCTCTCTCTATGCGTTTCTTATCCAGTGCCAGCACCCCGAGAGGAACGGAATGAGTTCCTCGAGGACTGCAAAGCGGGTTACGCTACTCAACTCACCGCAAAGCGGAGGCGAACGGACTCCGTTACGGAGCGGCACGGCTGCCGATCCGCGTACATACTTATGTAAAGGGGGGTCCATTGGGGGCGGCCTGGACGGCGCCGCTCGAAGCTCGCCATGTCTGTCACCGAAGGGATTGGAAGAGCCCCATACAAACGCCAAGTACTACCGAACCCATAAATTATTGACCTGGATTTGAATTCGGTTCGGGTCTGGACGCGTCTGGCCACTAGCGACGATAGCCCCGCAGAGCTCCATTAGCAGCGCACCCACGCCTTGAACACCAGGCAATACACATGTAACCTTGAGGATGTAGTCTCCGGCGCCATGCCCGTGGCCCTGATTTTCGGTCGGTCTGATTGAAGCGTGCTCAGCATAGTGAAGCGGCCTGATTGAAGCGTGCTCAGCATAGTGAAGCCCATACAAAAGTATGTCTCACTCGGCATAGACACGCAAAGGCAACTTCAATTTACCTCGTGTCGTTCGCTTGTCACGCCCCGCTGATCGACATCGAGATTGCTCGACGCTCGCCGCCTCGAAGCTCGACGCGAAAGCGCCGCCGCCGCTGGTGATCAGGCCCAGCTGCTGCGCGAGGGCAAGGGGGCGTGTATCTCAAAAGCTGCTTGTGGTGGCGCTGTTGCTACATGTATAATAGTTGCCGTCGATGACCAGCACGGCGAGGCAAACTTTTGCGGCGGTAACTGCGGCGGTTTGTCGTCTTGGTGAGAAAAAGCTTTGGATCCTGATCAAGTGACTGCAACGACCGCACGAAAAATGGCTACGAAAAAGTCAAGCATTGTCGGTTCAAACTCACCGTGCTACGTGCGACAACTAGCAAAACGTCCTAGAGGTTTATTAGCTGGATTCGGTGTCTGTGCTGTATTCTCGCCGTTTTCGCTCTGCTGGCTATCTCTTCTCGCCTGCAACTCGCTCGCCAGCTGCCTGTATCTGTCCGTCCGTCCGTTGCGCTTAGTGCGCGTCCTGGCTCCACTGGATCGTGTTGGGGTCGATGCCCTCCTGCACCATTTCCCACAGGGGGCTCATCTCGCGCAGACGCGTGACGTGCTTGACGCACAGGTCCACGGCGTAGTCGATCTCCTCCTCCGTCGTGAAGCGGCCGATGCCGAAGCGGATGGACGTGTGCGCCAGGTCCTCGCCCACGCCGATGGCGCGCAGCACGTACGACGGCTCCAGCGACGCGCTCGTGCACGCGCTGCCCGAGGACACGGCGATGTTCTTGAGCGCCATGAGCAGACTCTCGCCCTCCACGTAGGCGAACGACAGGTTGAGATTGCCCGGGTAGCGCTTCTCCAGGTCGCCGTTGAGCACCACGTGCTCGATGCGGTCCGTGATGCCGTGGTACAGCTTGTCCGAGAGGTAGCTCACCCATCGGTGGTCGTTCTCCATCTCCAGCGCGGCGACTTCGCACGCCTTGCCGAAGCCCACGACCAGCGGGGTCGCAAGGGTGCCACTACGCAGACCGCGCTCCTGGCCGCCGCCAGAGATAATGGGCTCAAGACGAACGCGCGGGCGGCGACGCACGTACATGGCGCCAACGCCCTTAGGGCCGTAGACCTTGTGGCCCGACATGGACATGACGTCGATGTTCATCTCGTTGACATCAATGGGCAGCTTGCCGAGCATCTGCGCGGCGTCCGTGTGGAAGAAGACCTTGCGCTCGCGGCAGATCTGGCCGATCTCCTTGAGCGGCTGCAGCACGCCGATCTCGTTGTGCACGGCGATGATGGACACCAGCGCCGTATCGGGGCGGATCGCGGCCTTCAGCTGCTCCAGGTCCACAAGGCCGTTCTCGCCCACGGGCAGGTACGTGACCTCGAAGCCCTCGGTCTCGAGCACGCGGCACGAGTCCAGCACGCACTTGTGCTCGATCTGCGTGGTGATGATGTGCTTCTTCTTGGCCTTGGTGAAGTGGGCGATGCCCTTGAGGATGGCGTTGTTGCACTCCGTGGCGCCCGACGTGAAGATGATCTCCTTCGAGTTGGCGCCGATGAGGCTGGCCACGCTGCCGCGCGCGTGCTCCACGGCCTTGTCGGCGTCCCAGCCGAACTCGTGCGTCGTCGAGTGCGGGTTGCCGTACGCGTACGTCATGTACGGCAGCATGGCGTCCAGCACGCGCGGGTCCATGGGCGACGTGGCCTGCACGTCCAGGTACGCGGGCTTGGCGCCCTTGATGGGCGCGTGCTCGCCGCGCACAGCGAAGCCCGGCGAGAAGATCGTGTCCGACTTGACGTTCTCCAAGACGCTGGCGGGCACCTCGTTCACGGGCGTGTAGCGCTTGTCCGTGGCGAAGGCGCGCGTGGAGGCGGCCGCCTTGGCGGCGGTGCGCGGGCGCAGGGCGCGCGCGGAAGAGGTCAAGGTACGCAGGGCCTGCATGCTCAGGAAGTGATGCTTCGAGAGGCTTCTTGTGGGCCGTTGGCGGTCGGCCGCACATACATTCCGTATCTTACGCGTATGGTACGCGTTGCTTACGGGTTATATTCGCGTAAGCAACGCGTAATCGGACTCGCACGCGTCTGCGCGCACACGATTGGCTCAATTTGTTAAACGAATAGGGGTATGTGGTGACGCGCATCAAATTGGATCAGATGAGTGACCTTTTAGGCACAATTGCGGACACCGTCCTCCACAGGAAGGGAACAACTTCAAGTGTCCTCCAACAGGTGCGGCGAGGCAAGGGCCGCACTATGCGAACCAATGTAGATCGCTGGTGCAGGCCCAGCACAGAGCTTCACTACTGTCAGAGGTGATCCAGATTCCGGACACGGTTCGCCCTGCATTCGATCGCGCTTAGCTCAACTATTTTAACGAAATGTATTGATACCTATCGGATCCTGCGACCTGCTTTTAACAGCTTTTAGCTTTTCACGCGGCATGCCATGTCATTCATTGACTGGACCAACGCTTATATATATAGCTCTGACGTGGTTGAGGATAAGAGGCGGTCTTGGCTCACCGGGCAACGGATCGGAGACTTGCCCAGCCATCCAGGATCGGATGTCGAGGCACATTGATCTACAAATAGTTAAGCGGCACGCGTCGTCCTCAGGATATCCTTCCTATTGATAGGCAGGTCTCGATCTAGCCAAGCTTCAATCTTGGCCGGGTCATGACAACACTGGCGGCATGTTGATGCTGTCGTCAACTAACGCCCCCAATTCTGCATTCAACCCACTTGTCAAATTCCCGTTCCTCGGTTAAGCAGCCACCTCCAGCCACGCACTGAGAAATGCACGATGTTATGGTCGCGACGACCCACCATCGACTGGATGACAGCGACACGCCTCCAAGCAGCGGGAACGAGCGACGCTATCGCATGATGGGGCTGACAGGCCTGATCACCTTGCTGCTGATGGCGACGTACGCCGCCAATCCAACCGACAAGAACAACAACCTCCGTAGCGCGATCTTCAACACGATGAACACGGACGACACGCCAGGCTCCACCACCACGACAACGGCACCAGTGTACATTGACGACTCGGGGACGATTTCAGCGACTTCAAACTCGTCGACGGAGTCCAGACTGCGCACTGTGAACATCGGCATGGGCTGCCCGGAATTCCAGACAGCCTTTGACAGCGCCACGCCTGGAAGCCCCACTCCATTCCGGTCTTTCACGCTGACCAAAGGTACCGGGTATGCGTACGTGGCGCTGCACTTCAGCAAACTCTGGATGCCGCGTGGTGTCTCTGTGGTGCTGCGCGCAGTGGAAGGCTTCGACTCGCCGGATCGCACGCTTAACCTGTCCGCGAACTACCCGGGCGGTCAGATGTACGACAACGTCCTCGCTCAGCCTCTGCTCTCGAAGGAGTTCCGTCTTGAATTCTACCGCAACCAGGGCAGCCCCAACACCACTGAGGTTGATGCTGACCTCATCGCCGACACCTTCAGCGTGACTGACAGCGACGTGACGTGCTTTGGCTTCGTGGTCGACTCGTACTACTACGTGCTCATGGACAACGACAACCCCATCGTGGCCACCGACGAGTCCATTTGCGCCGTTGACAACACCAAGGAGGCCATTTGCTACTACGACGACAACACCACGCGCACTGCGTTCTTGGCTGCTCGGTCCGTGGCTCGACTGCTCATTCCGAAGGGCCCGGGGGCTTCAGCAGGCTGCACGGCTTGGCTGCTAGGCAACCAGGGACACATCATGACCAACTACCACTGCGTGTCCACGGACGACGAGGCGAGTGGCACAACGGTGGAGTTCATGGCCGAAGCCAGCGTCTGCAGCGACAGTATGTCGTGTGCGTCATGGGGGGCTTGCCCTGGTGATACCGTCTCGGTGAGTGTTAACCTCGTCCACGCGGATGAAGAGCTCGACTACGCGCTGCTGAAGCTGCCGTCCGATGGACCTCAAACGGCTCAAAAGTACGGCTATCTGCGCTTGAAGACGCGCGACGGAGTGGTGGGTGAGCAGGTGTATATTCCTCAGCACCCGCTGTATGAGGGCAAGCGGATCGCGATGGTCGACGACTACACCAACAACGTCGCATTGCTCAGTCTCAGTGCTAGCTCGTGCGGCACCGTGGGCTACTCGTACAGTGGTGACACCCAGAGCGGCTCTTCTGGATCGCCAGTCATTTCCTTCGCGGATCACGGCGTCATCGCGCTACACCACTGCGGTGAAATGTGCGCGAACACGGGAATTCCGGCGAAGAGCATCATCGACGACTTGAGGGCGAACGGTATCAATGTGGCGGAGTTTGACGGCGTTGACGATGGATCAAACCCGGCAGCCAACGCTGAGAGATTCCCGTCGTACACCCCGCCGGCCCCTGAAGCTGCGCTGCCGCTAACGTCACGCCTGACAATTGATGGCGCTATCATCCTCGCTTCGAGCTACGTCAGCATCGACTCCGTCAAGTTCACACTGAGCAGTGACACGGACGCCTCGTTCGACGTGCTCTCGGTTGAGATTGCGGACAACGACACCTTCTACGACTTGAACGGGGACTGCCGCGCGTCCTACCTCGACTCGATGATTTACCTCTTCGCTGACGGAGACACGGACCCAGTGTTCACCGTCGACGACAGCCAGGTGGACAACGGGAACGACGACGGCTCCGTGAGCTACCGTGACCCGTTCAAGGAAACTTTCCTCAAGAAAGGATCGTACACTCTCGTCATCGCGCCGACTGGTGCTAGTGGGGACGACGCGCTTGCCGGCAAGACCAAGGCCGACTATCCTCCAGAACTCTACACGTGCCGCACCCGCAGCTCGTACGGCTCCTACCGCCTCGTGATCTCCAGCACTGTCGGCGACAACCCCTTCACCTTCACCAGCCTGCCTCCGACGGTAGCTATCAACCCAGCGCTGTGCCACAAGAGTCCTGAAGCTATCTGCCCCAGCTGAGAGCTAAGGTGGACTGCACGGAATTCTTATCAAAGCATAGATTATAAGGGCATACATCCAAGTGAGGAGGAACAATAGATATTACCTTACTTCGCCAATCTTCTTCACATGCCATTTGTGCTGCCGCCTCGTCCACTCGACTCGCCCGATACGGGGCTCAAGCTCTGGTAGAACTCGGCAAATTGCTGTTCTCCGGACGCCAGCTCCTCACTTGCAATCGTGAGCGTGTCGGCCGCTCTGGCACGATCCACGCAGCGACCACAGAAGCGAAGATCACGTCGCAGCAGCTCGCCTTGGGGTTTGATGAAGGTGAGTTTGTGCTTCACTCGGCACGACGAGCAGACAAACCTGTAGCACAACTTGCAGCGGTCCCGGTCCAGTCGCTTATCGTACGTATTCACAAAACTACCAGAGGGAGTTCTGTGGGTCGAACGCTTCTGACACGACGTGCATTTCTCCATGGTACTAGCCGTTGAAGCGGAAGCAGGACCCGGAATCTCAGGGATCACTGAGAGCGGAACACTCGGACGCGTTGTGGCGGTGCTGGACGTTGTGCTGGTCACGGTAGATCGCCCACCAGGCGAGTTAATCGTGTTGGCTTCCACTACTGCTGCTACGGTATTCTGCATGACTCGTTGGCGGCGAGCATCTCGGGAGGTCTTCGCTAGCCACGCCAGCTTCTTCTTCTGGGCGCATTCTGCGATCTCGGTCACGGAAATGATAGCGTCCGCTACTGACCTCACCACCAGCGAGCGGATAATGCTTCCACTCGGGTTCAGGATAGCTCGGACGTAGACATCCACGAGCCCCTCGCGTTCTTGACGATACAGGGCGCCCACGGATAAATTCGCGCGTACACGTCCATCCAGCTCTGGAGCTTGAGGGAAATCCACCGAGTGCAGCAAGTGATATCCCACGCGTTCGCCTGTATCGAGTTCTGCTAAACCTGTCACCTCCAGGTACACAAAGTCTCGGTTCTTGACCACGGGTTTGAGCACATGGAGCTGCTCGTTCTCCATCCACTTGACCGTGAGCGAGTGGAACGGGTCGCTGGCTGTGGGCTCCACAATGGAGGCGAGCACGGCTCCGTCCGCCATGTTGTCCCCCACGTACGACGACTTGACCCGCATAGCCTCCAGCGTCGAGTTCACCGCCCCGTACATGGCGTCGTCCAAAGTACCTGCAATGGTCCCAACAGCCAGCAGCAGTGGCAGATCTGCCAGTGACGCGGCGGCCGCCGCCGTCACCTTCTCGCCCGCCGTCGTGCGCTGCAACTGGTGGCGGTACTCCCGCTCCAGCTCGTCCTGCGTGACTCCGCCCACCTTGCGTCGCTCCTTGAGCGGCTGCTCCACGTACACGTGCACACCGTCCCGCTGCTTTGTGAGCTTCCAGCGACGTTCGTCCAGCCGGCGCTGGTCCTCGTACAGATACTTTTCGTAGCTGCGCATGTTATCCTGTACGAACACGCGCGCGATCTCGCCCAGACTCGTCGCGTCCTCCACCGAGAGCTGCAGCGGGCCAAACGGACTTGGACCCCACGCTGGCATGGTGATACAGGATTGCGGCAATGACAGGATACGTATCCTGTCAAGTGAACTCCCGTGGTTTGACTGACGGTTGACACGCGCCCCTTCAGACCCAGCTATTTATACCAGGGACGATGGAGCTGCACTGCAATGACTTGGTGACTTGGGTGGTTGCTTGGGGACTGGTGCTGTTGTTGGCCGCACGGGAACGCTGCGCTGCGCTGTGGGAGTCGGAAGACACAACGTGGGCGCAGCGCGTAGGTAACGGCTCAGTGTCGCGCGTGACGACCGGACCAGGATAAGGAAACGGTCGTGTTTTTGGCCAATCACAGAATTTCGACTAGCGATGACACGATTCGCTGAAATGCATGTGCGTTGAAGTTGCCTTCAACTCGATCTGTTTGACCGATGGTCTCCTTTATCGATGCATCGTTATGATACAGGCGGGGGGGGGGGGGGGGGGGTAGAATTTGTTGTTATGACATTATTCTTTCGGGGACAGCCTACCTACGTAGTGCGCTCCGAGTCGGACGAGGACGCGAACGAGTAGTCTGTGCCCGAGTGGAAGGCGTACTGCGAGTTGTTGCCCGCGAGTTGTGCGCGCGCGGCGTCTGCTGTGTTGATTTCGAAGGCCTCCTTGATGCACGAGGGGCAGAAGGCCGTCTTGCGCTCCTCGAACGTCATCTCGAGCGTCACGAAGTTCAGGCGCTTCTTGACGCGGCACGTGCCGCACACGAGCTGGTGGCAGAGCTTGCACGAGTCGCGCGAGCGGCCGAACTTGCCGAAGATCTTGGAGCTGATGGGGATGCCGCAGCTGACGCAGTCGCCCTCGCCGATGGGCGCGCCGCGCTGCTTGTCCAGCGCGTAGCGGCGGTGCATGAGCCACGTGAGCTTCTTCATCTCTCCGCAGTGCGCGAACCGGAGCGACGTGAAGAACTTCATGGCGGAGGCGGTGACCAGGAACGACTCGACGCTTGATCCATTGGCGACGACGCCCGACGCGTACAGCTCGACGCACTGGTCGTGCTCCTGGCGGAAGAGGAAGAACACGTTGACGCTCGCGCGCACGCGGTTCGGCAGCTCGGGCGTCTGCGGGAAGCCGATGGAGTACATGAGGCGGTATCCGACGCGCTCGCCGTTCGCGAGGTGCGTGAAGCCCGTGGCCTCCATGAACACGAAGTCGCGCTTGTTCGAGTGCAGCAGCAGATCGAGCTCCTGCCACTTCAACGCCAGCGTCTGCAGCGGCTCCTCGACCGTGGGCTCCACAACGATGGCCAGAACGGCAGCGCCGGTGAGCTCGTCCACGTACGTGGCGTTGAAGCACATGTCCTCCGACGTCGTGCTCACCGTGCCGAAGACGACGTCGTCCAGCGTTCCCTGCATCGTGCCGACGCAAAGCGACACGGGCGTTCCAGCCTGTTCGGACGCCTCGTTCATCATGGAGTGGTTGCCGTCCGTCGTGGTGCGCACCTCGCGCTCCAGATACAGTCGCAGGTTCTCGCGCGTCTTGAGCGGCTTCCAGCGACGCTCGTCCACCTGACGCCCGCCGTCCTTGAGGTACAGCTCGTACGAGTGCAGACACTCGGCCAGGAAGCCGTTCGCAGTCTTTTGGAGCTGCAACTTGTCACCAGGCGACAGCTCCATCGACGGGAACGGGTTCATCACGAAGCGCTTCTTGCCGCCCATAGCCAGATTGATTTGAAGCTGCTCTCCGGCAGAACGTGGCGTGCTGCTCTCCTCTTCTCGGCAGATTTTTAAATGGCTGGGGCTGCGTGTCCCGCTTCGTGCCTCCGGATCGACGACGCCCGCTTAGGTTGCAGCAAGACGACTGGGATCCTCATCGCGGGCATGGCGAGTCGTGCATAGCACGCTCCGGCGACACGAGGCAGGAAGCAGAAAGGGGACAGCCCAAGTGGAAGGTGCGGCGTTGTGGCGTCGGTGGACAGCTCTCGCGGCAGAAATGAGCACCGACTCCTCGAGCCCCCGTCCGAGCACCGAGCTGCAAGCAGCGCGGAGAGACTGAGAGACCCGCGCGCGGGTGCAGAGTGCTGAACAGGCTTGGGAGGCGGTGCACAGTGCACTGCACTGTGTAACGTTAACTGTTACTGTACTTGGGCACTTTCGCCCCGTGACTGAAGTAACTTCGCACTCAACTCGGATGACGGGGCAAAGAGAGTGCACACGGGCGCGACCGAAGTGTAGGCAACGAGCGTGTGAGACGGATTGCTGCGTGTCGTAGCGGCCGTTAGCTCTCACGCCATTGATGGGGCAAGCTCCAGACTGTCACCTGGAGTGTCCTGAGCGACATTGCTCCAATGTCTGCGATCGCTGCAGGACACGTGACGTCAGCAGCGTTGTTGCCCCTGTGAAGCGGCTTGGAAAGCCGGCTTTGTCATGCGTTAGCGAGGTGAGCCAGTCGTCGTGCCCTTCCAGTCGAGGCGCGTCTCGGTACGCTGTCGTACACCGGACGAGAGACCAGCAGTCTATCCACAGGGAACGGGGAGCGGCGACCGCTCTGTCAGCGCAGTGACGACTTCCACTGCGCGCACCGAAGCCTCACCCCTGCGACCACCACGAACGCTGATTTCTACAGTCATAGTCTGGTGCGACGCGACTCGAAATTGACTCCAGCTGCCGCTGAATAAGTCCACTTCAAGAACGTTCGAGGGCAGACCAGTGGATCTGCCCGAATTCACTGTGAATTCCGCAGATACATGTATGTACATTCACACGACGATGGATGTACACTGTAGCCGCCTGCAATGAGCCTGGCAATACTTTGAACTGCCGGTTTTTGAGCAGCTGACGGACTCTATCGAGGAGAGAGGGTCCCCCCTTGGGGAAGATCCGCTGCTCGTGCTCGCACAGAGCGTTTGAACGCTCTGTGGATTCGACACGATGCTAGTAAACCGCTGGTTTACTCTGCGCGTTGGACGCGCCAGCGTGGCGTACACGTACCGTAGCCGATTGTTTTTGTGTTGGAAAATATTTGGGGCTCGTGCCGATTTGGAGGGGGGTAAAGCACAGTGTCTTTCACTCGCTCGCTGGTCGTCGCGGGCTGCTCCCTCGGCGGCCTAATTTCGCGAAGGGCTTGCAGTGGATGTATGCGCTGGCGCCAGCGGCGAGCAAACTGTCGATAGGTCGGCATGCACTCGATGAGTGCGCTGGTCATGCTGGACAGCCTTGACTTGACCAGGGCTATCGCGCGCTTAAACACCACTACAGACGGTGCAACAATGAGCAAAGCGCACCAGAGCACCTCTACTCGCGTAAAAGGGCCGAGCTCTAGCGTCACAGCGGCACCGAGCAGGAGCGAGGCGCAAAAAGTATCACAATTATTAAGGCGCCGGTGGTGAGTATATTTGAGCCACGGGCGTGAATGGGAAGGGCGGAACTATAGTGAGCACCCACCGAGGTGGAATGGTGCTTGGAAGTGGGGCCAACCTACATGTGCACGAATCTTCCGCCAGCGACAGTGCCACGTTAAAATGAAAAAAGATATCAGCGCGGACACATATTGCCGTCCTTGTTTGTGCATTGTATGACAGTGGGTCCTGTACATGTGCATTATAGAAGCCCAGGGGTGTCATCGCCGCGCACTGCAGGAGCAGGCTGTGGTGGGTCGGCGCCGACCACCTGATAGCGTGTCAAGAGCTTGCAGATGAAAACGCCGAGGCTTACAACCCTCACGGCTCGGCCGTCACCCAACAGTACTGTTCGAATCAGCAAGCCCCGCGCACAACCTCCACTAGGCTCAAGACAGCACCAAGCACGTGTCCGGCTCGACCATTTGACGTCTTCGTTCGGTCGCCATAGTGTGGTCTAGCAAAGTTTCAGCGTACCCGTCCTGGAGAATATCTGCGTGAACAAATCCTGTCGTTCAAATAAAAGCCAAAAAACAATAGAAAAGACCACAAACTTACAACTTCGTGTGCTCCACACTATACAATAATATAAGTCGCCTACCATTGGTGGAAAATCGCCTTACCGCCAACGCCTGGTCCTAGCTGATCCTAAACTAAACAATGCAGGCCGGAGGCAATACCAGCGGCGGCCCCGGCGTGGGCGCCAAGCGCGGGCGCGGGGGCGGCGCGGCTGCAGCGCTGAACCCTGGCGCGGCGCCCGTGGAGCTGCTCGTGGACACGACGGCGGAGGCCGTGAAGACGCGCTTCCTGCAGTTCCTGTGCGGCTACGGGCAGCAGGACGAGGCCCTGGACGAGGGCGCGCCGCCCAAGATCAACTACAGCCAGCAGGCCGAGGTCATGCGCAACACGGAGACGTCGTCGCTGTTCGTGGACTTCTCGCACGTGCTCGAGTTCGACCCGGACCTGGCGCAGGCCCTGCAGGCCCAGTACTACCGCTGGGAGCCGTACCTGCGGCGCAGCGTCTTCGAGTTCATCCGCCTCGAGGACGCGGCCTACACGGTCAACGAGGACGCCAACAAGACGCAGCGCGAGTTCTTCGTCAACTTCTACAACTTCCAGCACGTGTCGCAGTAAGTTTTTCGTTTTGATCGTATCTCTAGGATATTTTAGGATGTTTAGGACGGGGACTAAAATTTGTGTCTGGTTTGTGGTAGTATTCGGGACCTTAGGACCAGGAGTATCGGAGAGCTGTTGTCCTTCTCGGGCACAGTCACCAGGACGTCCGAGGTGCGTCCGGAGCTGCTGTTCGGAGCCTTTACCTGCACGGACTGCGGCGGGGATACCACCGGAGTGGAGCAGCAGTTCCGCTATAGTGAGCCGGTCAAGTGCCAGAACCCGTACTGCCCCAACACCTTCTCGTGGGAGCTCAACACTGAGAAGTCGGTCTTCGTGGACTGGCAGCGCGTCAAGGTGCAGGAGAACAGCGATGAGATCCCGGCCGGCAGTATGCCGAGATCTATTGACGTTATCTTGAGGCACGAGAACGTCGAGCAGGCCAAGGCTGGAGACCGCGTGGTCTTTACGGGTACGCTGATCGTGGTGCCCGATGTGTCCAAGTTCGCTCGCGCCGGAGGAGAGAACGCGGTGGCTACGCGCAACAATGGCCAGCGACCGCGGCGTGGAGGAGAGAACAGCACCCAAGGCATGGAAGGCGAAGGCGTGCGTGGTCTCAAGGCGCTCGGCGTGCGCGAGCTCACGTACAAGACGTGCTTCCTTGCGTGTAGTGTGCAGACGATGGAGCAGCGCTTCAACAGCATCTCCATTCGCAGCGAGTTTAACGAAGACGGTGCCGAAGGAGAAGATGGAGCTGAGGCTGCCCTGCAGGAGTTTAGCGATGAGGAGCTGGCGTCGATCCGTGAGATGCAGCAGGACCCGGACCGGTACCTGAAGATGGCCAAGTCCATTTGCCCGTCGGTCTACGGCCATGACGAGATTCGGAAGGGAATTCTGCTGATGCTGTTTGGTGGTGTGCACAAGAAGACTCTAGAGGGTATCAAGCTGCGTGGTGATATCAACGTCTGCATTGTCGGCGATCCGTCAACCGCCAAGTCGCAGTTTCTCAAGTATATCGTTGGATTCTTGCCGCGCGCCATTTACGCGTCTGGAAAAGTGAGCTCGGCTGCAGGTCTTACGGCTTCAGTGACGCGCGATGCAGACAGTGGCGACTACTGTGTGGAGGCCGGCGCCCTTATGCTGGCAGATAACGGTATTTGCTGTATAGACGAGTTCGACAAGATGGACCCGATGGACCAGGTCGCGATTCACGAGGCTATGGAGCAGCAGACTATCTCCATCACGAAGGCTGGTATCCAGGCCACGCTCAACGCGCGTACAAGTATTTTGGCCGCTGCGAACCCGTATAACGGTCGATACGACAAGACCAAGACGCTCAAGTACAACGTGAACATATCGGCACCCATTATGTCGCGTTTCGACCTGTTCTTCGTTATCCTCGACGACGGTGACGAAGTCACGGACCAGAAAATCGCAGAGCACATCGTCAACATTCACATGCCGAGCGAGCTGCAGGTGGAGGCGACGGAGACCGGCGCGTACAGCGAAGAAGACCTGAAGCGCTATATCAAGTTCGCGCGCACGCTCAATCCCGTGATCACCCCTGAAGCGAAGCGCATGATGGTGGCGTGCTACCGGAGCCTCCGCGAGAACGACGTCGTGAGCAATGGACAGACCAACATCGCCTACCGTATCACCGTGCGCCAGCTGGAGTCCATGATCCGTTTGTCCGAGGCTCTGGCCCGACTCGACCTCATGGACACGGTGCTGGTCTCGCATGTGCAAGAGGCCTACCGGTTACTGAGCAAGTCGATCATCCACGTCGATACGCAGAACGTTGAGCTGGAGATGCCTGTCCCCGTTGGAGCTGACAGTGAAGACAACGGAGACGATCACAATGGAGGAGGCGGTGGCGGTGGCCACGGTGGAGACGATGATGGTGATGATAATGACGATGGAAGCGGAGGTGGCGGCCAAAATGACTCTGCTAATGGCAGCGCTAATGGTGGTTCATCGGCCGCCGGTGCGGCTGCAAACGGCACTCCATCCAAGCCCAAGCAGGGTTCGACTACGTCGTCTTCTCTCTCGTTCGAGCGCTTCGCTAGGATCCAGAAGGCTATCGGCCGGTTCGTCCGAGAAAAGGAGGAGGAGGCGATGAGCGCCAAGCTCGCTCGCGATGCCATCCGCGCACAGACAGCAGCGAGCGGAGAAGGGGAGCAGAAGGTGGAAGAGGACGAGTACTATGAAGAAGAGGCGAGCGGCGTGCTGCAGGGCGAGCTCGTGACGTGGTACCTGTCGTCGCAAGACATCACGTCAGAGGCGCAGCTCTCGCGCGAGAAGCGGATGATCTGCTCGGTGATCGACAAGCTGCTGCAGGACAAAATCCTGTCTGTCGTAGACCTGGAAGACGATGAAGAGGAGAACGGCGAGGACGAGACCATGGAGTCGGCGGAAGGCGACGACCAGGACAAGAAGAAGGCCAAGAAGCGCACCAAGAAGCTGTCGCCCGAGGAGGAGGACGCCAACAAGCAGCAGCGGTATTTAACAGTGCACCCCAACTATGCCTTCGAGTAGAGAAAGCACCGCCAGGCAGCCAGCAAGATAGACAAAATACAGACACCGCCGTGAGATCCTGTTACACCGAAACTCAGATGGATACATGTTTCTGCTCGCAAATGCACCAGCATTCGCGCAGATACGTACATGTACAATGCCATCTTTGCAAAGCCGGCCAGGCTGGAGTGTTAGCGGCAGATACACTTGAAGGTAGTCGGCCTTCAAGTGCATCTGTCGCTAACGTTACCTGGCGGCCAGGCTTCAAGTTGAGGTGAAACCTACTGGAAGACCGGGTACTTGTGCGAGTTCAGGATAACAACGCGATCTTGAAAATGCAAGCTGACTCCTCTCTTGTTAGCTCTCTCCTAGCATAGTCCTTGACTCCAGAGTTTGCATGTTTGGCTTTATTGGCAATGGGGGCTCCTCTTCGCTAGACACACAAGACGCCGCCCCCTCATAGGCTGCGCGGCAGTCTTCACGCTCAAGAAGAATTCGCGGTACGGTCCTTCCCATACCTTTTCGCAATAATGACAGCATCAGCCGAGCAAGGTTCACAGCGGTTGTCGTGGAGATACCGCACCAGTTCAAAGCTCGCGGTTTTAACGCCCTTCGTTGCGATATTTGTAGAGCCACTGGGTGCCTTCCACAACCGTGACAAAACTTTTTTATCACTGGGGTTTGAGAGGATTAAACGATGATTAAACTTTCGGATTAAACTTAATTGTTTGGTGAGACCGAAAAGTGGTCTCACCAAACAATTCAGTTTAATCGACTTGCCCCGTTTAATGATGCCCCTGAAGTTGCAACCATGATAAAACTAACACTTGCATTAGTATAGGATCAAACTCCACCCCCAACTGGGGGGGAGGGCGATCTTCAAGGGCTGTCTTCGCGCCAAAGATTCGCGCTCAGCGCGAGCTCTCATTCACGAATCCGCGGCCTGGAGCGCACACACGGAAGCGCGCCCGACTGAAGCAGCGTGAGGATCAAAGGAACGGTACGCGCTGCACTTGTTTAGGCAGCTATCCCCCTACTCACTGGGTTTAAAGCTAACTCTGAGAACTCGCTCGTATGAATATGATTGGACAGGTCTCACAAGACTGAGGAAGCTAGTGCTCACAACCCTCTCTTGGTGCCCTATGTCATTTCGTGGCAGCAAGTGTGGCTAAGGGGTTTTGACTAACCCATCTGAGTGTATGACGTGTAGATTTCCGCGTCACCATGTGACCATTGTCGATACAGCATAGCTTTACCACACGGTTTAAGGATTTATCAGGCCTTTTGTATGTCGGGTGAAGCCGAGATTGCATCTCAAACACAAATGCAGCTGATTGAGTCTCACTCGTCTTGTAATATCTCGAAAAAAATCGTGAATCGAGCGCCTTTCGAAGGCGTTCTCGAGTAAATTGAGCCAGGTCCGTCAACTCATTTTTGGCAATAAACTTCGGGTTTTCTTTGGTCGACATGTAGTGTTTGAGAGGCTTGTCTAGATCAAGCGTGTTAAACCTTATCAAATAAAGTGCATGCAGCACATTTACTTGGTTTGGTTCTTCAGCTTGACACATACGCTTAACACCCGCAATCGGCCGTAGCAATGAGAGTAGATGAACCAAATCTAGCTGATCGTCTTGTAGTGGAAAAGTAGGGGGAACTTGGCTTTCGCGAAGTGCTTTTCGTGCCCTTTCATCATACCAGGCAACTATCGCAGTCCATTTATCCAGAATCCTTCTAATTGCTGTCGTCAGACTCAAAAATCGGGCTGGATTGTAATCAAAAGGTTGGGTTGTTCCAGTTTCAGTTTGTGTTCTACACAGCTCTTGAAATAAATTGCCAGTAGTTTCCACGGTGCGAACCTGGTAAATAGTCTTCTTAATCCGTGAAATCAACTTAGTCATGCCCGGATTCAGCGACTTACTTGCATCATTTCTCATTCCACATGCTTCCTTTGTCGCTGCATGGGCCATGTGCGCAACACACCATTCCCACCTGTATTTCAATTTGTTGACCAGCAAGTTTTTGACATCAGGCCCAGCGTCGCTCGTGGCAGCAAAAACAAAATCTTTCCGAAGTCTGAAATCCTCCAGAATTTTTTCCAGCCACGCCGAAAATGGACCTTGAATTCCAACGTCGCGGTCTCCACACGATGGGCTAAATTTTCGCGTTCCAAGCATCACCGATCGCATTTGCCAAAACTCATCCACGAGATAAAGCCGCAACCCTAAATATTTCCCATGAGCTGTACGACAAGTCCAAAAGTCTGTCATGATCACAAAATTCGCGCAATCGGAGCGATTACGTTCTAAGAAGTCAATTAACTCCGCTTTGGTCGAGCTGTAGAGCTCGACAATTGCCTTCGCAATTCGCTCTGCATTTATCGTAGTCTGCATCTCTTCTCTCACCACCACCTGCCGGATTACTCGGGATTCTTCGTACTCGCCGCTACAGAAAGGCAAGTTATTGTTCACGATGCGAAGGGTTTCCAGCAGCAAATGAAGGCGTTGAGGGTTTGTTCGATACAAATTCGACGAGAGCAGCCGTTCAACCGTTTCCTCTCGCTTTCGTTTTCCTTCAACTGCAGCCGCAGTTTTCTTCGACGAGATTCGATGCACCTTTCGTAAATGCTCTGTTGCTCTAGATGTTCTTGCTCGTGACAACACCAACTTCACACCTGCCTGTCGACACGCCTCGTCGGCAAGACATACCCAGCCAGTTTTCACTTCATCATTGTCGATATACTCTACGCGTACACCCCACTCAAAAATGAATGACTTCTCTGTGACAGTAGGTGGTTTAAGCGTGTAGCCCGCAGAGGGTTGATAGGCTTGAACCGCCTCACGAACTGCAACAGGTGGTCGAACCATAACAACGAGCACTCTGTTACCACCCACCACCGTTCTTCGTGTCTTCTCCTGCACGACACGTTAAAATGCTCCCGATTCTCTTGGCGACGTCTGCGGGCGGCACGCGGCGGTGGGGGCCTCCTCCTACTTTTTGCCCAATATGGGGGACCGTAACGAGCGGGGGCTCGCGGGTGCTCGTTGTGTTCGTATTTAAATGGGAGAGCCGAAAACCCTCATAAATCGTGCTCGCTCGGCAGGCACGAGCTCGTAGATTGGGGTTTTAGTGCTCTCTTGCCCCTCTGCTCGTGGGATGCTTGGCTAAACTTGGTTGTCACTGGCAAATGACCAGGTCGGTGGAGTCCGACTCGTCCACCGACCTGGTACTGTGAGAAAAGGCCCACCAGTCTCGCTGGAGCAAACACATCACCCAGAGTCAAGCGGTTGACCGCCACCGCGACACCGAGGCGGCGTGGTCACCCCCTGTGTGTCCCTACTGTACTATCTGAACAGCGTGTACTGCAGCTCGTTCTGTTTTCAGAGGCTTCCGCTGCGAAGGGATGGCAGTATTGTAGTCAAGTGGCCGCATCGCCATCGATCCGAAGGCTGCACGAAGCTCGGTTGGCTGCAGCCTCGCCCCAGGCTGGAGGAAAGCGTGACTGATCGTGTGCGAAAATCGGGCGTCTTGATGGAGAGTTGACCATGCGTGTCAAACCACGCGGCACGCAGGATACACGGCGGAACGGAATGGATCCAAGGCTCCGAAGCAGACGACCATCTACAGACCCACATCCTTGTCTCGACAGGAGCGGGAGTGAATCTTTCGGCGTGGATGGAGGGTCTCCATTTCTCAACTTCCACCGTCGCGCGCACCCATGGCGACTCCTTCAAGCCCATTCGGGCCTCTGCAGTTGTCCTGCACCGACACCGCGTGGCTCCAAGAGCTCGTGCGGCTGCTAGTGCACGAACACATTCTGAGCTACGAGAAGTTCGTGCACCAGGACCAGCGCCTATTGAACCCGACACAATGGAAGCGGCACTCGCAGCGCGACAATCTGCAGGTCTATTGCCAGCAGCAACTCCAGCAGCAGAGGGAGAACAGCAGCGTAGGCGAGCGCGTATCCCGACGGAGACTCTTCCGAGACACAGAGGCGCGCTCGGCCCTGGCCGAGATGCCGACTCTGCTGCTGGTCGGCACGATCCAAGGCTCCCTGAACGATGTCATGTACGGCGTCTTGAACCCAACCGCAGACTCCATGCGGCTCAAGTCTTCCTACGTGGGGGACAAATTCGCCAGCTGCGCAGTACTAGCGACGATGGAGAGACCCACACCAAGCGACCCGTTCCGCTCGCACACGTTGAAGTGGTTCGAGGGCGACCACCCGTACATCTTCCGGCCTATCGTCAAGAACCGAGACTTTGTCTTCATGGAGGCTACAGGGGTCACTACGCTGGCCGGAGGCGAGCGCGTGGGCTACCACGTCATGCACTCGGTGACGTTCCCAGGCGCCAGGGAGATGAACGGCAACGTCCGCGCGCACATGGCCGTCTGCGCCTTCTACCGACAACAAAGTGACGGGGTCGTCGAGGTCTTCACCAAGACGACAGCCAACCCCGGTGGCCACGTCGCGCCGGCCATCGCTGTCAAGTACGGCGCGAATGCGCTGCTGTCGGCGCAGAGCCTGGTGGACTGCGCGCACGCCAAGAAGCTCGCGTGGGTCGTATCAACCCGCGCGCGCGCGGCCTCCACGACCAGCACATGCAGCAGCAGCAGTTCAAGCTCTTGTCGAGACTTTCGCGCAGACAGCGGCGGCATCTGCTTTACCTGCGGCGAGCGCAGCATCTCGTCGCCGCTGCTCAGCAGAAGCGGCGCCTGCACACTTTGTACGCGTCCGATCTGTCCGACCTGCAGGGTCAAGAAATCGCTGCGCTTCGTTGCGTGGACGGGAGGCGTGGCCAAGCACAAGATGAAGTTCTGCGGCCCGTGCGTGCGCGAGGCCCGGAGGCTGGACGCCCGAGCGCTCGCCTGCGACGAATTCGGAGCGGACCGTCCGCAGTCGCATCCCAGGAACCGATTGACGGCTCATCTGGAAGGACTCACGGCATCCGACCCCAACGTCGTGGTGCTACGTCCGAGCGCGCTCAGCTCTTGAAGCCGGCGACACTGTAGCCACCTGAAAAGTTTGCAAGGTGCATGTATTCGCAATGGATGTCCATCTTGGCGGTAAACTTCGGTTGATTTTCAAGTGTACATGTACAGTAAAAGCCCGAGCTGCAATGTCCCGCAGCGATTTGCATACCCCCCGCAGTGCATTGGGGCTGGCGTGACTCTCAAAGGTGAGCAGCGGGTTACAAGGTCTCATCGCCCGGAGCTGTTCGCACTGACTCGGTTCCCGACAGTTCGGGGGAATCCTCCGACTCGGAGTCTCCGAACGGGATCTGCTGCGGTGTTGATGCTCGCTGTCGATCCGTCCGTGCCAATCTCGCAGGAAAAAGCGCCAAGTTCGCCTGCATGGAGAGCGACCAACCTACTCGTCTGCGGTAGCTCCCGCATTCCACATGGCCCGCTCCACTCCAGCTTTGACCTCCCCTCTCCTCCATCGCCAAGCATGGCCAATGCTGCGAGTCCGTTCCTGCCCCTCCACCTCTCGCACGCGGACGCCACCTACCTCAAGGAGCTCGTGCACGTGCTCGTCCAGCACCAGGTGGTGAGCTACGAGCGATATCTGCACGAGGACCAGGAGCGTCTCGACAACAAGCGCTGGAAGCAGGTCCTACAGCGTGACAATGTGCGGGTCTTCACTGAGCTGCAAGGCTCGAACCCCGCGGAGGACGCGGGCCTGGGTTTCATCGACCAACAACAGTCTTCCGAGTCGACGGACGTGCCAGCGTTGCTTACCGTTGGCTTCATGGAGGGCTCTCTGGACAACGCCATGTATGGACTGATGACCCCCACGGTGGAGTCAATGCGGCTCAAGTACTTCTACGCTGGAGATCAGTTGGCCAATGGTGCCGTATTGACGACGATCGATCGGCCAACCGCCACCAACCCGTTCCAGTCGCTCACCGTCAAGTGGGTCGAAGGCTACCAGCCGCCTGTCGTCCGCTCCATCATCAACAACCGCGACTTCGTGTACATGGAGGCCACGGGTTTCACCAAGCTCAGCGACGGCGAGTTGGTCGGCTATCAGCTGCTCCACTCGGTGCACTTCCCTCAGACGACGAAGGTTCGGGGTAACGTTCGCGGTACCATGTCGATCTGTGGACTGTATCGCCAACGGAACCACAGCGTCGTGGATATCTTCTCCAAAGCTTCGGTCAATTCAGGGGGCCGAGTAGCTCGATCGTTGGTGGTCAAGTATTGCTCGGCCGCGTTGATCTCCGCCAGGAAGATGGTGCACTGCGCTCGCCTCAAGAAGCTCGCGTGGTTGTTGAGACTGCGCGATACTGGGAACAACGGTGGATTCATTCGAGGAGACCCAAAGTGCATCGGCTGTGGCCAGACGCCCGGGGTGTTCGCCAACGGGATCGGGGCCTGTTCGCTGTGCAAACGCGCGCTGTGCTCGAGTTGTAGAGTGAAGATTGAGCTGGGATTCATCGGACTCGGAGGAGGCCTCGTGAAGAACAAAATGTGGTTCTGCACGTATTGTATCGATGAAGCGGGGCGGACGAACGCGCGTCGGGTCGCGTGCGGAGAGTATGCGGGTATTAGGCTGGCCGAGAGCACTCCGTGGAGCAGCGGGCTGACGAATTCCAGTTCACCATCGAATTCCGAGAGAAGCGATGACTGGGGGTCGTTGGAGTCCAAGAGATACCTCAATCTCTTGCCTAGATAGTTAGTGAATTCCTAATTTTTTTTAAATGTTATGAAGAAATTCCTGAGTGATGAAGAACTGATTGAACCTGACCCCCACAGTTTATTGTGTTGGACGGCCTAAACCATGGCGCACAAAGAAGAAGAACTGGTGCTGGTGTGCGGTGTCGTCGGAGACGGCGGACTCATCTGCATTTCCGTTAAGCAGTGGACACTGGTGGGCATACTGAAGAACGCCATCGCAGAAAAGCTGAAGTACGAAGGCGAGTCGACAAGTTGCAGTCCTGGCGAAGAAGAACAGGGAGTGGCTGAAAGATACGGACCCGGTTGTTGAGCGACTGGAGACCGATGACGTTCGAGACATGACTTCGCAAGCGCAGCTCAGGGCTTCGTGGTCGATTCAGGGTGTCTTGGAAGAGAACGACATGACCGGAGAGCGCGCTCCAAAGGAGGAGCAAATTCACGTGCTGGTGGTGATTCCCGGAAGCCCAGCGCAAACAGCTACGGCCGCGACGACGTCGGCGGCTATAAAGGAGAATGAAGCCCTCGACCAGAACGTTGCAGGACGTCCAAGTGAAGGTAAGCGTGTCTTATCGTTTGGAGCTGCTACGACGTATATTACCGCCAACGATTATCGTTTTATTTGTCCAGAGCCGCATTTTCACAAGGCCTCATCGAGCTTCCGATCGGGTTGGTCTTCGTTCCTGTCGCTCTTTGGCATGGATGAAACCCTGAAGACCAAGAAAAATGTGTGATGGAAGGAGTGGACGCCACTTGCAAGCACTCACGCATGCAGATGACTCTGCTCCAGATCGACTGCGACCTCTTTAGGTAAATGAGTTTCTTTATCTACTTTGGAGAAATTTTCGTGTTATTTGAATGGGGATGCTGTTATCCTTCTTCTTTAGTTGAGTTGGATAACAGCGACTACCTGTTCGCTCCTGGTCACCGAGGTTTCCTCCCCATGGTTAGTCACAGCCTGTGACTCACAGGGACAGAAAGATGCTTACGAACATCGCTTTCCGAGTCTAGAAAACTGATTGATTGATTGAAGCCCCCTCCCCACCCACCCAGACAATTTGCTCACTCGCGAATTTGCCAAGAGAAAATGGCGAACCTTCATGTGGACGGCGCAACAATGTGGCTCACGGATCGTATGACGTTGAATCCGACGACGCTGTCTAAATTTTGGAGAGCACTCGAGGAAGATCAGACCGACATCCGACCCGATGCCGTGGTTACACTACCGGAAGGGGTACACTGGTTGGGGGATGAGTTGCTTGGCTCTTGCGTGTACATTCGTCGCTGTTATCTGCAGCTACTGGGAGACAATGCACGACAAAAAGAAGAATCTACCGCACGTGGTGATCCTCGGAAACGCCGGAATCGGTAAAATGTTTTTCGGGTTGTTTCTTCTGCTTCACTTGGCACGCGCCGGTAAGACGGTGGTTTATCAAGACAGGGACAAGTGCATTCTCTTCTCTCGCACTATGGTTATCCGAGGATCAGAGCAGGCTTTCGTGGAGATTCTGGGTAAAACTACGACGTATTACATCGTGGATGGTGCTAAACCGCCTTATTGCGCGGCCAAGACGATCCTTTTAGCTCGACCGCAGCTCGCAAATTGGTATCAATTCGCCGAGACCAACTGCACCATACATTCACATGAGGAGATTTTAACGTGTCGAGCCCTGGTGTATCCACAACTTCCCCTCATTGACGTATCGAGTTGTCTCCATCGATGGGGCGGCATCCCTCGCTACGTGCTGCATTACGCGCGGGTCCATTGTCAGCAGCGGTGGCTTGAAAAGGCGATCAATAGAGTCGACTGGAACTGGATGGTCACCGCCGCTCGAAACCTGGACTACGATGAATACGAAGTATGGTATCCTTTGTTTCATTGTCGCGTCAATAAGTCGTTTGAAGGGGCAGGTTTCGGCTTCGCTTCGTTGTACGTGCAGCGGAAGATCTACGCGCAATTGTACAAGCAGAACAAGGCGAGACTTCTCGAACGCTTCGCTTCACCGATCACGCATTTTGGTTGGGGTGGGGTCCACTGGGATCAATTGCTCGAAGAGCATCTGCTGACGCTGCTAGCGCGAGTTGGGAACTTCCGAGCCCGACGTCTTGTGGACGATAACGAGGAATACGACGATGATGAAACCTTTGCAGAGGCAGATTGGGATGATGAAGGCAACAAGCGCGAACATACTGCGGAAGAGCAAGAGGTTGAGGAATCGGTGCAGCTCGAGATACAAAATCAACTCACTTTTAGCACTAGAGAGGAAGTTTCCACTGCTGAGGCCAATACGTTCTTGCGGCCAGCAACGAAATACGTTGCGGACGCGATAGTGAAGCCAAGGCTGCTATTCTACGTGCCGGGCGTACACAAAACGCCGCTCAAGCAGAGCCACCTCCACGATCTACTGGAGCTTCTCGGCAACCCCGACCAACCGCGGCTTTACTTCGTGCTCCCACCGAGCCAATTCCACGATTTCCGGTATCAGAGATATATTGACGGGAATGACAAGAGAATCGCGATCTCGTCGTACCAGAATGTGCGGAAGCTCCAGCAATTTGCGCTGAAAGTCGAGCTTACATCGTAGTCGTACGGTAGTACTTGAACCATCATCCTCGCCGACCAGGACAGATAGTAGTGTTATCTCCAAGCTCCGGTAGGAAAAGAAAAATCTTGCTTTATAAAAAAATGGAGCTAGATGGAGCAAATGAGTCCTGTGGGTTTCTTGCATGACTTGGGGTTGATCACAATGGCTCGTGGGAGCTTTGTGAAAGTGAAGGGGTTGTCGCCGACAGTGCTTGAGATCTCCAGTCGGTAGGAGCCGTATGAGCCGCGGGCTCTGCAAGTGTAGAGCTCTGGAGCGTAGTCCGCTTTGGTCTCGCCTGCGAGTGCATCTTCTTCACTCGAACCCGTGGGGGCTATTGCGAGAATGTAGGAGCCTTTTTTGAGGAACGTGCGCTTGGACGGATCACGGAAGCTGACGGAGCCGTCTTTGAGCGTGCCATCCACACAGCCGTCGTCAGCAGAGAAGACGGGAGTAGGATCCCCCACTGGGAAGAGATAGATCATTGAGTCCAGGTACGTAGCTCTGCAGTCGCCGTTCAGGTCAACGAACGTGTCGTTGTCCGCCATCTCGACGGAAAACACGTCAAACATGATGTCGGTATCTTTGCTCAAAGTGAACTCCACCTTTTCAATGCTGACAAACCCAGCGGCGAGGGAGATAGCTCCGTCCAGCTTTAGGCGTGACGTCAGAGGCAACACGACTGCGGGCACAGGTGGAGTGTACGCTGGGAACCGCTCGAAGTTCGACGAGGGACTCAATCCATCGTCAACACCATCGAATGCAGCTACGTCAATGCCGTGCGCCTTCAAGTCGGCGACGATGCTCTTGGCTGGGATGCCAGTGTTGCCACACATGTCGCCGCAGTGGTGAAGTGCCACGACGCCGTGGTCTGAATAGGACAGAACGGGAGAACCGGAGGACCCGCTTTGAGTATCTCCACTGTACGAGTACCCGGTTGTCCCGCATGAAGTCGCGCTCAGACTCAGCAACGCCACGTTGCTGGTGTAGTCGTCTACGAGCGCAATGCGCTTCCTATTGCCCAGAGGATGTTGGGGGATGTAGAGTTGTTCGCCCACAACACCAGCGCGAGTCTTCAACCTCAAATATCCATAGGTCTGAGCGACCTGCGCTCCGTTCGACGGCAGCTTCAGCAACGCGTAGTCGAGCGCCTCATTTGCGTGCACGAGCTTGGTCGTAACTGCGACCATGCTCCCTTTGCACTCCTTCCACGTGCACGACGCGCTGCCGTTGCATTTGCCAGCTTCCAGCATGAGCTCCACCGTGGTCGTGCTGGCCTCTGCCTGTGTAGCAACGCAGTGGTAGTTGGTCATGAGGTGCCCCTGGTTGCCCAGCAGCCAGCCCGTGCAGCTCGCGAACATGTTGCGGCCTTTTCTGATGAACAGCCGAGCCACCGAGCGAGCAGCCAAGTAGGCCGTACGGGTCGTGCTGTCATCGTAGTAGCACACGGCTTCGTTCGTGTTGTCCGCAGCACAAACGGACTCGACGGTAGCGACGAGGGGGTTGCTGTCGTCTACTAGAACGTAGTAGTACGAGGCGACCACGAAGCCGAAGCACTTGGACTTGCTGTCCGTCACGTTGAAGTCGTCGGTAGTCAGGTCTACGTCCGTAGTGTTGCGACTTGCTTCGTTGCGGTAGAATTCAAGTCGAAACTCCTTCGAGAGCACCGGAGGCGCAACAACGTCGCTGTAGACTCGGCCGCTCGGGTAGGTTGTGGACAGGTTGAGCTTGGTATCCGCTACGTCGAAGCCTTCCACTGCGCGCAGTACCACGGAAGTCCCGCGCGGGACCCAGAGCTTGCTGAAGTGGAGCTCCACGTACGCGTATCCGGTCCCCTTCGTCAGGGTGAACGACTTGAATGGTAACGAGTTGCCGGGCGTTGCGCTGTCGAAGGCGATCTGGAACTCCGGGCAGCCCATACCAATGTTCACGGTGCGAAGGTTGGAGTCGCTTGATCCGCTGTTGGACGCGTTCGACGGGATCACTGGTACCACTTCAGGCTCAGTAGGGATCGCTGTTGCTACAGTCTTACACGCTGGAGTCTCGGAGCTGGTGGACGTTGCAGCACAGGTTAGCACCAGCAATAGCGTGATGCATCCGAATACACCCATAGCGTGAAGATGCTGGCGATGATGGCTACAAGAAGGCATGATGCTTGGCGTCTGTCTCTAGGAGAGATGTTTGCTGCTGTGTGGTGAGTGCAGAGGCGATTGAACTATTAGGTCATGTTGCTCGATTTGACAGACACTCGCCACTTCCCACTCTGCGCAAGCTCATATGGAGACGATGTGAGTGGACACGCACTTTCGTGGCGTGGCTTCGTTTTTCGCCGCTCGATATGGTCCTTGCTAGCTCTCTAGATGACCTGCATGTGCGCACAACTATCGACTTGGCGTTTCATGCGAGTGACGCGAACCATGCGACTCTGCCGACTGGTACATGTAGTCCAGCCTTTTGTATCGAAACTGGGACGCGAGAGTCCCGGTGGGTACCAACTCGCCGCGCTATCCCAGGAGACAAAGCTGGATACAGCACAGTGACTCGTATCCCATCCAGCACAGATCTTGGTGAACTGCTGTTGCTCAACTCCAGCACTGCAGGCAGCAATGCGTTAAACAGATTTGCTTGGTCGTCACAGGCATTTAACACCCAGATCCCTCAGCATTGCTGAGTTGGCAATCGGCGGCGCAACATGTAGCTTAGCAGTAAGCTTCAACAAGTGGTGACGGCCAACCTGTCCATGATCGAGGGCACGACACGAACGGCGCTCGTCATGGGGTTGAGTCGATTAAAAATCTAGCTGCGACCGTCAAGCGAACCTTGCTGTCGTTGAAGTCCTGCGTGGCGGCCACCTCCGAGCCACAAGACGCCGAGATAGACTTACGATCACAGAAGAGCACTCACGCTTACGCTCGACTAAGATGTAAGCAATGGGAGTTTCAGATTTCTGAAATAGTCGTTTCCAACTTGGGCGATAAGGGGCGGAGCGACGGGCCGAGGCAGAGCGCTCGCCCAAGTCGTCCAAGCTTCTGAACCCACCACTCCACTCCCTTAGGGCTCAGCCCGGACCTTCCAGGCGCGGTAGATACATTTCCGTTAACGTAACACGTTATTAACGCCCCAGCCGTCTGTGCTTCCCAAGAGTGGGAAAGTCGCGGTGCCAAAGCGTCCGGTTCGCTCGCTCGCATGACCGACCGACAGAGAGCTGGCGCCTCCAATCCCCGAGAGAGCCACCGCAGCGTCTTTCACCGTCTCGAGCTCGCACGCCACGTGCTCAATGCCACCTGGCCTGGCTGGGGCTCCGAGTCGGAGGCTCCGACCGACACGGGCAGACTCGGCGCAAACCGGCTCAACGATCGCAAGGACCTCAGCTCATAGCCACACCAAAGTTACAGTAGTGTTAACCGTGGCGGGCAAATTTTCCTCGTGTTCGAGTTGAAACGCGAGTGATCGCGCTGCTTGGATGCCACCCGTGTGGACTCATCAGTCACCGCTTCGTGGTCACGAAATCCTACCGGCGATGCTTGCTCGGTGTGTGTCTCTCTCTGTCCGAGCGTCCTCAAATCCGTCGGTAAGTGATCTGTAGCCTGAGCCTGCACCGGCGATCGAGCACGGACCGGTGTGCGCTGGATTTGGCATGAGGCCGTCCAGCCAGGACCCCAGGACCAAGCAAAGCAAGCTGCGACTGCCACACACTTCTCCATTCGCACAGAGCAACCAAAAGCTTGTTTAACAGGCTGATACTGTAGATTGACGGATACCATGGCGAAGGACCGCTTCGTTCGCAACCTCTTCCCGGGGCTCGAGCTGTCGGTGGCCGACAAGGCCGAGCTGCAGGCGCTCGTGTCCACCTTCATCGAGGAGCAGCTGCCTCGCTACATGGAGTTCCGGGCGGATGACAAGAAGGTGGACACCAACCGCTGGAAGCTCTACAAGACCAAGGACAACGCGCGTCTGTACTCGGAGCGGGGCTCGACCAAGGGCGAGGACCAGGAGGTGACCAACATGCCCGTGATCCTCTGCGAGGGCTCCATCCCGGGCAAGCTCGAGGACGTCATGTTCGGCGTCATCAGCCCCACGTTGGAGAGCATGCGGCTCAAGGCGTCGTACATCGACGATATCAGCAGCGCGTCCGTGCTGTCCACCATCGTCAAGCCGACGCCCGAGGACCCACTGCAGTCTCTGGAGCTCAAATGGATGCAGCTGGACCTGCCGCTGCGCTCGACCAAGATGGTCAAGAACCGCGACTTCGTCTACATGGAGGCGACCGGTATTATGCGCACGGAAGACGGCGAGGAGATCGGGTACCACATCCAGCACTCCATCGGCCTCCCTCAGGCCCCCGAGCTGCCGAACCTCGTGCGTGGCAACTGCCACCTCTGCGCCTTCTTCCGCCAAGAGCGAGACCTGTCGGTCGAGATGTACGCGACCGGAGCGTGCGAGCCCGGAGGTCCCGTCTTGAAGTCGCTGCTGCTTCACCCCATTGCGTCCATGCTGCTGGCGTGCACGGAGTACGCGCACTGCGGCGAGATGAAGAAGCTGTCGTGGATCATGGAGCACCGCAACGCCCAGAAGAAGCAGATGGGCGCCAAGCGCAACGACGACAAGTGCGTGAGCTGCTCCACGTCGGTCAGTCACAGCCGGATCGGCAAGCTCAGCACGACGCGGGGCTCGTGCAAACTTTGCTTCCAGGCGGTGTGCCGCTCGTGCCGCGTGCGTAAGCTGCTGACCTTCATGGAGCCCGACCTCAAGTACGAGAAGCGCAAGGTCACGTTCTGCCCCGTGTGCATCAAGGACGCACTCAGCGTCAGTGCGCTGCAAGTCGCGAGGGATCAGACTTTGGTCCCGAAGAAGCAAGGAATCTACCGCTCCGGTAGCGAATTCTCCGTCACGTCTTCATCTGATTCTAATTAAAAGGAGAAGAGCGTGGCGCTGTGTAAATAGTTCCATCGGCAGAACTCCCGCAAGATAGATAGATAGTTTAGTTAGTTTTTTTATTGCGTTTAAAATGATCTACCGCAACATATTTCCTCATAGAAACTGTCTTTTTCGAACCTTCTCCGTGAACACGTTTGGGGCAAAAGGCAACGTTCTTAGATCACCGAAGGGACGCCTCAGCGGGTTCGCAGTGAATCCGTGCGAGGCAGCCCCGGGAGTGGTGTGGTGGGTCTTAAAGTCGGCCAGCTAGTTGGCCTGCACGCAAGCTAGCTGAGGAACGCCGCCCCCTAAAACTAAAACTAAGCTGCCTATTATTAATACTGCTGACTAGACAGGCCTACAGACAACGACTTACAAAGCCGGCATGCTTAATGCCATCCTCCTATATAAAAACAACGATAAATTCCCTCCCGTCAAATCTGTAAAACTGTCATAAAACACACGGTGTGTTGCATAACGTACACAAGAAAGCATATAAAGTACACAAAGACAACGACTTACAAAGCCGGCAGACACAAAAAGCCGGCAGACGAAGTCAAGCAAAGCTTAACATGAGCAAACCAGCCAATCAGATTCAATCAAATGACTTCATCTTTGAAGACCATCTGTTGTTTCGTACTTTATATGCTTTCTTGTGTACTTTATGCAACACACCGTGTGTTTTATGACAGTTTTACAGATTTGACGGGAGGGAATTTATCGTTGTTTTTATATAGGAGGATGGCATTAAGCATGCCGGCTTTGTAAGTCGTTGTCTGTAGTCGTGCAATCCTGGATGACCGCAACATGAGGACAGAAGAATTGAATTTGCTCATGAACAGGCTGCTTTATCGCGACACAAGTTTCTACTCGTGCCGTCCTAATGGATAACCGCAGTGATCTCTTCTCGTCCATTTCGCAAGTTGTCCCCAAGCGCATCGAATCCAAGAAAGTCGATCAACAGCACCAATGCGTACACAGTGCATTGTGCTGCTGGTCCTCATACTTTGCTATGCGGGGACCAACACTGCCGAGGCCCTACCGCACGCTGACAAGGTCGAGATCTCTTCTATGCCAAACAGGCATCTCCGATCGCATGAGCCTGTAGCTGACGAAGAGAGAGGGGGTCATGGGCTGTGGGTGTCGAGACTTGCTGAGTTGGACCAAAGCTTGTGGAAGTTGCAGAAGCTGGGCATGGCTGGCGGGGTGAAAGTCTGGCTGCATTTTGGTAAGGACCTGGTGTACATGTTCAACTATATGCACAAATTCAACACGTGGCAAAAGGTCGGCTACAGCAAGCGGGCGCTCATCTGGTTCAGATTTACCAAGGCGTTCAGGGCCAAGAATGGAGCTGATAGCTTCACCGATTACCAGATTTACAAGCTGCTGAGCCGTGAAGTTCCGGACGAAAAGCTGGCTCTCGTCTTCGAGTCGCTTAAGCAAATTGACGACTTGAAGAGTCTAGGCGAGACGATGCAGAAGTATCAGTTCATGCTGTGGATCGACGATGGAGCAAGCCCAGCCAGTATCCGAAAACTGCTTGGAATGAGACCCAGTTCGGCCGTGACGTCCGAGCGCGGTCCAAGGGACGACATTATCGACGCGTTTACGAAGCTGTATAACAATTGACTGTGGAATGCAAAAGAAAACTAGCTAGACGGTCCCGAGAGCCTATGAGTTTAGGATTTACCAGGCGTCTAGCGGTCAATAGGCTAAGTAGTTAGGATCGCCTTTCTCTTTATCCAATACTGAACAGCACTGACGTAGAAAATGCTGCGAATGAGCTCGATGCGTAGTCACACAATTAATCGCAAACGCTCTCGTGTAGGCCCGGATCGCCAATAAACCCCTAAAAATCGGACACCGGGGGTCTACGTCAGGCATGTTGATTTGAATATCGCGTCCAAAGTCGGCAGTGCAAACTTTCCTTTGCAAGACGAATTTATTTGTTTTTGTACCTGAAGTCCAACGGTTCTTCAGCTTACCAAGACGTATCGAATCGCAACGTCATTTATTTCCAAAGATTTCAACGAATTTCTTGTTTAATAAAAAAACAACTATATTAAAATATCCGTTATTTAAAAAAAGTATGCGCAAGGCGTCGAATTTGATATGCACCACCGCCAGCAGACACTCCTCAAGTAATTGGTCCCAGTGAACTCCGCCCCGACGGAAATTCATGTTTACGGTTGGTGTAGCAATACGTTCGAGAAGTTGCATTGTGTGTTCTTTTTATTAGAATGCCGAAACTTGCGGAGAATACTGCCCCATCGAAAGAGGCGACTTACTACGTCAGAATAGGGGAACTTGTGGATATATCAAGGCTCGACACGTAGAATTCTTTTTTTTTACTAAACAGGAATTTTATTGGAGAAGTTGGTATTTAATCGCCGTCTTCGCCACACAAAGAAGTCGGTTAGCACAGTCCACGTATTGACAAGGTGGAGTTCACTTTGAGCTGAAACATCGATATCTTCTTCGGTGTTTCTGTAGTCGAGTTGGCGGACAGTGACACGTTTGTCGACCTGAACGGCGACTGCGGAGCTACGTATCTGGATTCAATGCTCTACCTCTTTACAAAATGGGATTCCACGCCCATCTTCTCGACATGGGTGTCAAGGCTCAGAACTGGAGAAAAAGACATCAAAGCTGCGGAAGTTTGAGTAAAAATGCCCCAGGCGCTCTGGATCAGTCACGAAGGATCCAGCGTACGTGTTCAAGTACCTAAACATTACAAGACGTGGGTGAATATCGACAACAGCAAGAGGACAATCCAGTGGTTCAGGTTTACCAAGGCGTTCAGAGACAAGAAGGGAACTGGCAGCTTCACCGATTACCAGATTTACAGGCTGCTGAGCACCAAAGTGCCGGAGGAAAAGCTGGCGCTCGTCTTCGAGTCGCTCAAGCAAATCCCCGACTTGAAGAGTCTCGCGGAAACAATGCAGAACTATCAGATCCGGCTGTGGGTCAGTAGCCGAGAAGACCCATCCAGCATCAGAACACTGCTCGGCGTGCCGCACAGTTCGATCATGACAGCAGAGCGTGGCCCAAGGGACGACATCATCGATGCATTTACCAAGATCTATAGTGGCGGAAGCTAATCCTTAAGACGGACTGCTGTAGTGTACATATAGATAGCAGTTTGCTTGGGCGATCGTACCCGCTCTTCAGAAATTCTTGTTCTGGGTAAGAATTGCATTAAACTGTTGCATAAGTAATTGCGCTAGCACGTCTTGAAGCAGTAAGCGTTCGCTTTCACGGCTCTCGTACCAAAGCAACTTTCCGTAAGCCCTTACAGCAGTACCAACGTACCACAGCTGTAAAGCGCAACTCGAACGTAATTGAAAAAGTTCACAGTACGCGTCGTCAAGCACAAATGCATTGGAAACACCATAGCCTTCGGGGGCCAGAGCGTTCTGGCACGCACTTCACTTCAGGTCGACGCTAGCGTGTGCTATGACTCTCTTCGCCTTGTGCTGTAGCACTCACACTGAACGATAAAAATCGAGGAAGAAATCAAACTTGCTCGTGAAGACAAAAACCCCACTCTCCAATAGTCTACTTGACTGTGAACCTGTTGGCGAGAAGTCCCAAAAGACTCGGAAAGCAGTATTCGCCAGGGGAATTCTTAAGCAACACAAGTAGATTGGGCTGTTTGTCCAAACGTAAGTAGATCAGATCATCTGCACTCAGCAAGCGAAGCGAGCGAACACCCGCGGTTTGTCAGCCCGTGTGCGAAGCACGCGGATGCAAACCCAGGATCCAGGATTGCCCTTCTAGCAGGGGGGGACGCGTGCAGGCCGCAGCGGACTTTTAGGGTTCTATCCAATCGAGCCTTTAGGGTCTGAAAGACCGCGCGTAGCGCGTAGCTGGGTGATAGTTAAAATCCGTGTAATCAACGCTTCCCAGTGTACTTATAAATAGTCCCCGTGATCTACTTACGTTTGGACAAATAGCCCCAATCTACTGGTATTATTTAGTTTCTTGTACACGCCACGTATTTCCAAAACGTTTATCCTTGAATTTGGCCACCAAATATGCCTGCATTAATTAAATCCCCTTCTGTCATTTCCCATTCCCCAGAAGCCAAGCAAGTCCAGCAGCGCTCCACAGATGCGTTTGCATCACGCTGCTATTCCTCGTCCTCTACTATGCGGGAGCAAACTCTGTCGAGGCCCGATCGCACGATGAAAAGGCCCCAGGCTTCAAGATCACTCCCACTCCAAATAGGCTGTTAAGATTGCACGAGTCCGCGGCGGTAGGCAACACCAACACCAACACTACGGGCGAGGATGAGAGGAGCTCGGTGGTGTCCAGACTTGTGCAATTGGACAAAGAGATGTCGAAGCTACGGAAGTTCGACGTGAAAATCTCGAATAAGTTTTGATCGGCTTGGGTTGGGGCCCGGCGTACCTGTTCAGGAACATATTCTACGCTAACGCTTGGTCGAAAATCAACGATAGCAAGAGGACCCTCATTTGGTTCCGGTTCACGAAGGCGTTTAGGGACAAGAAGGGAGGTGAAAGTTTCTCTGACGAAGAGATTTACAAATTGCTGAAGACCAAAGTGGATGCAAATGCGTTGGCGATCACCTTCGAGTCGCTCAAACGAATCCCTGACTTGAAGAACCCCGCGGAGTCGCTGCAGATGTATCAGTTCAAGCAATGGATCAAACTAGGAGAAGTCCCAGATCATATCAAAGCAGTGTTTTCCATACCACGCCTAGCGATAGCAAAGCCGGAGAGCGATGATATTATCGTCGCATTCAAGAAAGTGTACGACAGTGGACACTAGGGCTGCGGTGTGGAATCCAACAAAAACGCTTTGCCAGACGTCCCCACCATATTTTTGAAGTTCATCGGCCGCTCAATACTTTTGTTGCCTGTCGTGCTACCCTTGTCACCCACCCTATTCATAGGCAAGCTCAATTTTATCCCAAAACTCAGCTGTCTATCTTCCAACGCCAACTCGGATGGAAGCTCAGCGTCAACGAGACCGGTGTGCCATCCCCTTTTTCACCATGAATTCATTTAGCCATACGCTCGTGCCCTGGCCAAGCTATCATATCAGCTGAAAAATGAGCGACATGGCTGCACCGATCAACGATCAACTTGATGGAGAGCCTTCCAGTGGAGACACTCAACGCCGCTATCGAACGTTGGGGCTTACAGGCTTTGTCACGCTGTTGTTGGTGGCCGCCTATGCTACAAGTCCGATGGATCGCAGTAGCAATCTCCGCAGTGCTGTCTTCACCCCAATGCAGACTGACGATACTGCAGGGGGGTGGACAACAGACACAGACGGCTCCAGTACGAACTCGACAAGTGAATCCCGACTACGCACCGTGAACATTGGCATGGGCTGTCCGGAGTTCCAGGTCGCATTCGACGGTGAAACACCTGGGAGTTCCAGTCCATTCCGGTCTTTCACCTTGACAAAGGGCGTCGGGTACGCCCATGTGGCGCTGCACTTCAGTAAGCTCTGGCTGCCGCGTGGGGCGTCCGTGGTGCTTCGTGCAGTAGAAGGCTTCGACACACCCGATCGATACCTTAATCTCTCGGAAAAGTACCCGAGTGGTAGAATCTACTACGATGTCCTCGCCTCTCCAGTCCTAGCGAAAGAATTCCGGCTCGAGTTCTACCGCAGTGATGGTGTCTTCGACTCTACCGACGACGATCTCATCTTGGAGACTTTCAGCGTGACCGATAGCAATGCAAAGTGCTACGGCTTCGCGGTAGATTCCTACTACTACGTGCTCATGGACGACGCCAATCCCATCGTGGCCACCGACGAGACTCTGTGCGTTGCGGATAATACCAAGAGAGCCATTTGCTACTACGCCGAGAACACCACGCAGACAGCGTACCTGGCGTCTCGAGCTGTGGCCCGGTTAACTACCCCAAAAGGTTTCGGAGAGTCCGCGATGTGCACAGGCTGGTTGCTAGGCAACCAAGGGCATATCCTCACCAATCACCACTGCGTATCTACAGATGCAGAGGCGACTGGTACGACGGTGGAGTTCATGGCGGAAGATAGTGCGTGCAGTGACGGTATTTCGTGCAAGTTGAACGAGTGTAGAGGTGAAATGGTGTCCTTCACGACAGACCTCGTCCATTCCAGTGAGGAGCTTGACTATGCGTTGCTCAAGTTACCAACTAACGGCGCCCAAACTGCCCAAACGTACGGGTATCTGCGGCTAAAGACCCGCGATGGGGTTGTAGGCGAACAACTGTACATCCCCCAGCACCTAATGGGCAAGAACAAGCGCATTTCTCTCGAGGATGACTATGCCAGCAAGGTGGCGTTGCTGAGTTTGAGTGCCAGCACATGCGGCACAATTGGGTACTCTTACAGCGGCGACACAAAGACTGGGTCTTCCGGATCCCCAGTGTTATCCTTTTCGGACCACGGCGTTGTGGCACTTCACCACTGCGGTGAAATGTGTGGCAATACTGGTATTCCAGCCAAGAGAATTGTTGCAGACTTGATGGCGAACGGTATCGACGTTGCTGTATTCGATGGTATTGACGACGGATCAAGCCACACAGCCAATTCGGAGCGCTTTCCTGCGTATTCTCCACCAGTCGCGGAGGCTGCGCTACCTCTGACGTCTCGCCTCACTCTGGATGGAGCGATTATTCTCGCTTCGGGCTACGTTAGCGTCGACAAAGTGGAGTTTACCCTAACTCGTGACACGGACGTATCGTTCGCAGTAGTTTCCGTCGAGATCGCAGACAACGGCTCGTTCATCGACCTGAACGGCGACTGTCGCGCTACCTACTTGGACTCGATCGTCTACCTGTTCCCCAAAGACGGCACGACCCCCGTCTTCTTCGTTGATGACGGCGGAGTGACTGCAAATGTTGAGGGCGACTCGATCAGCTACAACGATCCGTATATGCAAACTTTCCTCAAGAAAGGGTCGTACGTCTTGGCTGTTGCATCGATGGGGTCGAGCGCGTATGATGCACTTACTGGGAAAACTAAGGCCGAGTATCCACCGGAACTTTACTCGTGTCGATCGCGCAGCTCGTACGGCTCCTACCGACTTAAAATCTCGAGCACTGTGGGCGAGAACCCGTTCACGTTTACCAAGCTACCTGCAGCTATTGCTATCGACCCGACCTTGTGTCACAAGGCAGCCCAAGCTATTTGCCCGGACTAAGCTGGAACTTGTTACTCAACTTGGTTAGAGAAAGTGGAGATCCAATTGTACTTTCAAGCTGAAAAGCGATGACGACACGCTGTATGCCCTATTCTACAGTCCCAAAGTATATGAAGTTACGCTTGACGTAGTGTATTTGAAGGCAAGTTGAAAACAAAAAGGCTCTATCTCTGACTTACACTTAAAGAGCATCTCACAGATGCTCTTCAAGTGGGTTGAGTAGCCATTTCAATCGAATCAACATGGCCGAGTCGCTGCTCTCGGGCGGCGTGTACCTGGCCTTCGACGACTTCTCCCGGGCCGGCAAGCGTACGCCCTTCTGTCAATTCAAATGCAGCTTGTTCTCCTCTCACCGCTCTTCTCACCGATGCCCTTATTGCCCCTTGCAGATGTCCTGCACTTGGCCAAATCCAACGGAGCCCAAGCTGTCCCCGTGGCCCGGGCCACAGTGGAGACCCTGCTGCCTGCTGAACTAGCCCCCTTCGCGCAGATCTACGAGTGGCCTGCCACCAAGGACGCCATCATCGCAGTGAATACTGCAGCGCTGCCGGCCAGCCAGCGGTGGGAGCTGGCCGACGCGCTGGTCTCCGCTCTGAGTCGGGCCAACGCCCAGAGTCTCACGATCTTGGCGGCCCTGCACTTACCGTACGCCAAGGACGGCGACCTCAACGTGTTCTACAGTGGCCTCAACGCTGAAGCCGCTGCTGATGAGAAGGTGGACGTGGCCACGCTGGCCCAGGCAGATCCGGCCTGGGAGGTCAAGGATCCGTGGCTGGCCGCGCTGCTGCACTTTGTCAAGGTGGAGCAGTGGCCGCACACGCACCTGCTGCTGGCCAAGGGATACAAGCCTGGACGCGACCTGGCTGGCACCTATGAAGCCGTGGACGCGCTCGCCAAGGCCCTGCAGATCTTCACCAAGGAACAGGTTACGGTTGACTCGCAGGAGGTGCAGCGTGAGCTTCCTCGGTTGTTGGCCAAGGAGAAGGTTGCCTCGACTGCGGGGGACGATCACCTCACGCTGCTCTACCATTAGACCCGACGCGGAGATATGCTACGATATCCCTAGAGATTAAATGGAAAGTGATGCTGTGTCAACGCCTGATGACCGACGAGATGTATCAACGGAACTGCACATTTTATCCATTTCCCGCGTTGTTTTTTCTCGTATTCAGGTCTGCCATTCATTGCTTTTGATTGTGGGCTCGCCTCTGTTGTTCACGCGCGCTCGCGCCTCCAGCTTTTCTCTGTATGTCCGCAGTCGCTGCCAGCTAGCTTTCCTGTGCTCGACGCACGACACCAAACAAGCGACAACTGTAGTGGTGCTCAATCTACTCCATGAGCAGCACGACCTTGCGCTTCGTTGTGCGGTTCACAGCGGCGTGCAGGGCGTCGTCGAAGTCCTCGAACTTATATGTCTGAATCCACGTGCGCAGCTTGCCGGCCTCCACGAGGCCCGCGAGCTCCGAGAGCATGGCGGCACGCTCCTCGACCGTCGAGTCCTTGACCCACTGGCTGAGCCAGAAGCCCTTGAGCGTGATGTCGTGGAAGATGAGCGAGCCCGTGCCCACGGCCACGGCCTCCTTGCCCATGCCGCCGTACGTGACGTGCACGCCCTTCTTGGCCAGCACCTTGGCCATGTCCAGGCTGGTCTTGCCGCCCACGCAGTTAAGCGCGAGCTTGGGGGCGGGCAGGTCCGAGATGAGCTCCTTGAACTTGGCCGAGCCGGGGTAGTCGGCCGTGCACACGATGTCGGCGCCCAGGCTCTTGAGGTGCTGCACCGTCACGTCGTAGTCGCCGTCGTCGCGAATGATGTTGATGGTCTTGATGCCACGCAGAGCAGCCAGCTGGATCACAGCCTGGCCCACAGCGCTGTTGGCGCCGTTCTGGATCACCACGTCGCCCTTGTTGAGCGTCGTGAAGTCGGCCAGCATGCGGTAGGCGGTGGCCGGGTTCACGGCCAGCGTAGCGGCGTCCTCGATCTTAATCTTCTCCGAGATCTTCATCACATCGGCGCTGTCAGCCACAGCCTTGCTGCGCCAGGTGCCTGCAGGAAATCATTGCAACAACCGTTAGCAACCTTTAACACTAGCTTAAAATTTTAACACCTTTAGGATAGTGCTAAAATAAAAAGATAGAAAAACACTCACCGAAGCCCGCGCTGGTGGGGATGACGCGGTCGTTCACCTTCACGTTGGTGACGCCGGCGCCCACGGCCGTGACGACGGCCACGCCCTCGTTGCCAGCCACGGCCGGGAAGGTGGGCTTGATGGCGTAGGCGCCCTGGATCTGCGACAGGTCCGCCACGTTGATCGGCGCGGCCAGGAACTTAAGCGCCACCTGGCCCTTGGCCGGAGCAGCCTCCTTGTCATCCGCCTCCGTCCTGATAAAAAAAAGTTTAGGTGGTGTTAAAGGTTAGCACCACTTAAACTTGTTTAGCACTGGCTTAAACGGCAACAAAAACGCACTTGAGGACATTGAGCGGATGGCCGAACTCCGCGTAGCGGATCGTGCTCATGGAGCGCGTGCCCTGCGCGGTGAGGCCCTTGGCGATGGTGGAGATCATGGTGCTGCGGCGACGAGTGCTGGGCGCTGTGTGAAACTGGGGCCTTGCCGTTCTTGTGCGGCGCTGGTTCCACTAGATCTAGAGATTGTGTTCACTTGGTGTTTGTATATAAATCTCTATATTTAGAGATTATCCCGATGGTCCATCCACTTTTGTTTACCACATAAAATACCTATATTTTAGCGTTCTGTAAGCACATATGCCAAAATAGAGTTCGTTGCGAACCACACTTATTACCGTAAAAAGACACCGTAAAAAGCCGTAAGAAGGGTCGACAGCGCTGCTCCAGCCAAATTCAACCGCCGCGACGATGCGGAGCTCATTGCATCTTTGATCCAGCAGCGAGCAAGTGCTCCTCTGAGCCTTGTGTCGTTTTTATTAAACTCGCGATTCCCAATGATTAATTAAAGTTTGAGATCCGTCAATGAGGCCTGGGGGGTCATCGTGCTCTTCGAGGCGCGGTGCTCAGGCCCATACTGTGGACGATTTTCTTGTTGACGGGAACCGCAATCCATTTATCCTACTACTGTAGTACACTTTTTCACAAAAAGCTTTCTCAATGATCAACTGATATTTAATCTTTGAGACCTGAATACCCATGTTGTCAACATGCGTTACTGAGAGAAAGCCACACCCAATGCTCAATAGAACATGCTCCTTCGAGTGTTCGCCGCAGCGGTCTTTGACCTCTTGCTGGTCGGTGACGTCAAAGGGCGAGCATGCAACGCTGTCTGCGCTTGAGCTTCTGTTGGCTCAGGTGTTGCAGCCTTGGCCGGTTTCTTGGCCCTTTTCACGGGTGACTGCGTCCTTGTAGGGCTCTTCTTGGCTGGAGACTTGGTCACTGGCGACCCTGGTGGGAACAGCTCTTCCAGCACACTGCGCTTCTCTCGGGTCCATTGTGACAGATCGCAGCGTAGTTGGGCGAGTTTCTGCTGTGGAGGGTTGTGGAAGAGCAAAGACTCCTGTAACGCGTTCATGGTGCCGCTCATGTACTGCACGCGTAGCTGGCTCAGGTCGTCCTCCTCGAACACCAGCAACTCGACCAAAGTTTGGGTCCGAACGGTGACGGGGGAGTGTTGACCGGGTTGGAGGACACTTAGTTCGCCAAAGAGCTGGCCGCTGGCTAGTACTGCTACCGTGACTTCCTCCGAGTGCTGCAGCTTGGCAGCGGCCAGAGCCTGCGCGCTGCTCACGAGCCGCGGGTTCGTGAGCATCCAGCCGTTGTCCAGCACCCAGGAGCCATCGCTCGACCGCGACGTGAGCGAGTCCTCCGACCTGCTGCCGCCTGCAACTCTGCTGGACGCAAGGGTCGAAGACCGATGTGCAGTTGAGGAATGCGGCACGGTGATGGTCTTGAGCACGTGGCAGACCCCTTTCTTGATGACGTAGAGCTGCTTCACCACCTCGCCCGCTTTCAGAGCGTCTTTGCCCGGATCCACCAACTTTGACCCGGAGACGGCAGCCAAAGCCGCCAACATTTCGTCCGAGCACGTCTCAAACGCGTGGCAGCGATGCAAAAACTGCAGTCTTTCTTCCAGCAGCCGCTCCTCGTGCTCTCTCAAGATGTTCAGGTACACGTCCACGTCCAGCAACATGCAGTTCACCTCGTCCAGGCACGAGAAAGTTGCTGTTTCTTTCGGATGCAGAGCCGGCAATGTTCGCGCTGCAGACCCCAGCGCTCGGAAGCTGCTGGAGTAGAACCCCGTGTTCAGAGATCGATGGGACGCGAGCAGTGGGGAGCTGGACCCGATCCTTGAGCGCAGCATGAGCTGGCGTTGAGCTCGGTGGCGCAGCATGATCAACCTTCCATCAGTATTCGTGGCGCTAGACGGCTCCAACCCGATGGTGTCGCCTTGGTACAGCATGCTGAGCTCGCGGGAGCTGGACTCCTGGAACGTCACGGTTTTCACGAGCGACGCCACTGCATCCAGCACGACGTGGAAACTCGACGAAGCTTTGCCTTGCTCCACCACGAGTTGGTCGCTCTCGAAGCGGTAGTACGTGGCGTCACGCATACAGCGCTCGATCATGGTCGCTCTCATCCCACGGAAGAAGCTCCAGCAACGCACCAACCGCGCAGCTTCAGTGACGTCGCTAAGGCTGCGTGTTCTGCCTGGATCCTGTTTCAAGAAATGCTCCAGCCAGATTTTCGTCTTGCTTTCTTGAGCTTCGTACGCTAAAGACGCCGCGGATAGAGTTGTGGTTTCTTGCTGCGTTGGTTGTGGCGTGGGGCTGCACACGGCCTCGAGGAGAACGTCTTGACTTGGATCTCTCGAGAGCGAAGCGGTCGGGTGGTGCCGAAGAGTGTCTAACCAGGTGTAGTCGTGGATGGCTTCCTCGAATCGCCCCATTTCCTTGAGTACACGCGCTCGGCTTTCGACGAAGAGAGGGTTCTTTGAGTCGAGCTTCAGCGCCTTCGTCAAGTCACGCACAGCTTCAGCGTGTCGCCCCAGTTTGTACAAGGCGCAACCTCGGTTGTACAGCGCAGGAGCTGCACGGTCCGGGTCGCTGCGCGAGCACGCCAAGAAGTCTTCAGCTGCTTGAGCGTACAGCTGCAGTCGATACAACGCGTAGCCTCGGTTGTACTGCGTTGACACGGAGTGTTGAGCATTGGAGATTGACCCTCCAGCTCCTGTTGCCACCGGCGAGTTCAATAAGCTCACGCCATAGCCAGCTTGGGCTGAGACTTTCTTCTTTAGGATCTGCGTAGACCTGGCGACGATGTCCTCGAACACTTCAGGCGAGCGGTGGGTCACGTTCCGAGCAGACAAGTCCGCGTCCTGCATGATCCAGCCACAAATGTTAGACACAGAGCTTTCTATTTGTTTCACATACAGCGTTATGAGCTTACCGTTGATAGTTTGCCTTCGATAGGAGTCAAGCATTGCAACAAGATGGATGGGAGCGGGTGTAGCCGAGCACCTCCTCGAGCTGTTGTCTTGGTGCCGTCACTTGTAGCTCCACCAGCTACAGCTTTCTCCTGTGGCGGAGACATTAAAACATGTCAAAAGTTCATGAACGTGCTTGAGGTGGAATGCCCCCATAGCAGCTATTTTTGCGAAGAATCCATTGTTCAGCACAACCTAAAACTAAACTAAACCATCCGAGTACCATGGAAAAGCTCTTTTGATGACAATTGTTACGATTCAACTAGCCGCACCAATCTCCTTGAGTCTGTCGGCGTACCTCAACGTATTGAGAGTGTGGTTGCAGCTCTCCGAGCAAGGCGAGACGGTGGCGATCATGATGGTTTTCGAGTTCTGCGAGAGGAAGCTGTCTCGAAGCAGTTGCGTGAGCTTGCTCTGTCGGAACGGAATGTGCGTGGCGCCTCGATCTAACGCACGGATGCACTCCTTCAGAGCCAAGAGGCTCTTGTTGATCTCCGCGCCTTCCATCCGCGTGCTCTTCTTGTCGCTTTGAGTATCACTCGCGCGTTCGCTACCGGCCAGATCGACCATGGAGAGTCTCGCCAAAGCGGGGCCGTTGTTGTTATCTGCCGCATACAACGTCACACGCAGCAACGCGTGTGAACGCGAGGAATCGTCGTGCACTGCGTTGGCACTTGTGGCTCGAGCTTGCTCTCCGAGCTGAACGAGCTCCAGCAGTTCGTCCGCACTGGTAGCTGGCAGCTCTTTAAGTCCGGGTAATTGTACCGCACCATCACCGTCTTCCATGAGCTGTACGCGCGATCGTCCGTTGAGTAAATCGTTCACGCTGTTCATGTAAATCTCGTAAAAGCTCACGCCAACACTAACGCGAGAATTGCGGCGATTTGAGCTTGACTCTTTCAGTTCCTCCAGTTGTTGGAATAAATCGACCGCAGCTTGGCGATAAATGGACTTCATGGTGTACGTTTTGCCGGATCCCGTCTGTCCATACGCGAACACCGTCAAGCTCGTTGTATCACTCGACGTTGTAGCTTCCGAGACGAGGTAGGGTACCATCGGCCCCACAGTCGCATCGTAGACTTTGCTGTTCTCCTGTAGCTCGTCGAAAACTGCATCGAAGCGGAACTGGTGGTTCTCCAGCGTCTCGGAGCAATCCACGCGGAGTTTGGGCTCGTGGCACACGAGTTCTCGGCGTAAATGCGCCGAGTTGCTGGCGTTTTGGTCTTCTAATGTGAATAAGCAAGAGATGATGTCGTATCCCTTGGCCTTGAGCTCTTTCTTGGCCAGTGGACGCTTGCGGATGAAGACTGACAGTCTCGGAGCGTCTGCAGCGTCCACGAGGGTTGTTGGGGTTGGTGGCGGTCGTACGGACGAGCTCAGAGACAGTAGAGGCAGTTGCTGAAGCTGTTGCTGCTGTTGCTGACAAGGAGGAAGCGCATCTCGGTACTGCTGAATGAGCCTTCGGAACTTGTAGCCTGCGTCGTCGCCATGTTCTCGTAGTTCTTTCTCCACCCGACGCTTCTCCTCAGCCTGCAGCGCTCGACGAGCTTCGCGCTTGCGCTTGATTTCGTTTAACGCATCCATGGTCGACTTCTTGGTGTGAGGCTTTGAGCTCCGAGGCTCCTTGGCCTGTCGAGGGCGGCGAATCGCAGCGAGTTTAACAGGTTCCTGGTTGCTAAACGGATCAGGAAGGTGCTCTTCAGTGCCAGCTAAACTGTCACGTGACAGATCTCGCGAAAGTCTGAGCCTCTCCCGAGACATTCGAACCGGAAGAGGTGGAGGAGACTTTGGCGGAGGTAGAGGTGTCACAGGGCGAGTCAATGCAACAGCGCGACGTTTATCAGCTGATGACAGACGCAACGGATTCAGCGGGGTTCGTTCTGGAGTCTTCAGCCTTGGAGAAGTTGACATTCTAGGAGAAGAGGACTTGCTGGCGGATTTTGGAGGGGAATGATGAACTTTTGGCTGATCTCTAGGATAATTTGGAGGAGTTTGAGCTGCTGGAGCCTCATCCGACTGGGCTCTTGGTGGCGCTGCCGGGGGATTCTTGGCTCTAGCTCGGCGCTTGGCAAACGGGTCCATGATCGCTCGATCCTTCCACTTGTTCGACGCAGGAGGCGACCACCCTCCACTGCTAACGCTGTCATCACTTGAGCTTTTCTTCCAAGGACGAAAGAACTGACCACGAAGTGGAGAGCGTCGCTGAGTTTGAGGAGGTCTCGCTTCTTTGTCTTCTTGCTGGTTCGTGTCACTGCCGCTTCCGCTACTGGTGGGGTCGTCTTCATCGTTTTGCAAGGCTGGTATCTTGCTAGGATTGCTTGGTGGTGGAGCAGACTCAATTTGACTCGGATTAGGGTCGAAAGATGGCGCTGGTTCGTGCTCTGCTTGTTGGTTTTCGGTCAGATTCTGTGGTTCAAGCTTGGGCTCGTCATTCTCCTGGTATTGCTGGTGTACGTCGGCGTCAGGGATCTTGGAGGGGAGTTGGGGTTGCTTCGTGGTCATGAAATAAGGTCGAGGCTTCCTCCATCCTCCAGGAGGGGGCACACTAGGCAGCGGTCCGTAGTCTTGGTCCACACTCTCCTCCCGACTGTCGCGCCGATGTTGGTTTGAGTTTCCAGCCCACGGTGGAAGTGATGGCAATGGTGGAGCAGCTCGCTTGTCGGGTAAGTGCCAGCTTAACCCGTGACTTCTACTGCCCCCGCCACTGCTGCTCGTTCTAACCGATGTAGCCATCGTGTGCCCCGCCAAGCTGAAATCCCCAAGCTGCTGGTGCAGTTGACGCAGCGAGCTCCGACTGTCCATGGTGCAGTGAGACCTTGAACGCTGGCCTCTGTGCGCATTCCCCGAGTTAAACCTCCGTCGATAAAGTGAAATCGCAGCGGTGAAACCCACCTTCTAGTAGACACCACGCAAAAATAAAGCCCCTGCTCATGCCTGGCTGGCGAAACGGACCAACTTCAGCCCTCCCCCGCCCATGGCACAAGCGTAAGCTGGATGAACCAGCAAGACACGATGGAGAACTACCCCAGAGCTCGTTAGGTCCACTTAAACAGCTTCCCCAAGATCTCGTCACGCATTGCAGCGTCCGTTCATTCATCAACCACTCGGATCCTTGTCAAGCGTCGCAGCTTCGCCTAGATCTCTCTCGCCCATGGCTTCGTACGCAGTCGACGACGACTCTGATGACCTGCAGGATATCTCCACCAAGCACCACTTAGCTCCAGAAGATCGAGTGGACGAACAGGACAGCAGCGACTATGAAGAAGAGGACGATTCTTCTGTCAATTCAAGCCCCACGAACCAGTCCGTCGTGGTGTCGGCCCTGTCTGAAGAGACCATGGCTGCCATGACGCAGATCTTCAAGACGCTGTACCAGGAACACCCGCTTCAAGTGGCCAAGAAGGCCTCGAGAGAGGAACGTCGCGAACGCGAGTACATCTCCATGAGCCTCGTGTACGGGGAGATCGCCTTCGTGCCGTTCAAAGTGGTGCTGGACGTGCTGAAGCGGTGGCACCATGTGCTCAAGAAGCCCGGCGGGACGTTTCTCGACATTGGCTCGGGCAGCGGCAAAGCCGTCTTCGCTGCCGCCTTGTTGCACGACTTCGACGCTTGTTACGGCATTGAAGTGCTCGAGGGACTGCACGGCATCTCCCAAGAGGTTCTGCAACGCTGGGAGAAGCTCATCAAGCCAAACTTCGCGCTCTCGATGCAGAAGAAGCGGACGCGCATCACTTTTACTCAAGGAGACGCGCTGGTCGTGGACTGGCCGGCCAACGTGGATCTCGTGTTCCTCAACTCGACGTGCTTTGGCGAGCGACTGATGCACGCGTTGGCCCGCAAGCTCGCGCTCTGCTGCAAGTCGGGAGCTATCGTCATCACGGCCACGCACAAGCTTCCGGACGCCCAGAACTTCGTCGAACTGCGTCAACTCACGGTCACGCAGGAAGCTTGGGGCGACGCGACGTGGTATCTGCACCGCAGGAAATGAAGTGAACACTGGGAAATGGGCAAAAGGGCTCTCTCTCTCGGAGTGTACGCGTTGCATAACGGAGTCTTCCTCTAATACAGCGGCCTATGGATATGTTCATCGCCTCTTTGACTTCCGTTTGTCCCCGAAGTTACGTGGTTCATACTGTGCTGCAGTAGTGATAGTTGAATGGCGTCGTCTGCAGCTTTTTAATCGTTGGTCTGGATGCGTCCACACGTCGGACACTTGAGCGACTCGTTGAGTTTCGGCACGATGCACTCGTCGTGGAATTGATGGCCACAGCTGAGCGTCGTCAGGTAGTACGTGGCCGCTCGTCGTCGGCTTGCACTGCTGCTGCTGCGTCGCGAGCCGCCGAAGCTGTTGGCGCTGCCTCCGTTATTACCGGGAGGCTTGAGCGTGCCCAGCCACGGAGGATTGAACACGCCGCTGTTGCTACCCGTGCTATTGCTGCTGCTTCGAGATAGCGGGGGTACAGCGTTCGAGCCGATAGATCTGCTGCTGTCTTCCAGACTGGACACGGTCAGAGCCGATGACGACGAGGAGCTGCCGAACGCGACGCCACACAGTGGGGAGCCGCAAATCCCGCAGTTGCCGGCGTTGAGGTCGTTCACGACATCGTCGTCCGTGAGGGATCCTCGGAGCGAGTTGGTGAGCGACGACTGTCTGCTGATCTGCTGCTGTTGTTGCTGCTTGAACGACTCTCTCTCCATCAGCGGCAGCTTCTGGGGCGTGGCCGGCTCTTCCCACTTGGCGCTGTAGTCGGCGCTCCCCCTGAGCAGCAACATCCTGTCCTCGGGCTCCAGCACCGACGACTTGACGGGGTTCTCGAGTCCGTACTGCTGCAGCGCGTCGCCGTAGATGAACTCGACCAGCTCGTCCGCGAACGTGGTCATGACCACCGAGCAGCAGAAGTTCTTGCGGTCCGATAAAAAGCCGTAGAGCGCCGCGAAGAAGCGCTCGAGCGTCTGCTTGCGCTGCTCCACGACGCGGTCGTTGGAGAAGGTGAAGATGAACTTCTTGGGGAAGTAGCTCTTGAGAAACCCATAGAGCCACGGGCAGTCGGCGTCGCAGAAGTGGCCGTGCTGCAGCTTCTTGAGCAGTCGCTGCTGCAGCTTGCGGTACTCGTCAAACGACCGCGCGTGGCGCCACGCCGCGTTGAGCTCGCAGTGCCGCACCGTCATGACGTACCGCACGTCCGCGTGCTTCTTGGTCACGGACAGCTCGAGCGTCACGAGCTCCAGGCACTTGACGGCCGTGGGCACCTGCGCGTCCTCCAGCAGGTCGTTGCCGCTGGCGTCGAAGCCGCCGCTCTTGCGGCCGGAGAAGCTCAGTCGAGACGAGGTGGAGGCCAGGAGACTGCGGCCGCTGCCGCTCGGCCCGCTCGTGGCCCCGTGGACGGCGCCCTCGGTCAGAGAGCGCTTGCACGCGCTGGTGCTGGCCCGGCGACGCTGGCGGTGGGCCAGCGCCATGGACAGCTCGGGCGAGTACATCATGGCTGCGGGGTCTAGTAGCCAGTCAAGACAAGTGGCGCGTAATCTGCTCGACGGACGCTACGCGCAGAGCAAGATGGCTACACTTTTGCTGTTCTTGGCTGCAGTTTTCTTTGGCGGAGTCGTCCTGCCGGGGGCGGCCTTTGCCTTGACTCGCCTTGCCTTGGGGCTAGCGCTTCTTCTCGTCCTGTGGCGAAATGCTGCTCTGGTGTGCTGGGTCGGCAGCTTTTCTGTGCGGTGTGACTGAGAGGGATTTCGGTATTGTGGGGAAAGAAAGGAAGGAGCCGGACACTTGATCCAAGGCGTGTGTTGCAGTTGTGGGCCAATGCGGTTCTGCGACTCGAGACATGGCGGTTTGTATGGGCGATTTCGTTCGCGGGAGATTGGAGTGGTGACGTAATGGTTGTTACAGGTGCATGTGTTCTGAGAGCGACGAGGTGGTAACAGCAACAGGCGATTTCAATCGGAACCAGATGGCCTGTCGTCGCATCGTACAGCAATTACACAGGGTTATCAGAGAACGAAGGTTTTACCACCAAGCAGAAGCTTGTTTTTCTGCTTGTAAGCTTTGCTTGTAACTTCGGGGTTTGAGCTACAGTACAGTGCACTCACTGGTGAACATTGCGCAAGGCACACTCTCCTACGACTTAAAGGTTGCAAACAGGCTGGTCGGCGTCGATTAAAAGTCCTCAACTACACGAAAGCTTCAGTTTAGACTGAAATGCAGATGTAGCCATGCCAACTATAGGATGCACTCGCTAGAGGGTGCCCGGCAAGTGTGTGGTGGCTAGGCATCATCACAAGTGTAGGTCGCAAACTGAACCGTCGCTTCAACGAGTCAGGCGAGATGGTTGCAACGTGCAGCAGTCGCAGCCAACCCAGACGCGCGACTCAATTCGCTAGTCGCCAAGATTAACAATTGAGTCGACCAGCTAACGTCAACTCCACCTCTAGGAAGTACTGTAGCTCGTGCTGGTCATGCACGAGAAAATGTGGTAGCAGGAAACAAAGGAACGAGCGAGTTGCAAGTAAATGCACTCTTCACTGACACCCTTCAATGCGCAGATGAATAAATGCTACTTCAGAATGAAACTTGTGCTCTCCGTGGTGGCACTGCTTACCGTAAAAGTAAGTTTCACAACCATACTTTCCTGCTCCGCTGCGTCAAATCGTTGTATTCGAAGTATTTCATTTGATTTTGGATAAAGTAGTCTTGCACGGACAAACTAGCAGCCACGGCATTACTTCTTCCGTGTTGGTAAAACTTAACAACTGTAGTTTTCACCTTGTTGGTCGACAGCAGGTTACTGTGGCGACGAGCACCATACTTTCGCGCGAAAACACGTTGAAAATTGACCGATCCGGCGCTTACTACATGTGTACTACTGTATCTAAAGTACTTCAAAGTACTTAGTAGTACTTACGTACCACTTACGTAGTATTACATGCTGTTTTTACCAATAGCTGTGTATGATATACCTCGAACGTATAGCAGCTAGAACCATGCAGCCTTTGAATTGGCCAACCAGAGAATGCCTCCCGTCGTGATCAGAGTCAAAATTCGCAACCGTTGGATCCGCATTAAAGCTAGTAAATTTTAGTGTCAAGTGCATAGTCCTTAACGTATTTGATGTACAGCAGCCTGTTGGCATCGTTCTCCGCTGCTCTTCCCACGCGCAACAACTGGTAGACCTTCATTGGGTCCGTTTCCTGCTTGAGCCACAAACTCAGCTGTGCATTCAGCAGGTCCGTCGCGATGTCATGCGTTTTGGGCACCTTCTCCGCTCTAACGAGAACCTTACACAGGTCTCTCTCACCGTAGATCTTCGTCAGCTGGTTGAGCAAAGTCACCTTGAAGCTCGGTTCCACTTCGCTGAAGTACGCCACGTATTTCGACCAAAGCGGGAAAAGTGTCCGCTCAAACAGCTTGTAATCCACGGTAAGCTCTAACTTGGTAAACACTTGTCCTGGAGTTTGTAAAGCCTTGGACCAATCCCGCAACAACTCGGTCTCCAGTCGTTTCGCGATACTGGCTGTACTTGTTTTCTTGCTCGCAGTAGCAATCATTGTCGCTACAATCTTGGTATCAAAGAACGCCTCCATCGATGAGATGATGGTATGTTCGGATCCAAAGTAAATCTTGCGGTACTCCTCCGTGTACTTGATCCACGCGTTGAATTGCGGGCTGCTAAACAGCGTTGGTCCATCATACATAAAGTTCAGTCGGAGTAACTCGAAAACTCTAGCAGGCTCCTTTGCAGTTTCAACGTCGACACCCAACCAGAACTTGGTCTGCTCGGCTTGGATTCGAACCGCGACACTCTCCATGCTCGGGATGTTCTTTGCCTTGATGAGCATCTGCACCAGCGTCGGCTCGTCGTAGCGCTTCTGCAAGACCGCGAACAACGTCTTCTCCGTGTTGGGGTTGGCCTTCCCGAAGTCGTCCACGAACTTGAGCCAAGTGTTTACCTGAGGCTGCGTGAAGAGTTGAGCTCCGGACTTGTCGAGTTTCAGCAAGGTGAAGACGTCGATCGGGTACATTTCGTCGGCGATCCACCGCCGGATCTGCTCGTTCTCCAGTCGCTTGGCCATCGTCGCAGTACTTGGCACGCGCTTGGCCGACTCGATCATCTTGGACACGCCGTCCGCTCCGTAGTGGGCCGTGAGCGTGGCGAGCAAACTCGTCTTCTTGGTGCTGTCCTCGTTGACGAGCTTCATGTAGCTGAGCCACGTGTTGAGCAGCGGGCTGGCCAGGAGATCGTCCGCTGCCTTGTCGAGTGCCAACAGAGCGAATACCTCCTTGGTGGTCTTCATGTCCGCCAGCCAGCTCTGGAGCTGCTCGGCCTGCACCCGTTTGGCGATGTCCTCGGTACTCGGGACCTTCTTGGCCGCCTCGATGAGCTTGGCCAGGCCGTCGTCGCCGTATTTGGCCGTGAGGGTGGCGATCAGACTGACCTTCTGGGTCGGGTTTTCTTCGTTGAAGAGCTTGATGTAGTTGATCCAGGCGTTCAAGTTGAGGTTGGCCAGGAGGTCGTCGGCGGCCTTGTCGAGCGTCAGGAGCTTGAAGACGTCGTCCGTGCTCTCGCCTCTCTTGAGCCACTCCCGGAGCTTCTCCACGGAGACTGTGGACTTGACCGAGTTGGCGACTGCTTCGAGACCGGACACGGGGAGGCCTCTTTCTTCGTCATCCAGGCTTGAGAGCTTATGAACCCTCAGCAGCCTCGTTGTGGGGAGATTTCGCTGGCTAACGACGGTCGAATGCACTAAACGTTGGATGTCGGTTGTAGTTAGTAGAGATGCTGGTGTCGCCGAGGAAACGTCGGCCTGCGCCAGGAGTGCGGCGACGGCCCATGCAACGGTGCATCGCATGGCTGTACGCTAACCAGGTGATAGGAGTCTCTGATGAAAGCAAAGGGAGTAAGGAAATGCCTCCAAGACCTCCGGACCCCGAAGCACCGCTGCTGGAACAATTGCCGCTCGACATTTCGCTGGGCCATTTCATCACTGGATGGTGAAAAGCACTGTCGATGCTCGCGCTGCCGTGGTACCGGCATCCCTTTGTCATCACATGCGGGGCGAAGCCCCCCCTATAATGAAATCGCTCTGTTTTATCGCTCTGATTTGCTTTCTTTCGATGAATTTATAGATAGGGCTAGGGAAAGGTTTAATTGTTGCCTCTCCCGGGGGCAAAAATGCAGCAATTTACCTCTGTATAAGATCCTTTCAGGCTCAATGTCCAACGGTTCCGAGTGACTATTCAAAGCAGTTCAGGGACTTAGCCTCCAGCAAAGGGTGCGAAAACCATTAAACTGAGGCCCGTCTTTTAGGAGGCCTCTTCCAAATACGGTATCTATGGGTTGTGAGCCTTCTAAAGTGGATTTGGCTTAAAACCGCATTATTTTAGCTAAATGGGTACTCTGCTTTGCTGAACTATTCACCCTGCTTTAGCGCCGTATTGCACGGATATCGGGGTAAGTGCGCTTGTTGAAGGTCTATTTAGAATAGCTCTGCTGCTTAGCTATTGCTATTGCATGCCGCAGGTTGCTTGCCGTCACCTCACGCATTCGACACGCCTCTTCCAGGACCGCCCTTGGATGCGGCCAGGTCGGTTGGTGCACTGGGAGCAGGACACACGAGCACAGAGTAAGAGGCACCGGCGACGGCGTGGATTTGGGCGGGCGCCTGACACACGCTTAGGACGAGCGCGCTCACGAACGCTCTGCGTAGACCCCCCTCCCTCCCAGCCATGCGCGGCAGCCGCAGCGCCTCTGGCTACCGCGGCTCCACCTTCGGCTCAGACGCCGTGCTGTTGTAGCAAAACGCGGGCACGTGACGTGCTGCAGGAGTTGCAGGCGCCAATCCGTTCGCCACCATTACCCACGGCGGTAGCAAGGAAGCTGAGCAGAGCTCAAGCGGCGGCGTGCGCGCGCTACGAGCATGTGCATGTCATGCACATGCACTGCATGACCCATGCGCGCTGGCTGGCAAGCATGATGACGACCTCGTGATGGCATGGACAAGGACTACGCCGGTCACGGGTCACCACGGTAGACCACCCGCACAAGCACTTCCCCACGTATTATATACCTGGACTTCAGTGCCCAATAGGCTGAAGCGCAACAGACGCTTCGACACGCAGCCGTTCGCCACCGTCTTCGTGCTCACAGACCCCATATACTGGGACGCAGTGCTGCCGATCGTCATGGACATCTTGTGCTCGTCCTAGGGACTGCTGTTCCTGAACACGATAAAGAATGACAGCAACGGTGAGCGTGAGAACATCCCGTTGTACTCGGCGTGATTAGGCTTCCGTTGTCCTCGGCGTGTCCACTTGCCTTGCTACGCTACGGATCGTACCTCGCCATTGACCCACAAAGAAAATCGTACTACTCCTCAGTCTTGGAGTGTCGATGCAAGTACCAGCGGTAGGCATACGTATTGTATTGTGGTTGGGCGTAAAATGCATTGCTAAATAATTAATGCTACACAACAATCGTATTGTCAATACGACTGTTGTGTAAGCACAACACGGTATTGTGCTATTGCTAAATAATTTCGTAAATTCAGTGACCAACTCTTGTTTTGGGTTTCTTCGTTTTGTTGACGATGTTGTGCGGAATCGTATCCGCGCCGACCGATGCTAAAGCTGATCGACTCGATTGAGCTCTACCTGTGGATCTGCCAACTGGGCTACGTGGTGTTCTAAAAACATGTACTCGTATGCAAAAAGTATTGATGTCTGCACAGTATAGATCTGTAAGTCTTAGCTATGTGAGCCCCAACACGGGCATACTTGCCGTTAGCGTATGCTGTAAACAATATTTTACAATCGAGAAGTATCTTGGGAGGCTTGGGAGAGAGAGAATAAAAATACGTCCCGAAGATTTAAGCACGCGCTATTATAGTGGGAACGATATGTCGCTACTGATAATATTAAGGTGGTGTAGTCCATGTTTCTAGAATTACCGTCGAGGACACATGAATGTGCATACCCCGCCCTAAATAAATGTATCATGCGACCGAAATGATTTAATCGTCCTAGAATCCATCCGAAGCAAGGGAAACAAAAAGTGTTGCTGCAATCTATCACAGAGCATTCTGCACGCTGCAAAATAAAAGCACAGTGACAAATAAGTGTCTTCATGCTGTCCTACTTATTGAAATACCTACAGTCTGCGTGGCCGTACATCCGTACTGGACTGCTAAACTAAGAAGGACATATCAGTAGACAACCAGAGCTGGAAAAACCTGTTGATTTTCAAAAAATGAATTAGGTTCTGGGTTTTTGGATAGGTTTAAACTGATTTCACTGGGTTTAAACCGGACATCGTCCACTGTCATACTCACTCTGATGTATCACCCTCTTCACCCCAACGCATATATAAGGTGTTTACCTTACTACTTAATATGTTGTTGTTCGTTCCGATGTGCATCACTGATGCAGCATCCGTTTCTTTAGGTCCGATACGCATGCACGGGTTCGCCTTGGCTAGTCGTCATCGGCACTTCTATTATGTACGACGAACCCGTATGCATCGCTGCTAATGCACTAGCGTCGACTTTGTAAGCCTCGGTAAAGGTGCTCGTTGAAGCATTGAGGCGCACGCACAACTCACGGATGCCTTTGCCAAATGCGATGGATGCACGCACAGAATGCAATTATTGCTGATTGTGTTCATGGCTGACAGATTTCAATTGAAAATCACCAATTTCCCCCCATATTCCTCTTCATCCAGATTGAGACACAGATGCGGATGCATCTCTTTAGCCCCGTTCTTCGTTGCTGGTTAAAGCTTCATTTGACTGATAACAGAGTAGCAGCGTCATTCAATCATAAGTCAGGGGCCTCTGGCGTTCTCCCACACAGGGCATACTGGCCCTGTGTGGGAATGGTTACAACCCCACGTCGATCGTCAGCTAAAACACGCCCCGCCGCAATATATCTATGTCATATCAGCATCCTGTGCAGAAGCAACGAGGAAAGTCGCAGTAAGTAGTAACTATGATGAAGTTGAACCTAAAACCCAGCAAAATTCGACTGGTAGGTTTTTGAGTTTAAACCAGGGAAAAACCTAATGGTTAAACCCAAATTGCCAGCTCTGTAGACAACCAGCTTACGAAGGTGCTCATTAGTTTCCCTAATACTAAAAACTATGTATTTGTACGAAAGTCTCATATGCAGCACTAGTGAAAACCCATCCTAAGCTTTTTACTGAAACTTGTTCGCATGAGCAGACCTCCACTTATGCGGGAAAAATCATCTTTCCCTCTTTATCAGCAAATATGATCTTTTTTCGAAGAGCAAAATATGGAAAATCTGGGATTCACTATTTACTACTTAGTAGTGAGTTGTTGCTTGAAGTATATTAAGCTAAAGCGAAGCCAGACTGCTACTGCACGCCGTATGGATCGAATTGTTAACGACTAAATAGGTTTACGAATCATTATCTCAAGTTTCACAGCGTTATCTAAGGTCCCATTTGTGAGAAATCGGACCCAGTAACTGGATCATTAGTCAAAATTACGAACATTATACATGTAGCAACCACGCAACATCGCTAATGAAGGTAATACTGGGATGCTTAACGAATACTCTGTAATGCATTAGTTCTATTAGACTTTGAGTTATGGAGCGACAAGGAGGCTGGCGGCAATCATTCTTGCTGCGTTCACAATTATTGCAGTTTGTACCTATTGTATTCATGACTTGCTATTATCTACAGCATTATTTCACGTTAAACACCGATTGTCGCCGACAAACCGGAATCGTGGTGTGCGGAAACTTATACAATTGTCATCTGGTACGGATTCACTAGAAAAATGAGAAGTTCGCGGCTAAAAGTGCTGATAAGTTCCCGGCAAAAATGCTGATACATGTCTTTTTGATGTATACTGCGTTGTTAGTGGTGTGGTCGACTTGAGATGAATAATATCAGTACATGTTGAGGAATCATTATGTCCGAGAGAGAGAGAGAGAGAGCTGCAAGCTCGAAAAGGAAGTCACGGAAAGGTCATATTGATGTCAAACCTGACTCAAACCTGATGGTAAAAAATGCTCTATCGAGCTCTTTTATGAAAGTGAAGGAGAGGTATAATCTCCAGCAGAGAGATAAAGTATGCCTACGTTCTCACCACTTTCAGTGGTTCTTTGTATGTCATTCCTATGAGGCGAATTTTAAATGAGGGGCATATGGTTAGTGCTGGCCGTGAAGGGCGTCTCATGAAATAGTTTTCGAAGGGGTATCTCGTCAGGTTTCCCTAAGACATTAATAAAATAAGCACTGATCCAACCTACTGTTCCGTCCTCTTGCAAGTACAGAGCCTCAATCTCAAACAAAAAGTGGCACAAAGACTAAAAGGCGCAATACACGTCAACTCGGGGATACCAGCTGGCCACGAAAGGATTGCTAATGCAAGTGTTGCTAAAGCGCTGTGAAATAAACATTATTCCTGTTGTCCTGTTGCTACCCAATTGCCTACCGTTATTCGATTTCAAAAGTACAACTATTTTCAGCGTACTTTTGTGCGGAGGTAAGATTAACCGAGAGTTCCAGGGCTCGGCAACGGTGTAGTAGCGCACTAAAGGAAAATGTCAGGTTATCAAAATCGATCAGCAGAAGATTAGACAGCGGAGGACCGCAAAACCGTCATGCAGCTTGCTATACAAAGCAGCTACGTCAAAGTACACAACAGTTACAGATAAAGCAAATCGAACAGACTATCAACACTGGCGGATAGCTCCAAGAAAGCACTTCAAACGATGTAGAACCTTCAAAATTTCTCCCATATTCTGTCAGTGATCGCCAGGATATAGGAAAAATTCGGAAATTCCCGTATTGGTAGAGGTCTGCGCATGAGGCATGCGTGTGAAGTGTTGATACACAATCTCGATACACTCGCTTACTCCTAGCACTACAGGTCAAATAAATGAAGTTTGACGACAAATTAAATGGTTTCTGAGCGTATCAGGCTGTTAAGCTTTCTTGTATGAAAATGTTTCGATCGGCTCTGGGGGGGGGGGGGGGGGGCATCGCGAAATTTTGTGTAGGGCACAATATTTAGTGTCGCCCCAAATTAGCAGCGAGGAAGCGCAGTGAACGAGGTGCTCAGCTAGTACCGTATAGTTTTAGTCCTTGGCGACGTTTAGTCATTGGCGACAACTACATCTAGCCATTGCGATTGGTCAGTACTTTTCATATGGGATCGGTTATTTTTACGCGCCATTGGTTCTAAAAGAGCAGTATCGCATTAAGCTTCAGCGCGGGAAGGAAGCATGGGTCGACCGTGCATCACAGGCTCCAGTAAGCGCCGAAAGCAATACAAACGAGTTGCCGTGGCCTACGGCGACAAGCGAGACGTCCTCAAGTTTCTCAACAAGGGCAACTCCATCAAGGCCACCATTCTGCACTTCTACGGGCAGCTCACACGAAAAGACCACAGAGCAAAAGAAAAGCAGATCAGCAAATGGAAAAAGGCCTCCGCTTCAATACAGTCAGCGTGTGCATCTGGCCGAGCACGCCATCTTAACTCTCGGAAGCTCGGAGATGGCACCGTCTTGAGCCTCGAGGCAGAAGAAGAGATCGTCCGGTGGATCAACACATTTATGAAGGAAGGAATTCCTGTGTCCCGGTTCATGCTGAAAACAAAGGCAATGGAAGTGGCTAAGGAATCTGATATTGCTCCCGACAAGTTCTCCGCCTCCTCAACTTGGATGAAGCTGTTCATGAGGCGACACAGACTGTCGTTGCGCACAAGAACGCGTCAAGGCCAAACCACTCCTCAAGACGCGGCCGAGGCTGCCCAAGCATTTCGCGCCTTGGTACTTCAAACTGCTGTCGAACAAAACTGCACCAAAGTATTCAACGCAGACCAAACAGGTGCGAAAATGTTTTATTTCTTATTGTGATTTAATGCTAGACGTCTAACATACTTTCTAGCTGTATTTTTTGAACACGTGCCGAAGAAAACTATCTTAGCAAAGGACACGAAGACGGTTTGGATCAAATGCACTAATAAAGATAAACACCGTGCAACTGTTATGCTTTTAGCAGATTCGGATGGTGTAAAGTGCGACCCATTCATTATATTCAAGACGTCAGACGCCAAGACGGAAGCAAGACGCGCTGAGAACGGTGAGATCAGAAATGGGTTCGGTACAACCATTTGGCGTGAAGTGAAAACCCTGCAGAAAACGTTTCCCTGTCGGATCTTTGGAAACAAAACTGC